GAAGGTCATTGACATGGGCGCTGTGATCTAGAGGAGTTGAAGAATCGAATGGTGGAGTCAGAATGGCTAAAAACCCAATATTGACGAAATTACCTTTTTTGGAACTTGGAAGATGAGACAAGATGGGCAAGAAATTTAGAGGAAACGCCGATTGTGCTTGAACAAGAAGCGCAATGCACAATTTGGCGCCAGGAATCGATGCGACAATACCTTGTGATTCCAATCCATATTCTGTGGGTGTCTTAGCGGTCTCTAAATTGTTTCCAGAGGAAACAAATGTTAATTTATCTCTCAAGTTTTCCATCCCTCAAAATAACTTGATACACAAATCTATCAGCGATGTCTACCTAAATCTCTATATGGTTTGGGTTTCTAAGATTTTGCACGAGAAGAATATAAACAGATGCTTGGTGTACAATCAACGGGCGACAATCTCACCATCCTCGAAGTAGTAATGGTAGTTTGTCAACAATTCGGAGCAGATTTCCTTGGCTCCGTCAAAAGGTGTCAAGTTTGGAGCCATCAACACGCTCAGCGCACCGACACTCATTTTATTGAGGTCTTTGAATTTGAGCACTTCTTGGAAATATTTGAACAACGCGTACAAAACGTCGAAATTCAGTTTTGGCAGTTGGGACAGAGTTTGTTTAACTTTTGGAACCGAGGAGGCGTGGTCGCTCGAAAGTGTCAAAGTCATGAGTTCTTTTGCCTCTTCTTCAGGAATCACCGTCACTCGCAAGGTACGAAGGTACCGTTTGAACAACGTAGCAATTGAATGAACGTCGGGAGGAGATTCAAGAGCAGCCAGGTCGCAATCGCTCTTTTCGTTAAAGATTTCCTGGATCTTATTAACCTCGGCCATCATACCGTTCAAACGGAAAATACCTTCGCTGTAAACAGCTTTCTTTTCTCCAAGATATGAAAGGCACCTGTAAACCACCGATGGAACAGGCCGGTCATAGATCTTGAAATCTGGACATCTTTCGAACGATTCTTGCAGAGTGGAGCCAAAGTATTTAGGAGTGGCTTCCAATTGCTGGAACGACATATCATTGGGCTGTAATGACGGTGTTGGAACAGACCCCATGGAAACCATCGTTCCAGAGTATGGCATTGCTTTGAACTCGAGCAGATCGGCCGGTGGCTGTGAAGCGGGCATGACAGAGTCTCTGTTTCCGCGTTTGAGACTGAACCATTTGCTGTTGCTTTCGGACATCGCAGGCGAAGGAAGAACGGTTTCTGTTTGAGTCGGTGTTGAAGCCACGGATGGGGCGTAGTCCACAGCTGTTAGATTGGAAGGTGACGACGAAAGAGAAGCCTGGTCCGTTTCGTTACTTTGATAGTCCATTATCAAACGGAACCAGTCCTCTGCATCCATGACCGACTCGCAGTACAAGACATGGTGCTTCACGGACCGAAGCGACTTCCGTTTCTTTCTCGAAATGGTGAGGATCTGGTTATCGCGCGAAAGATTCACATCGTTCACATGAAGAACGTCTTTGGTCTTGGTAGCACACTCGGTAATTGTCAGATAATGTTCGATAGAGTCGAGACTGAGATTTGTGAGACGGAACACCTTCTTCAGGTTCTTTGAACCCACCTCAACAACGGTAGCTTCCCGCTTGGACATGTCGTGTGCATCATACGGGGTGAAAAATCCTTTGAACAGCTTCCAAACCTCAGACCCACGTTGTCCGCGCATCACACGACACAGTTCCGAAACATACATTCGAACGATCGATTTCTGAGTGTCCCAGACCAGCGGGTCAATCTTGAGGAACGCGGCCCTATCTGGCAACATTGGAAGGTGTCTCAAACCAAGACGTCTTAGATCCTGATCCAAAGTGATGAACTTGGTATATGTCTGACGCACCATGTACAACGGCACCAATTCTCCAGAACGCTCGTTGGAGTTGACCATGAAAGATATCGAGAAGTCTTCCTTCTTGTCGTTCACGGCGCTAGGATCAACACACGTATCCACGGTGATTACCGTGGAGTCAAACGACGACGAAATGTAGTCAAATTGGGATGAGTCAGATGGTTGTTGCTGATGAGATGCTGATTTGAGCAAAGGCTTTTTAGGTGACGGTGTTTGCAGGAACGATCTGCGGTCTGGAGAAAAGTTCAGAGACCGCAGAGGTGAAACCGTCGAAAGAGAAGCAAAATCTTTGAGAGGCGAAAAGTCCTTGATTGGAGAGAATTGGTTTCTGGCCGGAGAAAGAACAATGCTTGATTCTTCTTTTTCTGGTGAAGAAGCAACACTCGAACTCTCTTTGTCCAAATTAGTTCTGGACGTGTGTTCCAAAGTCAAATGGCTTGGGTTCTCTGAAGGCAGCGCCGCTTTTGGCTCGTCCTTTTCTTCTCTCTTTGGAGTTCCTAAAACTTCGTATGCTGGTCTCTTGAACGATCCGTTACTACTTCCGCTGTTGCTGAAGATAAACTCATCGTCCTTTGGAGTCTTCAACTCCTTCGGAAGAGACTGTCTTTGGCGAGGAGATCTAGGAGATCCCTTACGCGGAGACGATCCGAACGTGGCATCTTTAACGAGCTCGCTAACTTCAGGAGACCGTGCAGGAGAGTCTCGCAACAGAACGCGTCTTTCGCTGCGTTCTGGAACGTCGATGTCCATATCCGAAACTGGTTTGACTAATTGGTCCAATGTCCGCTGTTGTTTCTGAGGAGAATCCCATGGATTGATGGTTGGCTCTGGGCTTCTGAATGGGTTTGCTGGTTCTGTTGTATCGACTGGTTTCTTCTGTTCAGGGACGTGCAGTTCTCTTGTTGGCGGGGATGCAACTTCGATCGGCGGTTCTGGAGCTTTGATCTCGGGTGGGGGGATCGTAAACTCCTCTATTGGGTCATTCTTGACCGGGTTCTCTATCACTTCTTTTTCGTCCGGTTGTAAATCAGGAACCGATGCAAACACTGGCGGCTCTGGAGGAACCAACTTATTTGGCGAAACCGAACTGGACGCTCTACTTCGAGTTATACTTTGGCCCGCTTCGAGCTCCAAGATGCGCGCCTTCTGCGAGGCCACTGTTTGGCGTAACTTTATGAGCTCGTTTGCCATTTCCTGGTTCTCTTTTTCTAACTGGCTCACACGGCCGCGAAGTTGCCCGGTCTCCACTTCCATCGCCTTGTACAATCCGTCTTCACGACTGGACGTGTCCAGACTCTCCTGGCTCTCTAATTTGGCTGTGCCAGAATCAATTCGCTCATAGGAATCCATCACAAAGGAACGAGATTTTGAGCTAACAAGGCTCGCTAAATCACCAGCCATATATTCTGCAAAATCTCCTGTTGCGGTGTTTAACGGTGAATTGCGATTTGTCCCAGCACAATTCCCGTTTATCCAAACTCCAACAATCTGTTTTCAAAATTGGTAGAATTACAGTTTCAGCTGCGCAGTAAAAAAAGTTGATTTACGCGTACCGAGTCGATCGGCCCGTCGGAATATATGGTAGCTTACAAAAATCTAATCACTCGTCGCCCTTCTTGATGAAGTCGGGTAGCGCGTTAACCTTGTCGTTGCTCTCTAACGAGACGTACTCCTCCCAAAGTTTCACCAGCTGTTTCTTCTCGTTATTCTCCACTTCAAGACGTCTCTTGAAGCTCTCAAGCTCGCTCCGAAGCTGTTCGTTCTCCTTGTTGAGCTTCTTGAACTTATTCAACCACTTCATTTCGTAGCCCTTCTTCAGGATGGCAACCTTTTGCTCGTGTTTCGCGGAGTATTGCAAGTAAAGGTCCTGTGCCAACTTCTCAAGCTGTTGCTCCAAACTGGTGCTATGATCGCGGATTTTGGTATTGGCTTCTTCCAACTGATTCTCTAACGTAGACACCCGCTGCTTGAGTCCGGACACCTCGGTCTTGGCCTCAACAAGTTTCTCGTTCTTGGATTCCAAGTTGGCGCTCATCTCAGTGATCCGGGCTTCGGTGCTGCTCTGCAACGAAATCAATTCGTTTCGCACCTTCTCGAGCTCTTCAGAGTTACCCTCGCTGGTATAGGTGATCTGTCTGCCGAGCTCTTCCTTCTCGGTCTTCAGCCGTTTGATCTCGTCGCGACGATGGTTCATCACCTCTTTCAAGCTCGTGTTTTCGTCAATAAGTGCGGTCTCTCTTTCCTTCAGAGCATCAATCTCTGAACGAAGTCCATTAAGCTCATTCTCGAGCGAAATCACCTTGTCAACACCAGACTTGAGTTCTTCCTGGTAAACAGTCAGTTTCTCGTTCGCCTGACTCAGGTCGAGCTCCAGATTTTCCATCTTGAGAGATTGTTCGTTCAATTTCTCGCGTAGCTCCAAAGCTTCAGAACTCTTCAGCTCCAGCTCTTTCACCAATTCGTCTGTCTTCTTGGATGAGTTGGCCGTAGATGTAACAACTTCCTTCAACTGGTTTTCCAACGACAGTTTCTCATTGTTCAATTCCTCAATTTCGTTTTGCTTCAGTTCCAAAGAGGACGACAATTCGATCTTTTCGTTTGACAGTAAAACTTTGTCCTCTTTCAAGCTGTTGATTAGAGACTCGAGCTCTTGAATGCGGGATGACTTCTCCTCGAGACTCGACTCAAGATTCTTAGCAGTGTTCATCAGTTGGTTGTAAACCGTCTTGACCTTCTCCAGTTTTGATTCATGGAACTTGAAGCGAGACTCCATCATGTTGTATCTGGTGTTCGAAGCGCGCATTGACTGTTTGCAGGACTCCAACTCGGCAACAAGTTGTGCTTTTTCATTAAGAACTCTTTTCTTGATCTCGGTTTCGGATTCCAATTGAGATGACACAGATGTGAGCGCAGTTTCAATGGTCGAAAGCTTTTCATTCTTCTCCTTGACTTCATTGCTTAGAGAATCAACAGTACTCTGCAATGCGAGTTTGATCGAATCCAGTTGAGACTGGGTGAACAGAGGCTTGTCGTCCAAATCGTCACCTGCGACGAGCTCGAAGTCGTCAATCTCTTCCTCTTGGTCAATCATCGCATTAAACACGTCCAATGCAGAGATCTTCTGAGACAGCTTGACCGGAGACATTTTCTCGTCCTGCTCGCCGTCAGACTCTCCGCTGTCGTTGTTGTGGTCCATTGAAGAGTTGGCAGCAATGGCAGAGATATCATGAATATGAGTTCCTTGACGTCTCAATCCATTGATGACCTCTGTCTCTCCGTCAATCTTGTCTTCCAACAACTGGCCATGGCTGACATTCGCCAATGGGCTGTTCTCCAAATCAAGAACAGGATTCTCTGCTGGAGGGTTGTGCAAATCAATTTCCGAATCGTCCACAAGACGACTGTGATGCTCCCTGTGAGGAGTCACGCGTCTTTTTGACTGCTCTCTGAGAGGTGTCTGGAACGATGTCTCGCCCAAGTGCACCTTCTTTGCACCGGAGATTGCTAGTGGCGTATCCAGGTGTCTCTTAGACGTCATTCTGTTCTGGTGCGATCCCACGGGAGACGACTGCACATCTGCCACGTCGGAATCCACATCCACCACTTCGAGCTTGTCGGCTCCGATTTTCGCGTCGTCGTTCTCCTTCTCTGCCGTGGACAATGCTTTCGTGAGATCGTGCTTTCCCAAAACCACTGGATCCAGCTTAGTGTTTGAAGGCTTCTTGATACATGTCAAAGGCACCCTTCCTGGAGATGCTGCCAGAGGACGTGATTTTTGGGGCGACAACGATCTGCGTCTAAAAGACGGGTTTCTGATTTCGTGCTTATACGTGAGTCCGTGCTCAATTCGCTTGAGAGCGGTGTTTCCGCGGTTGCTTGTGTTTTCAGTAGGATCCACCATATAAAAGATAAACAAAAAAACGCGTACCGGGAAAAATTAAAGCTCTTGCACAAAAAGAGAACCCCCCACTGAAAGCAAGTTACCCGGTTCTAGGTCTTTTTTAAACTCCAAATAATTCCTTGCACTCAAACAATTCGTCTCTTTGCCACAATGTCCAACAAAGAATGTGTAAGTATCTATGAAAATTTAGGCATCTAACAACAGTCTGAGCTGTATGAGCGAATCATCGAAGACGTGATTTCAGAGTCGCGACAAGATTTCGAAGACGGAGGCATTGACGAACAAACTTTGCTCGATTTGAAGCGGATATGGAGAGATAAGCTATCCAAGACTGGGGTTGCTATGTTCAGTTGGGACTTGAAGCGGGATGAGTACGATGATTCTAGTAATCTGTTGGGACTCGGGGATGATCATATCAGTTCGCAAACGTTCCAGGAACAGTTCAATCCAGCTGTTCCTGATACCAACTCAGGATTACACATTCAGGGTCTGCATCTCCCTCAGTCGGACCTTGCTCTTCCTACCAATTCCATCAAGGGTGAAGACGACTTGGGCATAAATATTGCACTTCCGGGTGGGGGCAGAATAGGACAATCTGACGGAACGGTCAGCTTCACGCTAGAAGGAGCAGAAGCTCAACAACTCGCCAAAAAATTAAGACGTTCACAGGTGGATGGGGCCGGCGATTTGGACGACGAAGGCGGAGACGATCTGGGCTCCGATCTCGGAGTGGGATCTGACGAAATCAATTCAGACCTCGACGATCCAGACGACGACGAAATTAATTCCGGAGACGACAACGAGGATCAAGAATACAACATCATGCTCTGTTTGTACGACCGTGTGCAAAGAGTGAAAAACAAGTGGAAGTGCAATCTAAAAGACGGAATCGCCAACATCGACGGAAGAGACTACGCTTTCCAGAAAGCCACTGGAGAAAGCGAGTGGTAGTCTACGAGTGTATATTATGATAGATGGTTTATAGGTGAACACTAACGGATAGTAATTATCGAACACAGTTACCTTTACCGTTGCAACCGTGCTGATCTTTGAAATGTTTTGGCTGTGCAACTTTTTCAGTAGACTTTTTCTGAACCATCTACATTTTTATTCCACAATTATTCAATGTTACAACCTCGAGCCCGGTATTTCAGCGTTTTGAGGACTCTTCGCAACAAAGCGCCCGCTCCTCCTCCCAAGCAGACTGACGCTGCTCCGGAACCGCTGACCCCAGCTGAGCTGGAGGCCATAGCCAACATCCAATCGTCATTATACCAGCCAAAGAATCCATTTCTTGAGCCATCGAAAGCCGACCTTATTCAGAAGAAGATCGACGCCATAGCCGACAAATTGGAGCGTCACAAACAAATAGAGGAAGCAAAGTACCGCGAGTTACTCAAGGAACAAGAAAAAGCAGCCAAACCAAATATAGGAGATTTCAGACGTCCGATCGCTTCGTTTCTGCTTCTAGGGTCTGCAGTGTATCTTCTTCTACAGTATCTGTGGCACACTTTGGAGGCAGAGGAGCACGTGATATCAATGGAACAAAAGACAAGAGAATACGAGCGGGAGATCCAGGCGTTATTGGACAAGCAGACCCCAAAGAAGAAATGGTTGTGGTTCTAACCTAGTTACGATATATTTGATACTCTAAGAATAATTAATTCGACGATACTTAACCAAAGAATTTGTAGGTCTTGCCGGTCTTCTGGGCAGCTTCGTCCAAAATCGACTTGGCAGAAGCGGCATCAGCTCCGTTCAACTTTCCAGCAACGTCGGACAAAGTGACATCGTCAAACGACTCCAACAGAAGCTCGAGGTCGGCATCAATAGCAGTGGCCTTATCTTCAGCACCGAAGTAGCCAGTATCCTTGGCAGAAGATCTGACTGCACGCTTGTTCTTCTTCTTGGCGTTCTTAGCAGCCTCCTTAGCCTTTTTGGATGATTCTTTGTCGAGCTTGGCCTTGGCTTCTGCTTCTTCTTTGGCTTTAGCTTCGGCCTCAGCCTTGGCCTTAGCCTCTTCGGCAGCCTTTCTGGCACCAGCCTCTCTTTCCCACTTCTTCTTGGCCTTCTCAGCCTTCTCTTCCTCCTTGAACTTCTTGATTCTTGGATCCTCAGCGTTGGCGCGCTTCACAAGTTCAGCAAGTCTTCTGTTGTCCTCGGTCTTTCTCTTCTTTCTGGCATTGTTGTTCTTCTTCTCGATGTAACGCTTGTGGTCTCTGTTGGCAGTGTCATCAGGAACATCCTCGTCCAAGAACTCAAAAGTTCTCCAGGAGTCGAAGTTGGTGAAGAACTTGTAGAAAGATTCCACCTCAGCTCTAGTAGAGTCGGCATTTCCCAACTCTGGAACAGGCTGCTTAGTAGAGAATCTACCCTCGCTAGCAAACACTGGTCCCCATGCCTCGAAGAAGTCGTAGGTATCCTTGGCAGCAGGAGGCTCCACATCCGCGTGGAAATCCACAGAGTCGTATTGCTTTCTCTTGGATGGGTCCATCAGGGTCTCGTATGCCTTTTGAATGATCTTAAAAAATCCGTCCTGGTCCAATCCACCAGCAGCACCCTTCTTGTCTGGGTGATGCTTCAAAACCTGCTTACGGTGAGCTCTTCTAATCTGATCCTCAGTTGCTCTGTATCTGAGCTTGGACAAACCCATCACAGCGTAAAGGTCGCATGTTTTCCAGTCTCTAGGATCGTGCTCAAGCAGGTCCTCGTCCTGCTCTTCGTCGAACTCATCGTCCTCACCGGACTCGTCCACAGAAGTGACGTTCTTGGAAGCCTCGATCTTCTCGTACTCAGACCAGGTGTGTCCACGCAAGGTTCTGGTGGCATGTGCAAGGAAATATTTTCCAACTGGCTCAATAGGACGCTTGACAGAAGCGCTGTAGTTGGAGTGCGCTTTGAAGTCGCCAGAGAAACTGGCCGGAACAGCAGAGAGCGACATGGTGAACAATTATACCTTAAAAAATATTTGAAAAAAAAAAAATCCCGTGCTTCTAACCATCCATGTCTTCATCCTCTGACCTTCAGCAACAGGATCTGGTTGTATTTGAGGACCACTCGATCGTTCCTAGATCATCGTCCGAGTACCATTACCTGACGCTGATACTGTTCAACTCGGCTACCAGACCAACCTGGTTGGTCACTGCTCTGGTGGAAAACTCGCTATTTGGAACATGCTATCTTAACAAGTCTCCGATTTCGAGACGTTCATCAACTCCAGTGGTGTTGGCATCACTCAACACGGCAGAATCAACATACAGAAAACAACTTGCTCGGCTGAAGGGCGATCTGGCCGAGTTTAAATACGTTGATCTTCTGTCCAACTATAGTAATTGGTTCGAGATGTTGTCAGCTCAGATTGATCAATTAGCCAAGAAGGGGAAACCAAACGTGTTCCTCGAGAATCCTGAGTTTCTGCTGTTTCTGTCAGACACCAAAGTGGACACTTTGTTGTTGCAGTTACAGAAACTGAATGCAAAATGCAATCTCTTCCTAATCAGCTCCAATGACGAGTCGTTGCTCGAATACTCCGAAATCCCAGATGATTTGGCCACCATCCACACATCTTTCCTCACAAAACTCGTACACAGATCGAACCTGCTGATGTCTTTGCGTCCGTTGAAGACTGGACGTGCCGTGGACGTGACAGGAGAACTTACTATTTGCAGAGGACTGATCGATTCACCACAGAAAGTCGCCGAGAAAGAATACCTGTATCTGGTCAATAAAGAGGGTACAGTCAAATTGTTCTATAGATAACCTTACCTACTTCTATGCAGATTATAATAATCGTCCAGAGCAAACTCGATGGCACAACGAGTGTCCAATAACGGATACAATGGCCACACTGATCTCTCTCCAACTTGAATCCAGTAAGGAATGTTCTCCTTGTACTTGTTGACGTCGAAAATGCGACTAAAGTCTCTTATCAGTGTTCTGAGCTCAGGAACAATGGTGATTTCGCTGTTTTCGAATCGAGGAGTTTTCTCGTCCACCGCCAACCATCTGAAAAATCCCATCAACAATCCAAACTTCTCCAGTGTTTCCATTCTGTGTCGTAGCTCAAGACTAATCAGGTTCTTGATGTGGTTTGTGAGTTGCCAGGAAGTTGGCGAATGCTTTAAATCGTTTCCTATCAATGGAGCAAGATACGGTCTTGCGAGCGCAACAACGAAATGGTTCACGTTGAACAGCTCGGTTAGTCTTGTGTATGGAGAGATTGGCGTGAACGACTTGGTTGAAATCGAACTGGCATAATGTGGCGATATGTATTCACAATGACGTTTCAAAAACTGGAGTGTTTCAATCTGGTTTTCTGAGTTTTTGAACTTGAGCTGGACATCGTCCTCTTGCACACTATTTCCTATGGAACAGTATATGGCACTGAGAATGGTGACGTTTGGGGTTGAGATGTAGTTCAAAAGCGATGGCGCGCAGGACTCGGTGGGATGAATCAAAATGTTCAATATGCGGTTAGTTTTCAAGTATGCCTCTTCAAAAGTCAAATCGCCAACTTTGGACTCCACATACTTGATAAACAGTAACATGTCTTGACTGTATCCTTTACGGACAACAGAGGCAATCACAGAGGTGCCATTTTCGTCGGCTTCTTCCTGTGGTAGCAGATTGACTAAATTGTTCAGATTGTCCTCGATCTCGTTATCGTCCAAGCAACATATCAGAGCCCCAACCAATGCACCAATAGAAGAGCCAGCAATGATCCGTGGTAGCAAGTTCTTCGAATACAGTGCCTTGATCACCCCCAGATGACAAAGCCCAAAGAGCGAGCCACCTTGTAATATCAACGCGGTCACGCCCAACGTCTGTCTGGTGTCATGAAAGAAGTCCAGCTTCATCTGGTTGAAATGGTTTAATTCCAAAGTGTTGTCCTTCAACTGCCATTCATCAATAAATTGAAAGCATTTCAACACCTCTTCGATATAGTCCTCGATCAAGACCTTGGTACCAATATATGATTTGTTGTACAACTGCTTGTTCGAGATTCCTCCAAAGTTCCGCAGCACGCCTGATCTCAAAGTGCCCATCACTTTCAACAGGTCCTCGTTTATCCTGGCCAGCCGAAGATCATGAAGACGCTCATTGATGAGTCTATAATCGTACTTTTTTGAGATGAAGTTTTGTCGCCAAACATCGTACCCATTCAGTCTATCGATTTCCGAAGTGATCATTTCCCATTCGTGGAAGTTGGTACAGGAATCCAGGGACCGTTTTAGAGTACGAATAGGAGACTCTCTGAGAAGTTTAATCAGTCTTTTGATCCAGAAAAACACCACCTCTGTCACAAAACTAAGCACTTTCCATATTATAGGCGGGGTGTTGTTGATCAGCAGCGAAAGCAGAAATAAAAAGGCCATCGATAGGCCCTTTGTATATCGTTGCATAATAATAAATGATAGTTTAATTTTAGGGATAATTAAATTAGGAGGCTTGATAAAATGGGGGGTTTAATCTATTTCTTCAAATCACAACCATTAAGTATTGGCGTTTACATTTGTTACCCCCACTGGTTGCCAAGCGTATCAACGAACGGGGTTTTACCCCCACACAATTTGCACGTTAGATCAAGGAACCTTCAACGCTCCCATATTACCTAAGCATGCAATAGTATACTACATTATTTTTCTTTGGTATTTCCTATTTTTCGCCACCATGGATATCATTCTGGGTATCAAAGTGCAAGACTCAGTGATTGTCGCCACTTCCAAGGCGTTCACAAGAGGTATCTCCATTCTCAAAGACAAAGATGACAAGACCAGAGTGCTCACTCCTCACAACCTCATCGCCTTCACAGGAGAGGCCGGAGACACGACTCAATTCGCAGACTACATTCAGGCAAATATCCAACTGTTCTCTATGAGAGAAAACACAGAACTCAACTCCAAGTCAATTGCCTCGTTCATCAGACAGCAATTGGCTACATCGATCAGATCTAGAACGCCGTACCAAGTTCAAATCTTGCTTGGTGGACTCAACAAGGGAACAGAGCCATTCTTGTCTTTGCTAGACTACCTCGGTACCAGAGTTGATCTTCCGTACTGTGCCCATGGATACGCTGCCTTTTACACTATGTCGTTGTTGGACCATCACTATCGCCCAGACATGAACACCGAAGAAGGCTTGAAGCTTCTCAAATTGTGCAATGAAGAACTCGAAAAAAGAATGCCAATTGACTTCAAAGGATTATACGTGAAGGTCATTGACAAAGATGGCATCAGAGACATAGATTTTGCTTAATAAGAATGTGATACTTGTCGTTCAATTTCGTACACCTATTAACACTATACACTTACTATTTGATCAGATAATCAGCGTTTGGGCCTCCTCAGGCTGTTCAGACTGCTCTGGTTCCTGTGCATGAATCGTACTCACTGGATGGTCTTGCTCATCCAGCACAACTGTATCGTAGAGCACAATAGTGCTGGTGATTTCCTGTTCCGCTTCTCTCTCTGCCTTTTCGCGAGATTGGAATTCCAAGTTAGCTTTGGCACGCAAAATCGCAAGATAGGACTTGCCATCGTTCACCAAAATACTCAAAGTTCTGTTGAGTTCGTTCATCAGCTTGTTAACCTTCTCTAGCTTGGGAGTGGAATTTAAAAGCAGGTCTCTTGTTTGAATCAAATCCTGTTTGAGCTCATTGTAGTTTTTCCACTCTTTCCAGTCATCTCCTTTTTGAACTATTTCTGTAGAATATGCAGTCAGCGTGGATTCACTGAACTCTTCCAAAGTCTCCAGGATGGTGGTTCTGGCTTTTAGGACCTTATCAGAATATTCCTCTTCGTATTTTTTGAATTCAGCAACAATCGCATCAGCCCTTTCACCCAAATTAGACGAAGCCTTTGCAAGAATGTCACGCATATCCTGACGAGTCACTTTTTTGTCTGTGCTGTGGTTGACATCGTGAATGAGAACATGGATATCCTCGTAATTGGAGTTGGCCAGCTTGCTCAATTCTTGTAACTGTGGCTTGAGGTCCTCTTGGATCTTGGAAGAGATCTCAGAATCAATCTTGGCAACTTGAGTCTCGAAATCACTTAACGCGTCAACCTTAATTCCTTTCAACAACTTGTTGTACTTTGTGAGAGTAGGTTCCACAACAGAGGTGGTTTCAGAAACGTCATCTCCCTTTTCGGTCTCTGCAGCCTGCTTGGAGAGCTTTTTGAAAAACTCGACATCTTCGTAGCTAGGAATCTTGAACTTGGCATTCATCAGCTTGTTAAACTCGTCTTTCAAGAATTGTTTCTTGTGTTCCGTTCTCCAGTACTCTTCGGTGGTTTTTCTGATAACAGAGTCCTGCTTGAAAGCAAGAATGTACTCGTACGACTTGGCATACAAGTAATTGAGTGAGTCCACAAGCAAAACAATCAATCTCGAAGTGTTCTCGTAGAACCACGATTTTTGGAATGCCTCGAAATAAGGCTCCAAAGCATCCAATTTCAGCTTATAGTACAGTTTTGAGAGCTGTGGATGCACATATAGGTTGTACCGTAAGTGAAGTGCAATTCTGAGCTTTGTAGTGTAAACCAGGGACTTGGTCTTGACATAAAGGAAGAACTTGACTGTCTGAGGAACAACCTTGGTCAAAACCACCTCCTTGGTCAAAACAGCAAAGTGAATGCTTTTTGTTTTGATGAGATCCTTCAACGTTTCAGCCTTGGCCTTCAAGTAAATACTAGAAATCGAAACAACTTCCTCAGTCTTGGCTGCAACCTTATACCAGGTCTCGATACTCTTCTCTCTCACCAATCCAAAATACTTGTCAGCACCCTGCTTGGTCACCTCATAAACCTTGTCGGAAACAATACTGTACTTGTTTGCTGTCTGATGATATCCGTAGTCAACATATGGCTTGATAGGAGATTTGGCGTAGTGCTCACCAAGAGGAGTAAACACCTTGGCATCAGCAGCTTCCACGAACGGACCAATATGTGGCTCAGCAAGCTTGTAGTACTTGTGAGTGTAGCTACATATGAGGTCGTTCGATCCCAGACCGTCTGGTTTGTATGCGCTGGTCAGGGGACACTTGACAAAAACATGTGTCAGGAGGTACAACACCGCTAGAACAAAGGACAAAACCTTGAACTTTAGCGAGAACAGAGCCATCTTGGGAAATTGATGTATTTCGAAAGTGTACAATCAGCGATTCCCTTATTTCAACCAACAATCAGTGGATGGCGACTCGTTTCAATTATTTTTGTATGTATATAAACACAATTTCACAAACTGGTGAGTGCACGCTCCGGCAATAATTTTTTTCTTGCCAAGGATTCATGAACAAACCCTTGCACCGGAATGGTTCAGTACCGTGGAGGACGACTGTACGGGGTTCTGTTTGGAAGTCTTTGACCATAGGGACGCGGGGCCCGGCCACCACGTCCTCTATAACCATAATTACCTCTCCCGTAAGAAGATGGCGGAGGATACAACATTTTTGGAGCAGGCTCGTGATGCTCTGCTGGTCTGTGTTTCTGTACGATCTTGCGTCCTCCCAATCCGCCTCCCAATCTTCTAGGTTTCCAATTCTTAACAACTCTTCCCCGCTCAATATCCACCACCACTGCGCGGTCGTTGATGACCATTCTATTTCCTTTTTGGAATGCCAATTTGGCGTCGTTTTCTGTTTTGTACAATATGAAAGCGTATCCTCTGCTTTTCCCTGTAGAGGAGTCTCTCACCACACGGATTTGTTCGATCTCGCCAAACTGTCCGAATCTTTCGCGCAATTCTATTTCGTTAACTTTATAATCCAGTCTCCCCACGAAAACTGTCTTGTAAGGGTCTCCTGTGATGTTTTGATCAGTTTCCGGGTTCCATTTGACCAGACTGCGTTGTAAGTGCTCTTTATTCTGCTGTGCTTTAATTTTGAGCTTCAATTCTTTGCTCAAGAACTGAGACTTGTAATCTTTAAACTCCTCAACATGTTGCTTCAAAGGCAATAGAAAGTCGGCCAATCCTGAAATTTTTGGCGTTCGACGCAAAGCTACAGGCAAGTCCACCTGTGGGAGATGTCGAATTGGCGCTTTGGGGGTGAATAGATCAACTATCACCGGTGTGTATTTATTATCGGACATGTGAAAGAAAAAAGACGATTTGAAGAAATTTCAAGGTCGATCGACGAAAAAAAATTTATCAGAAAAATTTGATAAATTTTTATTATCACAATTAAATATGGCCGGAACCCAGAAGAAGAACGCCAAAGGTCGGCTTGATAGGTACTACTATCTCGCCAAAGAGAAGGGATATCGTGCTCGTTCTTCCTTTAAGATTTTGCAAATTAATCAAAAATATGGCCATTTTTTGGAAAGATCTAAGGTCGTGATAGATCTTTGTGCCGCTCCAGGATCGTGGTGTCAGGTGGCTGCGCAGCTGTGTCCTGTCAACTCACTGATTGTCGGAGTGGATATTGTTCCCATCAAGCCGATTCCCAATTGTATCACATTCCAGAGTGACATTACCACGGAAGATTGTCGCTCCAGATTGAGAGGCCATCTGAAGTCGTGGAAAGCAGACTCTGTTTTGCACGATGGTGCTCCCAACGTTGGTTTGAACTGGGTTCAGGACGCTTACACGCAATCGCACTTGACTTTACAGGCTTTGAAGTTGGCGGTTGAACATTTGAACGCCGGTGGAACGTTTGTGACCAAGATTTTCCGTTCTAGAGACTACAATAACCTGATCTGGGTTTTCCGTCAGCTGTTCGACAAGGTCGAGGCTACCAAGCCCCCTGCTTCTCGTAACGTTTCTGCCGAGATTTTCGTGGTTTGCAAGGGGTTCAAGGCTCCAAAGAAGCTTGATCCTAGACTTTTAGATCCCAAGGAGGTGTTCGAGGAGCTTCCTGAGAAGACTGCAAATAACGAGGCCAAGGTGTTCAATCCAGAGATCAAGAAGAGAAAGAGAGATGGTTATGACGAAGGGGACTACACCTTGTTCCATCCTATGGCTCTTTTGGACTGGGTGAAACAGGAGGACGACGTGATCAATACTTTGGGAAGTGTCAATATGTTTGAGATCGACGAGGAGAGCGAGGAATGGCAGACTTTGAAACGGATGAAAGATACCACGTCCGAGTTCCTTGAGTGTTGCAAAGATCTGAAGGTTCTTGGTAAGAAAGATTTCAGAATGTTGATCAGATGGCGGAAGCATGCTCGTATTGTTCTTGATCTTGATGTCGAGGAAGAGGAAAATCAAGTGGAAGTCGAGGAGCTTGATGAAGATCAAAAGATTGACCAAGAGCTCGAAGAGATGAAGGAGAAGGTCCGGCTGAAGCAAAAGAGAGAAAAACGTCGTCGTAACGAGGCCAGACAGCAAGAGATCCAGCGGATGCAGATGAACATGTTGACCGACATGCAGGTTGGTCTCGATGCCGGAAACATTGGGTCTGAGAGTTTGTTCAACCTGAAAATTGCCGAGAAGACTGGTCAGTTGGACGAGTTGGCTCGTGGCAAGAAGAGCATGGTTTTTGACGACGAGGAGTTGGCTCGAGATAACGACATTGTGTACGATGACAAGCAGATCGTGGAGTCTGGTGACGAGCTGGACAATCTCGAGGATGAGCTGAACTCGATGTACCAACAGTACAAGGAGTCCAAGATGGAGCGGGACGCCAGACTGAGAGCCAAGAACGCTCGTGGAGGAGACGATGAGGAATGGGAAGGAATCAAGGAGCAGACGAGCGAGGTCGAGTCTGACGACGGAGAGATCCTGGAAAGCGATAGCGACATTGAGAGCGAGGAGGACGAGGCAATCGACAAGCTGATTGCCACCATCGACAAGAAGAAGAAGGGCGGACTGAGTCGGACTGCTAACAACTTCTTTGGAGACTCGATCTTCGAGGGTGTTGATGTGGTTGCCGAGACGAATGGCAAACCGGCAGAGTCTAAGGAAGAAGAGGAGGTGGATGAGGAAGAAAATGCGGAAGCAGAATCTGGATCTGAGTCTGAGGAGGCTGAAGAGTCTGATGCCGAACTTGAGTCTGGATCGGAGTCAGACGAGGCCGAGCCAGACTTTGAGATTGTTCCTGGAGCTGGAGACGGCATGTCACACAAGCACGAGGTCGACTTGGCCACAGTGGAAGCAATGACGCTTGCTCACCAGCTTGCTCTTGGCCAGAAGTCCAAACACGACCTGATCGAGGAAGGATTTAACAAGTACTCGTTCAGAGACAAGGAAGGACTGCCTGACTGGTTCTTGGAGGACGAAGACAAACACAGCAAGATCAACAGACCAATCACGAAGGAGGCGGCTTTGGCTTTGAAGGAGAAGATGAAGCAACTGAACGCCAGACCAATCAAGAAGGTGATGGAGGCAGTTGGAAGAAAGAAGATGAGAGCAATCAAGAGACTCGAGAAGATCAAGAAGAAGAGTGATCTGATTGCCGATGACGACTCGAAGAGTGAATTGGACAAGGCTAAGGAGATCCAAGCCCTTGCCTCCAAGTTAGGCAAGAAGAAGAAGACCAAGCCTAAGACCACGCTTGTGGTTGCACGTGGAAGCCATAAGGGTGTTTCCGGAAGACCAAGAGGTGTTAAGGGTAAATATAAGATGGTCGACGGAGTGATGAAGAACGAGATGCGTGCATTGAAGAGAATCGAGAAGAAGCACAAGAAGAAGGGAAGAAAGTAATTGCATAGTGATAATAAATAATCTTGTTGAAAAATCGGGTAAAAAATAATTCAAATAAATAAACATGAAGTATCGCACGGCTTTGTTTATATATGGCGACGAGAAAAGCGTTTTTGATGGAATTGGCGCCCAGGACGTGTTGACAGTTCCGGCTTCTAAAAGTTCCCCGCTTGCCCGCGAAGATCGCATTGAAATCGCCTTTTCTGAGTTAAAAAGCGAGTACAAGACAATTTTGGAGAAACTGCGTTTGCTGAACGTGCAATTGAACAAGAATCGCTCAATCAAACCAAAACAGACCATCTTCACGAGTCACGAGAGTCAGCCGGCCGGAGTGCGCATAGACGTGGCTCCACAGAGCGCGCGAAACATGGATCACTACAAACAGCTTTCCGATCTCGCCGTGCAGATGATCTCCAAGCTGATCCACGTTGAAACAGAATGCAAGCCGTGGTTTTTCGAAGAGTGGTACAGAGGATACATCTACGAAGAGCCCCAGATTGACGTCGCTTTCCTACAGATCTGGAAAAGTCTCATTGGCGGCGATATACCGGTGACCACCAAGGATCTGAGCCAGGCGGCTTCATTTGAGCTTGTTTTGGACTCGGATAAGCTCAAGCTGTTGCTTTATTGGCCGCTCGTTGATGAGCCAGTTGTTTTCAACCGTTCTTCTTCCCACGAGGTCGGGGTCTTTTATCTGGACTCGTTACCGGGAGACACCGATCTGAGTGTGAATGGGGTGCGGGTTCGCGGAGATTCGAAGCTTGTGCCGACATCAATGTACCTGAACCTGTTTGACTCTCAAATCCCAGACATCTATGCAAATCACACGTTTGTACAGCCCACGGGACTGCATCCGACATACAAAGTGAGCTTATCAAAAAATGCCGAGCCCCCCCACCCAAGTTGCCGATTGATGTTTGACCTTGATGTTCCGTCCACGTTCATTGCGGACGAGTTCCAATTGGAGTGGTCCAAGAAGTACTTCCGTAATGTGGTGCTGTACGGCCACAGCGACCTGGAACTGCCAAGCTACAAAGTTACCGAAAGTTGCTCTTTGCGGCTGGAATTACAGCCGGATATTGTGGAGTTTGAAATCCCGCTGCATTTGCGTTACGGTGAACCAAAAGGTGGTTCACAGGAGATTGGGATTTCTACGGGAGACCTTTATTGGGACTGCGAAACAGATTCGGACACAAGATTGCTCATTCAGAACAGCTTCATGTACGAAAACAGAATAGCCGAACAGACACATTCCCAGCTCTATCACATTGGAAGCACAGGTGCCAATCATTTGGTTGCAAAACTTGCAGTGGCCGACCTAGCCGACAGCTCTTTTGTGGAGTCATGGACTCTGCTTTTGGTAACCATTTGTGCCCTTTTGATTGGAAAAGCAGCATGGAAACTGTGACAGGTCTAATTTTAATTTGCAACAATAAGGAGATGCGCACTGGGGGCTGCGAAAAATATTTCTAAAAATTGACATTCAATTTTACCTCACATTGAGCTTGAACTAGAATCCATTGGACTAACCAAGGAGACTTCGCAGATCATGGCAAGTCATCCGACCAACCATGGATTCCCGTTGAGAAGGCGAGATTCCGTGTCTTCGATGAGTTCTGTCCGGAGCGTCAGATCTATGCTGACGCCTCGTGAACTAAGCACCGACTCTTTGTTGACCATAGAGGACAGGTTTGTTCGAAGACCCCGGACCCAGAGACCCAGATTGTCGAATCCCGCCTCAGAATCTCGCCTTTCACTTCCTCCGCCCGCCTCTGTGCGTGAGACTTATTATTTTCCTAATGGTGAGGTTTTCAGACCTCGTTCACAGCCAAGACCGAAATCTGGCAAGCACCATTCCATGCCCAACATGAGGAACAGACATATGATTGTGCCTCCCGTTGTGCCACCAACGCAGACCACTCCGGTACCCACCGTTAATTCTGTCCAGAGAATCCAATTCCAGGAAACAGGTTCGAGTGTTTCATCTGCGTCAGCCTCACCTTCTGTCGACCACGGCACTCCAGCCTCGTCAATCACTTTCAGTGAGGAAGAGGAAGAGGAGAAGCGAGGATTCAAGAAGATGTTGGGTAAACTTCTTCGGAAAGACAAAAGTCCCAAGAAAAACGCTGTCGAGGTGAAAAGCCAAAGAGACAGCGACAGTTCATTGGAACACCTTTCCATGTCCTCTTTATCTTTGAATGTCGATCTCAGCGACGACGACGACAAGAGTTTTGTTGCTGGAGACGACCAAGATCTGGATGGAGGAGACCTGGAAACGGAGCTGGATTATATCTCGTCCATCATGGGGATTGGAGAAACGTACTTTTTTGAAGATCTGGACCATCAGGACAAACTAATTAAGCGCAAATCTCTAAGAATGAAGTCTCTTGAGAAACACAAGTCATTGAGCCGGAAGAACACCGGAGACTCTCATGTTTCTCTAGATACGGAATACTACAAGCATCACATTAATAAACACTACTCTGGCGAGGAGAAGTTTGAAATTGTGACCAGCAACAGAATCAAGGAACCGGCAACGACAGCACTCGAGGCCAAGAGTTCTGTCAAGACCCGGTCTTTTGAACAATTGAAAGTTTCATTTTCAAACAAAATCTACCTCAATACCACCTTCTCGCCAGACAGTTACGTTCGGTTCAACAAGGGACTCAAACATACATACTCGCAGCTTGCGAAAGACCCTGAACAGATTAAGGAAATCCGTGCGGAGCTTAATCATTACAAACAATACGAAATGGCCGTTCATAAACAGTCTAGAGAGTATACGCATTATTTCCAAACTGCATAATAATATTATGATCCTCTATATGTCGAGTAACCGTAGTTGCTGAGAAGCAAAGGAATATGGTAGTGGTTATCAGGAGGTGATTGCACTTCGAATGTGATATCGACAAATGGGAAGAACGTGTTTCCGTCGCGGGTAAGGAAGTAATCCTTGGTGTGGAATCTGATCTTGTACACTCCAGGCGACAGGATGGACCAAGAGTTGTCTTTGAAACCCAAACTCGCAACCAGTTGCTTGTTGGAGGAGTCCGGCAACCATTCGGCAACCCGGCCATCCGAGTTGGTGAAAGCCGTGGCAAACAATTCAAACGACTCTTTCAGAACGCTGATCTCGCACTTGACGTTCTGGGCAGGTCTTCCTAGCGTGGTATCGAGGATATGGCAGGTGATTGGAGGCATGATGAGTGCTGGAAAAAAATAATAATTTTAGTTTACAACTTATTGATTATTTATTTATTTGATGGAAGCGTTTAGTTTACCGCCCATTCAAAGGGGACAGACGCGACCCACGAACGGGAAAAGTGATGGGGAAAACGATGGGAGCAAGAGTGGGGTGAAATTCACCAAACACGGCGCCAAGTTCTATCTTCCAGCTCTGTTTCCCTCAGCTCCAACAATCAAGAGCGGGCCTCTTCCAATGTTGGTCACAGACGTGCACAGGCTGGAGGACTGTCGAACAGTTTACAAAAACGACGGATTTGAGGCCGCCATGTATGGAATCACCATGTACAATAATTTTCCGGTGAAAGACGTGAAGGTCCAGGGGAAGATCGTTGGGGAACGATGGCAGGAACTTTCTCCCGACAGCTTCTTTATGTTCCTAGAGATTTGTGACGGATCGAGCGACGCACCGATAAGTGTCAAGGTGCGTAACCAGCTTTATTACCAACAATTGACCGATTATGATCAGAACGGAGACTTGTTGGTGCAGGTGCGCGGTCAGGGAGTGTTTTACAACGGCAAGGTCGAGATACATGCGCACTGGATCGAGGTCGTTGGCGATAAGCGTGACATGGGGCTGGAGATGGACTGGTGGGAGCAAACTTTGGACGTTCGCAGGAAGTTTCTCGAGGACCCATGGGAGTTCACTGGGAGTGTAGAGGACGAGGTGCAGAAATATGACGAGTTTCGGCGAGAGGAAAACAAACGCCGTGAGGAGTACAAGGAGCTTCTCGCACAGGAGAAGAAGGCCGAACGACAGAAACAGATCAAGTTGCATGAAAAGCGTCTTCGGGAGCTTGAGAAACAGGAACGTAGATCAGACGACCAGAGCGACGACGAGAACACACAGGAACAAACAATTGAGTCACAACAGGCCGACACAACAGCCGAGTCTGTTGACAGTATTGTGAACACAGACGAGCCAGCGGACGAGAGCGAAACAAGCCCGGAAGTGGAGGATGGTAGCAACACGATCAAGCAAGAGAATTCCATCCAAATAGATACTGTTGTGGAACAGCCTAAACCTGTGGAAGAGACATCTGTCCCTCCAGCCGAAGTCCCAGTGATTACTGTGCCGACCCCCCAAATCAGACTTCAAACTGAACAAGTGTATATTCCACCGCAATTGTTTACTGGCTCTCGAATATCGGTTGATTTGCTGGACAAACAACCTGGTTCCGATGACAAGCTGAAGCTCGAGATTCTCACCTTTTGCATGAACAACCCGCCAAAGTTCAGTATCCATAAAGTGATGGCCGACAAGGCTGTTCGGTTGCAGCTTTTGCAGGATAGCTGTGAAGAGCTTCTTGACAAAACGTATGAGGTTGGTGGAGAATTTACTTCGGATATGTTGCAGATGAAGGACGGGAAGTTTGATCCACTACGCAATGGAAGGTTCCATACAGCCAGAAAAGCGCTTTGTCGGACGAAACTGGTCAGATTGACTAAGTCGTTGAATTTCGAAACCAAGCCGTTGAAACAAGCACAGAATTACATCTCTGCTTTGGCCCAGCATGTGATGAAGACAGAAATAGATGTTTTACAAGAGCTATTCGACGATTATGCCTCTTCAGAGGAGATCTTGCAGCAACTGTCGAGATTCTACACCAGCACCGTGAAGCATTACACCTTCAGAACGTCTGATCTTGGAGATCGACTCAAGGAACACTTCAAAGTGGATCCTCCGGCGCACGTCACACGACGCTTGATAATTCACGAACTCCTACAAGCAGGGGTGTCTCGCATTATCCAGCCTCGTTCTCTATGGAGATTGAGGCTCACATGGTATTACAAGGTTTCCGAGGATTATTGGATGTATTTACCAGAAATTGTCAGTAATGAAAAATAGACTTTTTTTCTCGTACTTTATTTTTTATTTGTACACGTTATGAGAAGAAGAGGCTCGAGTGTTTCTGATAATAAAACTCGGCGGTCTCGAGCGGGATCTGTGGCGTCGACGACTTCATTAGGCGCCGTGACGGTTGATTCGATAGCGCTTGAGCAGAAGAAACCCCGTGGACGAAGCAAATCGTTGACGTCTGTGCCTTCCTCGACTGTTGACAGTGATGTTTCGATCACGTTTCCTCTTTCGACGAAGGAACGCCAACAGGTTTGGGAGTCGTGTTTTACAGACTACAACAACGATTTCTTGTTGAGCGTGGACGATCAGTGGTTGATTGACGAATCGACCAGCCATGAAGTGTTGGAGTTCCAAAGTTATCTGAAATACAACCACAAGGAAAACAAGGGATTCCTGGACGAGACAAACGCGGTGATCAGAGATTTGAATAAACTGCTGGTAATTGGCGACCAGGTCACTTTGCAAACGGTCGATTTCCAAACAAAATCCACACAGCTAATTGAAGAAATCGACCAGATGGACACTCTTCATCAAGAGTTGGCCAAAAATCTCACTGTTTTCGAGTCCCTGGACCCAATTGTGCAGACACTCAATACTTCGAGTTCGGTATCGATTGTCACCAAGGACTCGTTCAGAACAGACATCTTAGAGGAGCTAGACAAGTGCCTTGATTTCGTGCACGATCCAAAGAACTCGTCGTATAAAGAGATCAGCGCTTACAAGCACCGATTTAAACAGTGTATGATCAGAGCACTTTCGTTGGTGAGAAACTACATCAACACTGGCATCCGTGAACTGGAAGCGGATTTGCAGCAGAGAATCAATGAGAAAAAGAAAGAGTCCGGAATGATCTCGGCCAGCGTCTCGGTTTTGGTGGACGCTGTCGTTTACATCCAGTTCGAGCACGATCTTGTTGAATACAAGCCATGTTTTGAGGAATTGTACAAACGTGCGGTCAAAATGCAGGATTCCGAGTATTTGGGACTGCTGAACGATTGTTACAACCAGTACTTCAAGTCGCGGTCTAATCTGTTGAACCCAATCATCCAGCAACACGTTGCTGCACAGGACACATCCAAAGATTGCATCCAACTTGCGCAAAGCAACATTGCATACTTCATCAAAACCATGGAACGAGAATACGAGATGTTCAAGAATCTGTTCCTATTAGAACCTTCAAAATGTACAGAAGAAGTGGACAACTCCACAAACATGTTGTCCCTCACAAAATGGTTCGAGCAGTTGCTCGATCCACTTTATTATTTACTCAGAAACAAGATCATCCGTGAAAACAGCATTTCCGAGCTGTGTGAGTTGATCTCGATCCTGCAGAACTATTTCGATGTCGAAGATCTGGATAACAGCACCAGGTTCGACGAGTCGGACATGTATCATCACGAGGCCCCATTGCAAGAGAAGATCCAGCTTGGTGAACTGTTTAGACCAATTCTTGAGGACACACAGACAAGATTGGTGTTTAGAGTGCAGGTTTACGTTGACAAGTTTATCGTCAGCTATAAGAAAACCGGCCGCGAACTCACGATCGGCCATCGACGCAAACTCAGCGTTGACGATCCCATCAACGACGAGACACTCACCAGACCGGATAGAGAGCTGGATCGGGGAGAGAGCATATTTTCGCTCGACAACACAGCATTGACTCCAGAGAACCTCAAATTTGTGTATCCACCAATAGTGAACGCTGTGAAGTTGCTGATGAAGATCTACCAGTTGTTGAACCAAGGAGTGTTCGACGACCTGGCGAATGCAGTCGTTCATCTGTCGATTTTGTCGATGCACAGTAACTTTGGAACGGTTCCCGGGGTGGAGGCCAAGCTCTACGAGATCAAGAGTTTGATGTTTTTGCGCGAATATATTGCTACTTTCGAGATCGAACATGCTCGGCGAGAGACTGAGCTGGATTTCAGCGGCATCCAGAAACTTTTCAACCGGTTCATTAGAGGACAGAACACCAAATCAGACATTGACAACAATTTCTCGGCAGCAGCAGCAGAAGACCCTGACGAAAACAGATTCTTCAATTTGTTGTTGGGCACAGTGCCAAAGGTCGTGAACGACTTTGTTGATTGTCGGTACGAGATCCAAATGGCGTTGCGGAATGCTGTTCACGAATTCATCAACGAATCTGCCAAGCCGTTTGTCACTCCGCTGGAAACGTATCCAGAACAGCCATTGAAAAAGGTGGTGGATAAGTTCATGCGCACTTTGAAGAACGAGCTCCCACGCCTCAAACCAAGAATCCTACTGTACCTGGAGGATGACCGGATATTGAATTTTCTGCTGGACGGGATTCAAGAGAACGTTATCAAGGCGTACGAGACTTTCTACTCCAAAGCCGAATCAGAAAAGTCTCGCGATGTCGAGTACTTGCTCGACGTGGACGTTATTATTTCGATGTGGGCGGATCTTGTCAGTGAGATGATCGATCTGGACGACCCAGAGTTGGTCCTCGACGTGTACTCGGACGACGACGAGTACGATAACATGGTGAGCGAAAACGGAGACGTGAGCAACCTGAACTTGGACTCTTTCCGTCAGCACGACAATTCTATAATAAGATGATATCATTGTCCCTCTTCTTCGAACGGGTTGTAGGCGTTTTTCGATAGGATCTTGTTGAGTTCCTGTTTGATATAGACGATCTTGGACGGATCCACGAGCAAATGTGTTTCGTCAAGTTCTTCGATGACGATGTCGCGGGTATCGGAGTCGATCTTGACAATCAAAGCTTTGATCGATGGGTCGCTGTTGTTAGAAACCATATATAGATCCACTTACCATTGAATCAACGATCCTTTAATTGCACGAGCCATGCTGGAAAGAAGAATATTTGAAAATATTTATTTCCGGCTGTGCATTATTTAAATATTAGTATTTACAATGGGGTCTTCTTTCAACGACGAGATAGTGGACACTACCGCCGAGATTGGGAGCACTGGGTCGGCTGACAGTCGAGATGAAGCATCACAAAACTCGAATAATGAAACAGACGCCCAATCCGAACATACAGACCAGTCAGACACTGAGAGTATCCAAAGCACAGAACCCCCCAAACTCAAGTATTCTCGTCTCAACAAACTGCCTGCCCGGTTTTTCAACAGAGACGCAGTAAGTTGCTGCTATTTTCACGAAGAAGTGTTTATATTTGCTACGCATTCCGGGTTCATTCATCTGACCCGACCAGACTTCTCTGCCATCCGTACAATGAAAATTCAGAGGAGTTCCATTCTGTCTCTGCACACCGACGGAGAGTACTTTGCCGCTGGGTCGATCGACGGAACAGTGGTAATTGGTTCCATCGTTGACGAGAAAGATATCATTGCATACGACTTTAAACGGCCAATTCATGCCGTGGCTCTCGATAAGAATTATAAATCGACCAAACTGTTTATTTCAGGCGGAACAAGCGGCAATGTTGTGTTTTCTGCCCGAAATTGGCTCGGCCAACGACAAGATACAGTGGTAGAAGGCGGAAAGGGTCCTATTACGCTTATAAAAACTATTGATGATCTGGTGATCTGGACAAACGATACAGGAATCACGGTAGCTCAGATATCGTCCAGAACAATTATATTCCATGAGAAATTGCCCGAGAATTTCCCGCGACCAGAAATGTACTGGCCTCGATTCCACCAGACAGATACAGACAGATTCTTGATAGGCTGGGTCGATCATATCTGGACGTTTCGTGTTTCGATAACTTCGTCCAACTCGAGCATCATTTCGTCCGCCGCTTCCAGTTTCCGCTACCAGCCAGACAAAAAAATCGCTTTGGAACACCATATATTGATGGAGGACACGCTTATTGCTGGAGTTTGTGATTTTGGCGACGATCTGATGATTTTAAACTACGTGAAGAACAGCGAGCCTCCAGAACTCAAGATCGTGGACCGTACCTCGTTTGAAGAGTATTCTGTCGACCAGGTGGCATTGAATCAGAAATCAAACCTGGGACTTAACGATTTCCATCTGTACCAGCACGGAACTAGATGGTTTTTGGTGTCGGCAGATGACTGTGTCATTGTTCAACAATACGGTATTGAAGACCAGCTGAAATGGTATACTTTGCGCGGAGAATACTTGGAAGCTTGGAAAATGAGCGGCTTGTGGCTGGACAAACAGGAAAGACTGAACATTGGAGAACGTCAGATGAAGAAACTGGTTGCAGAGAACGATTGGCAGGCGGCTTCTTCGTTTCTTAGCGAGATGCTTGCGACAACAGGAACCGAAGACCCTGAGTATTTGGAGTCCGTCGTGAAGAGCTGGGATCACTGGGTCACCCAATTCTTCAAAGAAAATAAAGAAACACTAGTGCTGGACGTTATTCCGTCCACACCAATTGGAGACTTGTTTGTCTCTCCAGAGCACTACAATCATATTTTTGACTATTTGATCAAAAACAACGAGTTTGAACAAGTTTTGAGGTTGGCACACAAATGGGACCATGCCTTATTTGACGTCGAGTCTCTTCGAGACAAACTGGAAGACGATCTGGAGAACTCTCGCACCCACGAAACCGAGATCCGTCAATTGATTGTACAATTGAGTTTGGAACTGGACGAGATGGAGAAATGCGTTGACCATTTGATTTGGCTGAAAGATCCGGATATAATGCTTTTTCTGGACGAGCATCATCTACTTCTGCCGAACCTCAAACGGCTTCCGGAGATTCTCAGTTTGAGCGCGTCTGGAAAACCGCTCGATTCCGAAAGTTTATCTGTCCCGGTTGCAATTTTGGTTGAAAATAGCCACGAGATTCTTCCACAGGAAATTGTTGAGATACTCGACTCTTCAGGAATGGACTACGTTAGTTTCCTATACTTGGATGCCTTGTCTGCTCACGATAAGCTTTTGGTGAAAGATTTCCAGGATGAAATGGTTAAACTGTACGCCTCCTACAACAGGGACAATTTGCTCAATTTTCTTAGCCGTCACTACAATTACTCGGTTGAGAAGGCAATATCCATCTGTGAAGATAAGAACTGTATTTCAGAACTGGTTTACCTGCTGAGCAAGGTTGGCGAAAATAAAAAAGCTTTGAAGTTGATAGTGGACGAGCTCAAGGACCCAGAACGGGCAATCAAGTTTGTCAGTGAAAGCGACGATCGCGAGCTTTGGGATTTCTTGCTTGACTACTCCATGGACAGACCCGCATTCGTTCAAACTCTTGTCATTGCTGCCAGCGATCTTGTTGATCCAATACCCGTGATTTCTCGAATTCCAAATCAAGTTGAAATTACAGGCTTACACGACGCTCTACTCCAAATCTGTGGCAACACCGAGATGGATCGTTTGCTCCACCAATTGATCCTCAAGATCATCTCATCAGAGACCATGGGCCTCACCCACGAGTATATGGGACTGCGTGCAAAAGGCACTGTTTTCGAGCTAGACAGTCTACCAGAAGAGACGCTGATCCACAAATCTAACAAGCTAATGACCGAGAAAGAGTTCCTAGGCATCTCTTGGAAAGGCTCAGCGGCTACGATCACCGAAAAATTAAATCACCTTGCATATATCCGCAGGCAGACTGGGCGTTAAAGATATCGAGATTTGACATACTTTTAAACTGCGCGGGTCCCAAATCCTTCTTTCTCATGGAATTCGAGACATTTCATACAATCAAGTCATCCAAAGACGACTTCTCGGATCACGGACTGTACAAGTCCCGATCACTGAGACAGAAGAAAGTTGAAAATGAAGCGTTCTTCTCCAAACCAGAAGCTCCCATGTCGTTTTCGCTTAATGATTCGATGCAGAACTACTTCACTGCTTCAGAGACAAAACGCAACGGTTTTGTCGTTATCTCCAATGATCCATATACTGAACGGTCGTTCACTCCAACAAAGCCAAATATGGCTTCCAAGTTCGGGACCATAACTAGAGTACCGAGTACCAACGTTGGACTTCCACCGCCGAAGTTCCAAAGTCTATTTGACGCCCCCACAGCTGCTCAGCAGACGCCGATACTGTCTCCACTGGCCAGGAACACACGCTCGTCTTCGTTTGCCATGGCTTCCTATCCGTTTGGCGAGCGTCCTCCAATGCGTCCAGTTTTGCAACCGTCAGTGCTTCCTCAACCGCAACTAAATCCTTATCAGCCAGAACCGTCCACTGTACCAGCACCCACTACACAGTTAGAGACCAGCAAGAGCATCCGTAACCGGCGCAAGTCTGTGTCGACGTTCATTGCCCAGCTGTTTGACAAGTTCTCTCAAAAGAAAGACGAAATGCCCAAGAGCGCTCGTTCCATCAAGTCGGTGAAGAGCTATAATTTCCTGAGCCAGAGCGCGGATATTTACAACGACATCATCGACGACTACAACGACGTGTCCAATCTGGAGCGCGGCCGTTCTTTAGTACGCCGCCCAGCAAGAAATCGGAGCACGTCGACTCGAATTCGTCGCGAGGGCTCGTTTGGCTCCGAGCTCCGCTCTTTCGACAACAGCGACTACAAAACAGACAAAGACTTGCTCCCGACTGGGTACATATATGACGAAGCTACTAATACGCCGTTCTACAAAGATGTGGCTGAACCGGAGGACTCAAACAGCTCCATTAATACAAAGACCACAACGTTGCGGCGATTACGTGCTGATCTGGACAAGTGGTGGAGAAGCAAGACCTTGACCCGGGCACGTAAGCGACACCACCACGATGTGGCTGGCGGGTTGCAACCGAACTCCGCCGAGCTTGTTTACGAAAAGACCGGATTTGAAGCTACCAGCACGCCGGTGAAGGAGTACAGAGAAGGTCAGGAGGTCCTGATGTCCAAGGACAAGTATGGTAGCGCTGTGCGGAACGTGATCGAGACTCGGATCCTGGTGGTGGAGAACGAGCCAAACATGGAGGAAGTCCTGCGGCAGGGCAAGACTGCTGCCGAATGGTTGAAAGCCGATCTGATCAATCTGATCCAGAACGGTAACCTGAAGATCTTCAAAGAGAAGAGCGGACGCAACTTCATCACGATCGAGGTGACAGATTTACCTGAGCTTTGAGTTACAACGGACACGATACTTTTCCAACGACAGGGTCGATTTATATAGAGAAGTTAATGAGTTTTTAAAGGGGATGTAAGTCAATTACCTCGAGAACAGTCTTGTGAATACTCCGCCCACGTTTCCGAACAGGCCGCTGGCCACGGAACCGGCCACGTCGTTGGCGATGTTGTTGGCCTTGCCGAACTTGTCGCACTTGGTGTACGCAAGAGCATTAATTGATGTGAGAACAATAGCCATGACGACCAGGATGAGGGTGAGGAATTGGAATTTGAGAGCAGCCACGAATCCAAGGACCAGCCATAAAAATGGAGTCGTGTATAATAAAGTCCAAAACACCTTGGAATCAATTGGGTTGATATATCTGTTAGGATCTGCGGTTTCGAACACCCACACGGACTGGCCAAGCTCATTGGCCTCGTTCCACCAGCGGAGCCCAACCATCAGCCGGCCGGCTATATTTTTGACGTTCCAAAAGTCCGATGCGAGCAGAAGCATAATGACAATGAAATTGAGGATGTAATTGGAGGTGAACAGCAATCCAAATAGGTACGCTAGTAGCGGGGCGATTCTGAAAAACATGAAAAAGAGCAACGCGACCGGGTGCGAAGACTCTGACAGCCGTTGGTACAGCGTTCTGTCCGCCATAGTAAATGCAACGTATAAAAAAATAAAGTAAAATAATGTTAACTGCGATAAATAATTATGTACAATATGTAGAAGTTTAGTTCTCCTCAGACAAACCCAGCTCGGCAGCTTTTTCTTCCAGCCGGCGTCTCTTTTCAGCTCTGGCGGCATTCATCCGGGCCAGCTCGGCCTGTATCTCGTACGGTTCTTTTGGAATCTTGTTCAAGGTGTCTGGATCTGGCCAAAACCCGGGAACGTTAAATTTCTTGTCTGTGTCAATACCCACGTAGTACATGATGGAGATTGGGGTAAGTAGGTAGAAGGTGAACTGATGTTAGTTGCTGGATGGGGAAAATAACATACCTTTGCCAGTTCAAACTGAGACCGAGAAAGATTGAACTTAAACATGATAGAAATAGATTTTTAACAACTCCTGGAACCAGATATAGCAATTTGAGGGCGGAGGATTTAGGTGATGGGGTCAGACGAACCGCGATGGTGGGGATTTAACAAATTTCGTATAGATGGTCAGGAATCATGGGACTACGGTGAAGTAGTGTGGCCATTTCAATTACGCGCCAGACACTGCAAAAATCCAGACTCCCCCACTTGATTGCACTTTATCTATCAACTTTTAACAATTTTTTCATCTTGTTAGTAAAACCTTCTTTTCCATTGGTTCATGTCCAAAAAGCTAAAGATGAGCCCTCTGAAGATTTGCACCCATTCGGGGACCTTCCATGCGGACGAGTCCCTTGCCGTTTACATGTTGCGTACTCTGAAACAATTTAAAGACTCTGACCTGATACGGTCTAGAAAGGAGGCCGACTGGGACGCTAGCGACATCGTTGTTGATGTGAGCGGAAAGTATGATGGCAAGAAGTACTTTGACCACCACCAGAGAGATTTCTCGGACGTGTTTGGTCCTGGATTCAAAACCAAGCTTTCTTCGGCTGGTTTGGTGTACAAACATTACGGTAAGCAAATTATCAAGGAAAATTTAGAGATCGACAACGACAAGGAAATCGATTTCCTTTACGATCGTGTTTACAAGGATTTCATCGAGGCAGTGGACGCTAATGACAACGGAATCAACAAATATGATGATCAGGACCAGCTCAAACCAAATTTCAGAGACAGAAACTTCCAGCTTTCTTCGGTGGTCTCTAACTTGAACCCATCTTGGATCATCGACCCAACTGACGCTGACTTTGACAAGGCTTTTGAAAAGGCATCTGAGATTATGGGGTTCGCCTTCATGAATTACCTGGAATACATGGGCAAGTCGTTTTTGCCTGCCAAACAATACGTTGAGGCTGCTATTGGTAGCAGACACGAGGTGGACCCAAGCGGGAAGATCATTGTTCTGGACCGTTTTGTTCCTTGGAAAGAGCATCTATACAACTTGGAAAAGGAACTGGGTATCGAGGGCGAGATTCTTTACGTTTTGTTCGCCGATTCGTCGTCTGCATGGCGTATCGCTTGTGTGCCTGTGAGTGCTTCCTCTTTTGATTCCCGTCAAAAATTACCCGAGCCTTGGCGTGGGGTGCGTGACGATGCCCTTAGCGAGCTGACTGGAGTTCCAGGATGCATTTTCGTCCATGCTGCCGGGTTTATTGGTGGAGCAAAATCGAAGGAGGCCGTTGTCAAGCTTGCCCAGATGGCTTTATAGAACATTCTCACTGCCCCACGTAATTTTTCCACGTTATTTTTCATCGAAATAAATTCCAACTATTCGTCGTATTTCATGAGGAAGTTTCTGTCTCGTAGAGATAAGCGCCGAAGTGTGATTGCCGAGCCAGCAATTAGCTCGTTTGGCTCTGCCACACTAGAAGATGCTTACGAATTCAAAGAAACAGACGATTTGAACGATTCCGTGGCGGACCTGAATTTGCGGACTGTGCCTCGGTCCACCTCTCTAGAGGCCACGAAACGCAACTTGATCAAAGGTCTTTCCACCAAGCGCTCTACAACGTCGTTGGCGGCAAACGCATCCTCCAGTGGGGTGCAAAGCTTGATAGATCCTCAGTGGGACGCGGAGGTGCTCAAAGTGGGTTGGCTCAATAAACTTCCTGACGATATCAGGGATGGACCTCGATTGTGTCGCGCCGAGGTGAAGGGATCGTCTCTTCTGGTCTATAGACCCCCACCGGAGCTTGAAGACGTGAAATGTTTTGACATAGACAAGGAATCAAGTTACAGAAATGTGGAAACGTCCACAACAAGTGAAATTAGTCTCCATTCCAGCATGGACGAAGAGTCCACTCTATTTGAAGAACAGAGCCGGTCACGGAATCCTACAATTCTGACAAAACTGCCACCTGAAGTTTCTGGGTCGCAGTTCAGTATTGCCACATCGCTCTCATCGGCCAACGTCCACTTGGAACATGCCGCGGTCGACTACCCCCACCCGGATCTCGAGCTAAGCTCAGATTCAAGAACAATTGTGGACGGCTCGCTCGAGAGTTTGTGTCATGCGGTGCTTTTCAACCCGAACCGGACCGTCAGCGAGGAGCTGCTACAGATCTTGCCGTTGGTTGCTAACGTGAACACGGCTCTGCAATATTTCCAAAAATACATCCAGGTGATGGAGCAAACAGAAAAGGTGTCTGCTAGTAAACATGTGGCCGAGCACAACAATAAAATGGTGGTCTGGGCAGGCCGGCTTGCGCTTGTGGTGGAAACGATAACGAACCGGTTTTCAGGATTACTGCTGGACGAGGAGGTGTTGAGTTCGATTTGGACACTCTTGGTTTTCGTTGACATTTATCAACCGTCAGATAGTTTGAAGACAGCTATATTCCTCAGGTACCAAGAACTGACCAAGCTACGGAGCGCAGACACGGAGTCCGGTCGTCTGGCTGACCTTCCAGCCAAAACTTTCCTCGAGACTCCTTTGGAGACTCTCGCTTCTACAATCAACGCTATCAACCTCAAATATTCCGCTAGTTGGAACCCACAGCGCGACGAATCGCTTCTTTACGAAAACGCTTCTGAAAACCACCCACAATGGCGTTCCAACCCTCTTCTCTTCCGTTCTCCAAACAACCTTCACTATCTTGCTCGTTTGTTGAGCTACCATCTGTTTGAAGATCCTCAGGTGACCACAGCTGCTCAAAGGGCAGAAGTTCTTGGCAAATGGATCCAGCTAGGGTCGCTACTTAACAGCGTGGGTGACATGGTGAATTGGCTTGCAATTGCAACCGTCATCTGCTCTACGCCGATCTTGCGACTCACCAAGACTTGGGCAGCAGTCTCTGCGGATCTGGTGCAACTAGTTAGCTGCAATTGGGCACCCGTCGCGTTTGAACTCGATAGGCGTGCAATTGTCAGTCCTGCCAGCCACCGCGCGTCTTACCACGTTCTTGCTCCTCAAGGAATTGGCAAGAACTATCCAAAGGAGAACGTTGTTCCATATTTTGGTGACCTGTTTGTGAAAAAGGCACAGTACTCGTTCGAAGATGCCATCCGCCATGTCTCCAGAATTCATGCCTCTTTTGCCAAATGGGACGAGTATCTCAAAGACATTCGCAACAGTCGGTCTGCGATGAAGAGTATTCATACCAGGACAGAGGATCCAGAAACTCTCCAGAAGCTGAACAAGGTGTTTGGCTACCACATCCAATCGGCGTCGTTTGGATTGAATGCTATTATGGAACATTCCTTACGTGTGGAGCCGGCCTATACCGGCCAGTTCAGCAAACTGCATGACAAGTCAAGAACGTCGCTGTTCCTTGGATCGTATGCTGCTTTGCTTTTCCCAGAAACACTTAAGAGCTATCGTATATTTGAGCGGGATTCGATGGTGGGGGCCATTGGCGGAGGCAAGACCTCCCATACTGCAATCTCTCAAACCTTGCCCCGCGCGGGGGAGGAGGCATCCAAGCTGATGAGCAGAAACCAGTTCCTCAAAGCTGTACGTGATATTTTTGATGTTGACTCTCACGAGTTCCATGTGGATGATACCATTGTGTTCAAGACTAACGATGGTCCTGCCGTGAAGGGAAGACTTCAGGAATCCAGCTTGCTTCTCAGTGAAAGTATGAGCGTGAAGCGGTTCAGCAACTACTCGTCCAACAGTTTAAGTTTGGATGAGTATTTCAACACTGTTGAGTCTATGGTGGAGGAGAACGAGGCCAAAAAGGAGAAGCTGAGTGTGGAAATTTTGACAAAGGCTGCTACAGTGGACAAGCTGCTGAACTTGCTGGTGTTGACGTACTCTACTTTTGGTTCAAAGTTCAAAGAGCAAGATGTCATCAATTTTGTTGGAGATACGCCTCCAGACTCTATCGAGCTGAAGATGGACAACGGTGTGTTCAACATGACGTTCTTTGCGGTTTACCGAGGATTCTGCTCTACAACGGACGTGTTGGAAGGAATGAAGAAACGGTTTATAGGAGCAAGAGCTGCAGCAAGAGCGTTGGAGCAAGGAACTGAGCCGGATTGGGACGCTGTCAACGTGGGCAGATACGCTGAGACCAATTGGAAGTTTGTGGCGCAGATTCAACTTGGTGTTCTGGAGATCTTGTTGATCTTGGTGGAGAACTACTATCATCATTTCGTTGACAATCTTGAGAACAAAACTATTTTCGACACACTCTTGAGAACAATCGATAACGAGACAATTGTACAATGGTCCAAGATTCTTCTTTGGTTGGAATCTGACGAGTTTGTCAACAGGGAGTACTTGCAACAGGTCCGCAGACTCTACACTTCGATTACAGAGATTTACAAGAAGATGAGAAAGACGTATGTTCGCAAGTGCTACAGGCCGCAAACGGGACCAATTGTTCCTGTATTTACGTCGAATCTGACCATCGTGCCAGCAGACAGACTTTTGCCAAGATCTGGCGACTCGGACAAGCTGACCAAGTTTGTTGAAGATCTCGATACTACTCTGGCTTCCTTGTACAGTCTGACAACGCTGCACGACTGGATAGACACGTTTGAGATCCTGGAGACCCATGCGAGCGAGTCGCCGCTCAGTTTGTCGCAATACGACTCCCAGCCAGTGGATGTTGCTGAGGACAAGATGGTTGTTTCCAACGTGTATTGCTGGCTTGCCAGTGTGAAGGACTCGAACGGACAGTACCTCGTCAACAAGTTTCCTGCTGGAGTGAGATGTCTGTTTGAATTCTACTTTAGATTGAAAGCGTATCTTGCAACGCAAATTCTGGATCCCGGGTTGCAGGAGTCTGATAGAGAGGACAGAATGCGTGTTGCTACCAAACTGTTGGGCATCACCAGTTCTAAGGAGAATCCTCGTGTTCCTGGCATGTTGGAGAGCTGTCTGGTGGATGTGATTTTGTCGCCCGAGTCCAGAACGTTTGCTCATATCTGGAAGAAAATTGCCCAGACAGAGTCTCTGGATAGTGTTGAGCAGCTTGTCCCAGAACTTCCAGGACTCAAGGTTTTGCCATGTCCTGGCTGGCTGGCAGAACGGTTGCTGGAGATTGCGTGCTTCATTCCAAACAAGAGCGTTGAAAACACCAACCTGATCAACTTTGACAAACGCAGATTCGCATACAACTGTATTTCCAACACGCTTGACAACGTGCCTGATTCCGAGTCTTCCCCGCTGGAGACTCCTTTCGGGTTCCTGTTTGAGTGCAGTTGCATGCTGCCAACGCTCGCCGAGCTGTGTCCAAGCACAGAGCCGATCTTCTCCCGCCAGCTGGAGCAGCAGAAACAGTTGCTGGCCATCGAGGCTTCCAGAAGACGACTGTTGGTGAAACAGACCCAGAGCTGGACTGCTCCTCGCGAGACACACAGAGACCACCGTCGTGACAGTGTTCGTGTCTCGCGCAGCGTTCCGATCCGGCCTTCCAGCAGCAGCAGTAGCAGCAGCAAGTTCAAGCTGGGCGGATTGCTCAAGAGCAGACCGTTCAGCGTCAACATGGGCCACGGCGAGCGGATCTCGGGAGTGGACGAGCTGGGCGTTGCTGACGACTTTATCGACTCGAAGCAGAGACCAGTGGTGGCAGTGAATTTGAAGGAGTACACAATCTTCCCAGTGTACCAAACCCCGTCATCGTTTAAGCTGAGCAGCCCGTCCCAGGAGCTGAGTTTCCAGGCCATCAGCGACCCAGAGAAGAACGACTGGCTGTACCAGCTGAACTTCGCCAAGAAGCACTGGTTCTGGTCCAAGTCCGCCAACAAGTACACGCACCACAACTTTGTGTTTGGCGTTCCGCTGGAGTTCATCTGCGAGCGTGAGAGCCGCGAAATCCCAGGCATCATTGAGAAGATGATGAGCGAAATAGAGTACAGGGGACTCGAGGAGACTGGGTTGTACCGTAAGTCTGCGTCTGTTTCTGTTCTGAACGAGATCAGAGAGGTGGTGGATCTGAACGGAGACCTCAACATGGAGCACCAGCTCGTTTTCGACGTGCACAACCTCACGGGAGTGATCAAGCTGTTTTTCAGAGAGCTTCCTGAACCGTTGATCACCAACTCTGTGATCCCGGAGTTTGAGAAAATCAAACAGCTTGCCCAGTCCACCGACAGATTCGACCAGTACAAGGAGATCATGGCGAAACTGCCGTCGTGCAACAGAACGCTACTGGCACGGTTCGTCAAGCATCTTAAGATGGTGGACGAGTACAACCAGCAAAACAAGATGCCTGCTTCCAACTTGGCCAAAGTGATCGGCGGTCTGTTCATTGAAGGATGCCGGCCAGAAAACAACCAGTACTTTGGTCTCATGACGTTTGTGTGCGAGGACCTTATTCTAAACTACGACCAGGTCTGGACTTCATAACTCGTTAGATCATTATACACTTGAAATCAACCTTGACGTTCGGGCTTTCGGAGTTGGCCTCCACGTCCAGCTCTGCGCGCCAGTGCTGCCGTCCGTTGTACTCAGACTCCTCGAACCCGTGGTTCGACTCATCCATATAGTGCCATTTATAAACCGACGATGTTCCGTACTGGTTATACTCCTGGCTCTCCCCCGCTTTCGTGAACTTGTAGTGGATACCGCTCATCTTGTTGATCTCCGGCATTAGATGCTTCTGCACGTGATGCTGTAGCTGCCGACGGAACTTCTTGTTCAGCGAATTCATCTGCGGCTTGATGTTCTCCTCGTTGGAATGGATCTCCGACATGATGAACGGAGGCAGATACTGTAGGTGAACATCCATGTTATCAAACTCGTTATCATAACTTTCGTCCATGATGTAGTTTTCAAACTCCTCCAGAGAGTCAAACACCATCTCGCGCGAGGCCCGCACCTTTGGGGCTGCACCCAGATGCTCAATGTCGTGGGGCTCGTTGTGTTGCACTTGTCTTTGTTTCTTTGCCATGGTTATTGGATTTGTGTATAACATCTGCCTCTGCCCCCCACCCTTATATACACCACCAGCTACCAAGGTCACACCACATAGCAACCCGCATCCCGCGCGGATTACGTAACCGGAAAACTCCGGCGGAGGTCACAACGGTAAATTTATCCAGCCGGACTTTTACGTCCAACATGGTGGTTATACAGACAGTCGACAACAGCACCGTCGTGGCCAAAGCCAAACCCATCTCCCCGCAGGCTTTTGCTGCCTACGGCGGGATCCTCGCCTGCGATCTCCAAATGGCCGGCGCCAGCCAGAGCTCTGCAAACCAGGGAACAGCCGTGAAGCTGATGAAAATGGCCCCCGTTACAAACAACTACGCCAATGCGCCCAGCGGCAAGCCCGCCACGGCCAACTGGAACATCTTCAGGTCGTCGCCGCCAAAACACCTGTTTGGCTCCAGCAACGGCACAAAAACCTACACATCCAAGGTGCTGGAGCGACACCCGTACACCACCCAGACGTTTGTGCCGATGGGGTGTTCACGTGACCTGGATGCGTTCTTGGTGATCGTGGCCCCGGACAAGGAGGGGCTACCTGACTACGAGAAGGTGGAAGCATTCATTTTTAAGGGCGACCAGTCGGTCACGTATGGAGTCGGCACGTGGCACGCGCCAATGGTGGTTCTGGGCGACACGCACCTCGACTTTGCCGTGCTGGTTCACGAAAACGGTGTCGATCTTGAGGACTGTGAGGAAGTTGTGTATAGTGGGATGACTATAGAGCTGAATTAGAAGGTAATTATTCGTCTGTATCCATTCTGTCTGACTGTTCGGAAGGTTCTGGGGCTGGTTCTGCCGGTTGTTCAGGGTCCTGTTCCTGTTCTTGTTCCTCGTCCTCTGGCTCGTTTCTATTTCTGTTGTTGGACAAGGTGTCGAGGCGGTCGAGCCATTGCTGCACGTCCTCGTCGTCGTAAATGGTGAAGTTCTCGCCCTTGCCCACAACGGCCACGGTTGTGTTTTGTGCGTTCAGTTCTTTATCTTGCGACAATGTGTCTCTCAATGCTGTGAGGGCGTCTTCTATCAGCTGTTCCTTGGACGCGTCGGCAAAGTCCTCGTACTTGCGCTCCAAGTACGTTCTTGCGGCCTGGGATCTGGCCCCGATCGCCGCACCAACGTACTCCAGCACGCTTCCCGAAGGCTGGAACTCAAACAGGTGTGCTCCGTTCTCGTCCACGCCCGCAACCAGCAGCCCCACTCCGTACGGTCTGCCTCCCGCAGACTGCGTGTTGTCCTGGGCCTTGTCGGCAATCGAATACACTGCCTTGCCCAGGTTCAGCGGCCGGTTGAACACCATCTTGGAGTTCATGGCCTGCTGTCTCAAAAAGTTCGACAAAACACGCGCGTCTGGAGCGAGTCCGGCCAACGCTATGCCCATGTGGTTGTCCACCTTGATGATCTTCTTTTGGTACGAGCCCAGCTCCTCGGCGTTTCTCTTGAGCGCCACCAAAACAACGTGGGTCTTGGAGGTGATCCCCACGGCGGCGGACCCTTGTTTGATGGCCTCTAGGGCGTACTCGATCTGGAAAATCCGGCCGGTGGGGGAGAACGTTGTAGCGTCGTTGTCATAGTTGTTACGAAACTGGGTGTGTTAGAATCTCTGCAATTGGGAACACTTACCATTTGTGCCAGTGAAGCTTTTGTTTTGCCACTGATTTTTTTCCAAGGTCGGACGGCTTATGTAAGCGGTGGCAGGGTGGGGGGAAGGGCAGAGAGGAGCACAGCGAGGAGCGCAATGGGGATGAGGAAGGAGACGCGTTAGGTCGACCGGGAGAGACTCTGAAACACGTCCCAAACAGCAGTTGACTCTCTGCCGTCAAGGCTGGCACAACCTAGCAGAGTCTGGCCCAGCCTCCAAGAGTGCAATTGGGCCGCCCTGCACCGCCACTCGCAACCCAGTCCATCTCTACCTAGCCAATTGAGCCTTTCCTGCTTATTCCCCGCTTATTCCCTGCTTATTGCCTGCTTATTCCCTGCCTGCCCTGCCCATCCCCTGCGCTCCAAAAAAGCCACCCCAGTGCAAGGATGTATTCTTGCCTTCAAAATTAACACTGCTTTTCATGACGTTCAAGCTCAACCCGCTCACCAAGATCATCGGGCTTTCGTCCGTGCTGGCGCTCGGGTTCCTGCTCGTTGTGCTGGCCGGCGCATTGTACGCGAACTGGTTCCCAATTGTGGTCGCCGTGATCTTTTCGTTCGCACACATCCCGATCCTCGTCACCAAGTACTACTCTGCGGAATTTGACAGCTACCTGGACGACCCGGACACAGCCTCCTCGAACGACGTGGTAGACTTTGGCCGGTTTCTATCGAGCTTTTTGGTGGTCACCGGGGTCGCGTTCCCAACGATCTTGTACCACTGCCACGTGATGACCCACGCGGCCGCCGTGCTCAGCATCTGCGGCGGCCTGCTCATCTACGGCACCGTCGTCACCTTCACCAGCTACTTTGACGAACTCGAGACAGACTCGCTTGACTTTTGATCATCCCAGGATCTGGTTTCCTAATCGGGAAATTTCCGCCAATCACCACGGCTCTATATTGCACAATACTATCTAGATTAACCGTGGCTAATAAACTTAGACCTATATGTTTTGTACTTTTGACAACAAGCTGTCGGCCCTGGACACCAAGCAACCAAGATCCCAACATGCTAACCTTCATGTCCAAGCGGTAGTTTCTCATTCCCACGGGCTCATGCCCAAGACCCCCAGGATCCACAACAAGTCCTTTGTGGGCACCACGTCCCGGTCCAAGAACGGGTGTTTGAATTGCCGCCAGAAGAAGAAGAAGTGCGACGAGGCTTTCCCCGCTTGCGGGCTGTGTGTGCGTAGCCACGTCCAGTGTGTCCGCAGAGACAAGAAGACCAAATCAGACAAGGCGGAGAAAGCACAGCCAATAAGAGCATCTAGACAGTTCAGACAGACAGAACAGTCGCTCACGATGGCTAAACAGACAATCCCCGAGGTTGACGACGATTTCGCCGCCATGGACGAGTCCCAGATGATCGAAAACCTGTATCTGAACGATCAGGAGCTGATAAGGGTGTTGCAGGCCAAGGATATCCGCAACCACCTGCCGCCAGCCGTGTTCCACCTGTTCACAAACAAGATCTCGCCGGCCATCACGGTGCCTTCCTCGGTGCTGGTGCGCTCATTGGACGAGACTGGCCGGCTGTTCCTCGACCATTTCATCTCGTACATTACGGCAACTTTAACTGCGTGCCCCAAGAAAGTGAACCCGTGGTCCAAGTTCATCATCCAAATGGCTGCGCACGATGACGCGATCCTGAACGGCGTTGTTGCGTGGGGAGGAATGTTTCTGGTTGGCCACGATAACGATATCGCACGCCGGTACCTTGCCCGGTGCACCAGTCTCACCAAGAAGAAAAGACAGAAAGCTCTCACAGAACGGACTATCCAGGACTACCTCTCGCTGGCAACGTGTTTCATCGTGCTGATGGGGTCCCAGATCTCCACGGGCGACATCAAGTTCTGGTACCACATGTTTCTGCAATTTAAGGACGTTTTCACCGAGTATGGTGGGGTGCTCAAGTTCATCAAGGACAACAAGCATCTTAAAGAGGCCCGGTGGATAGTGTCGTACTTCTTTTTCCACGACATCAACACCATCAGAACGGCCGTGATCGGCACCCACGTCGAGATGGATACCTACAAGGAGATTTTCCAGCGCCAAAAGCTGCTGGAGATGGACGAGTACGGCATCGATCCGTTCCAAGGCTCGGCCCCGGAGATCTTCCTCATCCTGGGCGAGATCCTGTGCAAGAAGAAGGAGCTGAACGACTTCAAGACCAAGATCTGGTGTCTGGAGTTGAGTGGGGACCCTTCGGTGGGGGACGAGATCATGAAGCTGCAGCTGGAGCGCACCGAGCTGTCCTGGACGGCGTTCGAGGAGCTGGAGACCATGATCCTGCAGTCCAGGCCGTCGCTCGTGCAACTCGAGCAGATCTCCCACGACACAGAGCTGCTCACGTTGCATCTGACGCTGTTTGAGCTGCTCCAGATCGTGATGCAGCTGTATTTGCGCATTGCGATCCACGAGACGGATTTCCGCGACGAGGAGATCGTCCGGCTCCGCAACCACGCGGGCAAGCTGCTGGACCTGGTGATCGGCACCTCGTTGCAGGTGTTCACCTGTTTGGTGCTGATGATTCTTGGGGTGGTGAGTTATGACGAGAAAAGCAGAAAGGAGACTTCGGAACGGTACGAGCGGCTCACCAACTCGTACGCGGTGAAGAACGTCGAGCTGTGCTGGATCGTGGTGCAGGAGTGTTGGAAGATCGTGGACGAGCGCGTTGCAAACGGGGAGTCCTGTTTTGTGGACTGGTGCGACGTGGTGGAGAATTTTGGGTGGGAGTTCTGTACATGTTAGCATATATTTATTAGGCATTACATACTAATTATTCCTCTTCCTTGGGGTCGTTATGGACGTTGCGTGCCTCCTGCATCAGCTCGTATAACTGGATAACCTGTTCGTCGCTCATTTTGCTCAGGGCCTCGGAGTTGAGCTTGTGCTTGCGCCAGTCCTCTTCTGTGTTCTGGAGCACGGCTCCAAGATAGTCCTGCCACGCGGTCAGGAACCCCACAATCTGGAGCGGGTCCTCCACGTGTGCGTGGGCCTTGAACTCTGCGCGGACGTACGAGTCGCCGAGGTGGCGGGCGTCGGGAGGGAGCGTGCGGTGGGCACGGAGAATGGCTCTGTAGAGGGTAAGTGGGGGGAGCAGCCGCTTGGTGTCGCGGACAGGCCGCCGCGGCCGCACTAGCAGCGAAAGAGACGGTCTCATTGCGAATGATTTTTTCAAATCGGATTTTCATCGCTCCGGTGTGTGGGTGTGTGGGCGGGTAGGTGGGGAGAAACACGGGAGCAGAGACGTGGCGGGAGCACATCCAGTGCTGGCACTGGGTGATACCTGCTGTGGCTCGGCGAATTTCCACCTCCACCCACGTTGTAACCCGCAACCGCACCACCACATAACTCCCATAATGGTTCCCACCCCCACCAAAACATTTTAACTCACTTATTTTTGGCCATGCTCCAACTACAACAGATAACAGACCCAGACACCCTCTGGTACGTGCTCTCGCACAACCACGAGAGCTGGGGCGGCAAACTGTCCGTGGACGAATACTGCGAGCGCGAGCAGCGCAACTACACCCACCGCCTGTGCGACCTGTGGAGAGATCCCTCTGTGACCAACGGCACCTACTACTGGGTGCTCAAGGACACGGCGCTGTCCCCCACCGATCGCCAGGACATTGTGTGTGCGTGCGAGTTTCTAGTGCGCGACTCGTACTACTTTGACACCGAGCTTCGTGCGTGCAAGTCTGCTGTGGTGGGGTCTGTGTACACGTTGAAAGACCACAGAAAAAAGGGATACGCCACCAAGATGCTGGCGATGCTGGTGGACAAGATGAAGGAGATTCTCACTGGCGAGCACGACTTCACGTTTCTGTACAGCGAGGTGGGGGAGTTTTACGCTCAGTTTGGGTACAAAAGTGCCAATGTGCCGCTCGCAGAGCTGGCAACTGGGGGAAAAACAGATATACAGTACACCCCCATCAGGGGCGAGCAATTGGCCGCGTTTGTGGACCAGTACGATAGAAAGCTACAGGCGCTGGTCCGGCGCGAGCCAGGGTCGGTGGCGGTGAAGCCTTCCCCCGCCGGAGTGGAGTGGTTCCACAACCGGTCGGTGCACCTGGCAGGACTACAGAAACGGCAGTTCGATGCGAACTGCTTCGGCTTGAACATAGGGAATGCATTTGTCATTTGGTATTACGAATTCGCTACCGACAGAGTTACCATTCTGATGCTGGATGCGGAAACAAAGGAGCAGGTGAAGCAGCTGCTGGAGTGCTGTATCTGTGAGTGCTCTGGTGTGAAGAAAATTAGAGTGTGGCACGACGAGCTGGTGTACCACGGTCGAGACAGAGATCCGGACGTGCTGGACGTTGTTTTGGAGCTCGGGGGCCGGATCAACTTGGAAAACGAGAGTCTGCCAGCGATTGGAATGCTGCACTCGGAGAAAACCCCGGTCTGGATTGGCAACAGCAAGTGGCCGTGGTATTAAATATGCAATTGGGGGGTGCGATGCGCCTATTGGATCTTGAGGCTGTTCATCAGGGCCCGCGAGTTGTGGCTGTGTTTGAACGGGTTGTCGAACTCCAAGATGTTGGTGATCGGCGAGGTGTTTGCACTGGAAGGAGCAGAGTCTGGGTACGACGGCGTGGATGGCGTGTGCACCAGCGATGGCAGGTCTGGAGAGTACTGCACCTGGCTCTCGAGGTCCTGCGGATAGTACTTGGTGAGTTGGACCGGTTTAGGAACGGCTCTTCTAAGAATCACCAGTTTATAGATGGCATAGAATCCGACCGCAAACACAAACAACAAGCACAGATCCAGCACGATCTCGGCAATTCCATGGTATCCGGCGCCCTGAATGCTGTGCTGGTCGACCAGGTAGTAGTTGAAGAGACCAAGACCGATTTCATGAACCGGTCTAAATCCCGGCTGGTGGGCTTCTGGAGGGATCACCAAATACTTGTTGTTGAGATCCTGGAACAGATGCTCACGCAACAGGACCGTGTCGTAGTGGGGAGGAGGGACGGCCATGGCTTTGTTAAAGTGGGACACTGTATTTCAGGAGGAAGAGTGGGCAAAATTTTAAGTTAATCTTTTTCCCAGTGGAAGTTTCCAAATCGGGTTATAACAATATAAATCCCTGTAGGTAATGTATGCGGACTAAATAGTGGCTCTAAAGAAGCGAAGTTATGACCGGTTATAACTTGTGTTTGTGGGAGGGAGAATGTGATTGATCAGATTGAGTTTGGCGGGGTTCACTGGTCATATTATGGCAACCGGGTCGCTCTTATAACATTCCTGGTGCCCTAAGTTTCTATTATAGGATACCTGCAAGATTTGGCTTCCACCACCCAAAAGGGCAACCCACAAACACTAAAAATTTTAAAATTAGGTACAACCGGATCGACCTTTTTCCAGGTCGATCGACCGTGCTTTTTACGGCAACAACTTTCCTATAAAAGCGATCTAATATTATTCACTGCTGAGCACACTGGACGCCCGGCTGGCCGTCCTCGTCATCCTCGTCCTCGTCCAGACCTCCGCGTTGGCGCTGGCCGTGTTTCAATGGGTCCACGTCGGCCAGAACACAAGAGTCGTCCACAGAAGCGTTCTTTGGAATATCGAGAGCAGGTCTGGCAGGCAACACCTTGCCCAAAGCAGCGAGCTGTTCCTCTGTAGCAAAGCCCTTTGGTGGGAACACAACCTCGAAATTGATGAACAGGTTACCGTTTCCGCCGTGTCTCTGCACAGGCATACCTTTTCCTTCAAGCACCTTAACGGTTCCTGGAGAAATCACCTCGCCAGGAATGATCTCCACTTTGAGATAATCGCCGCTCAGATGCTTGATTGCAAATTCTCCGCCAGCAAGAGCGGTGAGAAGATCGATCTTGGCGTCATAGAACAGGTCTTGGCCTTGTCTTCTGAACAATGGATGTTTCTTCTCGTCAATCACGAAAATAACGTCACCAGGAATGATGTCTGGCTGTTGGTCACCTTCTCCAGAGAAAACGACTCTTTGACCAGCCTGCATTCCTGGATCGATGTGAACCTCCAGGATCTTTCTCTCGTTAACGACCTTCTTACCCTTACAGGTCTGACATCTGTCCTTTGGAGAGATGATGTCTCCTTCTCCGTTACAAACCTCACAAGTGGTTTGGAATCTCTGGATCATAGGACCCATTTGTCTGGTGACGAACTTCATTCCCATACCGTCACAGGAAGAACACTTCTTCACGTCCTTTCCACCTTTACCTTTACAGGTAGCACAAAGCACGGTCTTGTTCAAAGCCAACTTTGTGGTCTTTCCTTTGTACAACTCCTCCAAAGTGCAGGAGATGGTGTGCTTGATATCTTTGCCCCTTTGTGGTCCCGAAGGGCCTCTCTGGCCGCCAAAGCCACCAAATCCACCAAAGAACTGACTGAAAATGTCTGCTCCGTTCATGCCTCCCATTCCTCCAGGTCCTCCTCCGGTGAGGCCCTCCTCACCAAACTGGTCGTAAGTGTCTCTCTTATCTGGATCGCTCAAGATCTCGTATGCCGCAGACATTTCCTTGAACGTCTCGGCAGCCTCTGGAGACGGGTTTTTATCTGGGTGGTATTTCAAGGCTCCTAAACGGTACGCCTTTTTCAGCTGCGAGTCGGTGGCGTCAGGGGACACTCCGAGAATGTCGTATAGCTTGGTATCTTTCACCATATTAGCAGAACTTAGTGTTGATCTGGACTGGGTTTATAGAGTAGTCGACTTTCAACGGATAATACTGAAACTTCCAGTGGATCAGTGCAGATATTGCCCTTTATCAAGAAAAATCTGATATTTCAACAACTATAGACAAAATTTAGAAAATTTGTATTTTTTCACTTCGAGTCGTGTCTGAGGAGAATATTTCTGGAAAAATCCAGACGTGGTAGCCAGTTGGATGTGGGGGCCGAGGTTTGGTGTCAGTACCAAATGGGCCGTTTGGCGGCTGGCGGAGGCGGTGGAGCGGGCACGGGTCTGTTCTGGTAGTTGTCTGGGGCGTGGTGCTGCTGCTGCTGCTGCTGCTGCTCACGGGCAATCAGCAGCTTGCGCGCGCGAGTGTGCACCAGAGCAGCGTTTCTGGTGGAACAGCCGTTCATCCACGCAAAAAACGACCCGATCAGCGGCGGCAGCGAGATAAGAAAGTCAAACAGAATGTTGGCCTGCATTTTCGAGTACGTTGTCGGGTCAATGTCGAACACGTGACTGGCCATGTGGATCAGTCTCGCGTGCACGGCAAACATCAGAATCGGCCCAATTCCCGGCAGGCACACCACGATCGGGCCCAACCCAATCCCGCAGTCCACGGGATAGCACCCCAGGAAACACTTGTCGTCGATCCAGGCTCTTCGCTGGATCCGTTTCCAGGCCTTTTTTTCCTCCTTACTAGCGTTTTCGGGCAACTTCAGCTTGCGCGTCGACCCGTCCGGCATCGTCTCCACGTACGGGTCTTTCGTCTTGACCTTGTCGCCGGCAAACTCGTTCCACTTGTCCATGAAGTCGTCGTAGAACGGAATCGACTCCAGCTGGTTCTGCACCGTCTGTAGCGTGTTTTCTATGCCCGACATGCTGCGCTGTTAGCCATACAAATTCCGAATCTCCCGGAGCGGTTTCCTGTTCTGTTGGAGTGCAAAACTATAACCAACAACCTAGTTAGCACTTGCTACTCCTATTTATAAATGCACAGCCCGGTATTGATTTTTTCGAACAGATGTCCAACCCACTACTAGAGACCCGGATTTGGATCGACGGGTGCTTCGATTTCGCCCACCATGGTAAGTACGCGCGCACGTGACACTAACTCCAGGCCACGCGGGCGCCATGTTGCAGGCCCGGCAGCACGGAGACGAGCTTTTTGTCGGGGTGCACAGCGACGAGGACATTTTGGAGAACAAGGGGCCGGTTGTGATGACGCTGAAGGAGCGTCTGGCCGCCGTGGACGGGTGCCGTTGGGCCACGCAGTCGGTGCCGGGTGCGCCGTACGTGACAGACCCGCAAGTTATGGACTCGTACCGGTGCAAATACGTGGTCCACGGCGACGACATCACGACCGACGCGAACGGCGAGGACTGCTACAAGACGATGAAGGAGCTGGGCCGGTTCATTGTGGTGAAGCGCACGCCCAACATCTCCACGACCGACCTGGTGGGCCGCATGCTGCTGTACTCGAAGAACCACCATCTGGCCCCGATCAGCTCCCGTCACTGGGACGAGTACGCTGCGGGAGAGGCGTCGCACGAGCTGCTGTTGCCGGACGCCGTGCAGCGGTACCGGGCGTACGCCACGTGCGAGGACGGCAAGAACCCGGGCGTGGCCGTGTACGTGTATACGGAGGACACCAGCAAGTTGCACGAGCTGGTGGAGCCAAGTGGTGGCCGGTTTGCGTCCAAAAACATCTACTACATCGACGGCGGGTTCGATCTGTTCAACCCGGGCCACATTGTTGCGCTCAAGACGCTGAAGGAGCGGGCTGTGCGTGAGAACGCGGTTGTTCTTGTTGGAGTCAACAGCGACGACGACGTGAACAGACACAAGGGCCTGAACTATCCGATCATGAACCTGTTTGAGCGGTCGTTGTGTGTGCTGCAGAGCGCGTACATCGACGGCATTGTGCTTGGGGCGCCGTACAAGCCCACGGCGGCGTTTCTGGCCTCGTTCGACGTGCCCGTGGCCAAAGTTTTCCACGGCCCCACGTCCGAGCACGACGACCCGTACGACGACGTAAAGCAGCTGGGATTGTACGAGAACCTGGGTCGCCACGAGTACGACCACATCTCGACCGAGGACATCGCGAGCCGCGTGCTGAAGAACAGAGCCGCGTACGAGGAAAGACAGCGACGCAAGGGCTGGAAGAGCGAGCACGAGCGCCAGCTGGAGCAGCAGGAAAAAAAATAAGCTCCGATATTAAATATTGATAATAAAATATTTTCCATGGGGAAGAGAGCACACTCTGGCGGCGGGCAGGCGAAGCGATTCAAGACAGGCGTTCTGGTGGAGCCGGGACAGGTCGGCATCTACGCGTCGTGCAACCGCCACAAGGAGGGCGCCGGTGCCAAGGAGCTGAAACAGCTGCTTAATGATCGATGGAGAGAGTATTTCCCGGTGGATCAGCAAGAAGCCACCGACTCGGCCGACGAGGACCACAAGGAAGAGTCCATCGAGGACTCCATCAAGCGCGAGCTGGCAGAGCTCAACAAAACCAACCAGGACGCCAAGATGAAGGAGTTTGTCAAGGAAATGAATATCAACTGCGACTCGCTGATCTTCATCAAGACCAGAAAGCCAATTGTGCCGTCCTTGTTTGTGGCGCGTGTGTGCGACGAGCTCTACGAGTCAAAGGCAAAGAACACGCGGTTTCTGCAGAAACTGACTCCGATCGACTACTCGTGCAACGCTACAGAGACGGAGTTTGTCAAGATGGCCGAGAAAGCGTTTGCGGGCCATTTCGACAACGGCGAGTCGTACTCGATCAACCTGATCAAACGCAACTTCAGCATCATTGACCGCGAAAAGTTCAACGAACTCATTGCACAGCAGCTTCCAGACCATCGTCTCAACTATAGAACCCCGGACAAAATGATCAACATTTTCTGTTTCAAGAACAACATCGGCATCAGCGTGGTGGACTTTGCCTCCTACAACTCACGCAGCAAGTACAATCTCCAGCAGCTGTTTGACAAGGCGAACGGTCTTGATCAAGACACCCCTGCACCAGATAAATAGCGGCTTAAATGAAAAATAAATGTGAAAAAAAACTTGATGAAAATTTTTATGGGAAAATGGAGAACCAATTGACGGCGGTGATTATTTGCATTGACCAATTGTTCCGCCTGAAGGCCGAACGCCAGTGTTGACAATCGCATCTCGTTAAGTTTCAGCCTTGTATGAGCCACAAGTGGTTGACCATTTACCCATCGAAATTTTCTAAAGTTCGATGATGATCCACCGACCGGGCGGACAGACTAGTACCAAAAAGCCACATCTCGCGGTGTAGCTGCGTTCCAAGTGTACAAAATCGGGGCGCGGGCTTTTTGGGAACTGTTGAGAGGTCGAAGATATCTGACGAACATTGGTAGCTGGGAACCATTTCAGTAGGAACTGATTTCTAACTACCGTCTCGATTCTATGATGAGCACGATATTCACACTGTAAGAGGGTCTCGGCCCGTTGAACGCAACCAAAATACTGATTTAATGACTCTGATGAATCGAGATTCGTACAAATAGCTGTCGTTTATAGAGTAAATTAATACTATTTATGCATTCAGCGTATTTCGCACACGCTGTTTACCAATGTAGAGCTGATAATGGCTGGCTATCACTTCTTCGCGCAGTTCTTTAATTTCGTCGCGGTACCTGAATAGTTCAAAATCGTCCAGAAACGTGCTGGTTGCACTTGTGTCGAGCAACTTGCGTCGCTTACAGTCTTGCTGCTGTTGGTGTTGTAGTCTGCCCTTTGCATGGACTCGCTCAAACCACAAACTCAAGTCCGAGTCCAGCTCGTTGGTGTGAGTTGTTGGGGCCTCAAAGAGCTGGATGCGGAAGTTGAAGATCTTCTCCAGGTCCTTGATGCTCGTGTTGAACAGATCGTACTCCGCCAGCTGAGCACCTCTGCATTCCATCATCCTGAAAAGATTGCGAGAACTTCTCCTGAGCGGACCCAAACAAAGATATATACGAACGCTTTGTACTCAATCGGGCAATCTCGATCGGCATCCAAATGATAAGATAACAACTGTGGCAATTCCGAAATGTGCCGTGGCTTCGCGGGTGGCGGTGCGCGCCAATCATGACAAAATTCCGCGCGATTGCCTGCGATTGCCAGGGAAAAATTTCGCTATCTCTCGTGGACTAGGCGACTTTCGCCCAAAGAGGAAACCGCATCGCTATCGACGTCAAACTCGAGTGCGTCGCTTTCTGTTGCTGGGCCCGAGCTCTCTTTCTGCTGCACAGCCACGGTCTCTCGCCCGACGATATTGCGAGACTCTGTTTGGTGGTTATAGTTCTCGAGGCTGGTGATGAACTCCACGATAAGGTGGATCGCCAGCAGTTCGAAAAACAGGTTTAGCGGCAACAGCCACTTGGGGTCGCGTTTCACTTTGACAAAACGCACAATTTGAAGCGCCGTGCTGAGCCAGAAACTGATAACCGTGATGATTAGCCATGCCACCGTTTGCAGCTTGAAGTCGAAATCGACCCGGAACATCCAGAATAGCGTCGCCACACTCCAGATGTACACGTAAACGATGCACGTCAGCACCAGCGCAACAAGGTTGATCCAAATCTTGAACTTCTGCATCTGCTCTGCAATCAGGAAATAGTGCACCGAGTTGAAGGCCACTGCAGCCGTCATCAGCAGCGCGTTCGCGATGTTTGTCACCAGCAGCACGCGATACAGCTTGCCGCCGTTGGAACTAGTCCGGGTGCTGAACTCCAGCACCATTCGCTCACAGACATAGTACCAGTTGTAGCATATCATGAACCGGATCACGCAGAACGGGATCTGGGCGTACAGTTGGTTGAACAGCTTGGTTACCACCTCGGCCTGGTCCTGGTAGCAGTTCTCGAACTGGTTCTGCATGATATCGCTCAATCGCACTAGAGCCAGCGTCGCAAACACGGCCGGAACAAACGTGGTGAGGTGCAAGTACCACGGCCGTCGTCCGGAGGCCAGAATCGCCAATATGAACAGCAACCACGATGCCACCGCCACCGAGCACATCACAAAGTTGATAATCAGCACCGAGTCCATGAAACTGTCTCTTGTGGACGGCAGAATTGTATCACTGAAGAATTGTCCGTTAGACTGCAAATACTTGTGGAGTCCTTCCAAATCAGAAACGTTGGCAAAATAGAGCGACAAATGCGTCGTATTGACAATTTCGCCCGAGCTTGTTTGAAACCCGCCAGGCTCGAGCTGGTAGATCGAGTAGTTGCCATGCAGCAGCTCCCCGAGATCAACCATGGCAACAAGAGGTTTAATTTTAAATGCTTAAATTTTCTTTACACAGCCACGAAATAGATCAAGTAGCATTACTTGTCGCGCGAACGGCCTGGCCGCGCAAACTTGCGGGTGTCCTTGAACGCGGGCTTGTTCTCGAGCTCACGAACGTCGATGTTGACCACGTACGAGCGCTTGGGCTTCTTGTACTCGTCGTCGTATCTATCCTGGTCGTCTGCCGGTCTGAGGTCAAGCTCCTCGATCGGCAAAGACAGCCGGAACTCGGCCGACTCTTGGAAGTTGGACGACCCCCGCGACTTGTTGGTGATCATCTTGCTTTGTAATTCTCGCACAAACATAAAGTTGTTCACTCCGCGACGGTGGAACGTGGACGAAAAGCCTTCCGGATAGGTCGAGATCTCCTGTCGTTTGGCAGAACTGGTTGCTCCCGTCTGGGTCAGGTCGCCGTTTGGCGACGAGGACGAGCAGTCGAAAAACAACAGCATCTTGGAGTCCCGTCCCGTGGACTCGTTGGTGAACCTGCGCGACTTGAACGGCAGTTTCTGCTCGTTAAACAGCTTCACTACGATCTTGAACCGGATGAACAGGTCGTTCTCGGGAGAAATCTTGGACAGCTTGGCGTTGGTGTCCTGTTGCAGGTTGGTGATGTCTGCGTAGTCCTTGAAAGCCTGGTTGATCAAGGCCAGACACTGCGCGTGCGGCGTGTCGTACGGGAGCGAGGCCACGTACACCATGTATTGTGTGGGCTGTCTGGTGATGATGGTGCGGATGTACTTGATGACCTTAGCGTGCGAGTCTGGTTTGGAGAATGTCCGTTTGGCTGGTGGCTGTGGCAACGACACCTCGTCTGCCACGGGCTCTGGGCCAGAGTCCTCGGAAAACTTGCGGGTGACAAGTTCTGTGGTTATTTGTTCTTCTTTGCTGTGTAGCTTGGGTGTTTGCAGGTCGATTGGCGACGGAGGCAGGTTCCCCAAAGAGAACCCGTCAAAAAGCGGGTCCACGTAGCTTTGTGTGCGGTTGACGTTCGAAACCTGTGCCAATTGCGACCCGGACGGCGTGTTGGCGCCCACCTCCGAGCTAAACAGGCTCAACGTCAACGGAGAGGCCGGGAACCCGGTTGAATGTGCCCTGACCTCGCCGCTGGAGTTGCCGTTGAAGTCTTTGCGCTGGTCAATGGCAGGGCTCGGGAAAAACCGCGACATGCGGTGCGACACAGGCGTCTCGTCGATGGATCCGGTGCTGGCCCACAGCACGGGCGAGACCTGTGCGTTGGGGTCGTGCCAGGGAGGCTGCGACGAGCTGAACGAGCTGCGCGACGTATCCATCGAGCTTGTCTCGAACATTGCGCTGGAGATCTCGTTGCTCAGGTCGTTCCACAGTCGGCTGGACACCTCGTCGGGGAACGAGCCACGGCCCGCAAAAGCGGCCCCCTCAGAAAGCGTGCGCGACTCCTGCGGGAATATCACTGGCGATTCCCGTTGCGAGGTGGACTTATTCCACACGTGCGACCCGTTGGGACTGGACGTGCTGGACCAGATGTTCGCCGTGGCGGGCGACTTGCGCGACAATCCAAGCGTCTTGATCCCCTTTTCCAGCCCCACAGACTTGCTGCCGAACGAATTGGTGCGATTAGAAATACCTATACCAGGCGACGGCTCCGACTGAATAGACGATATCTTCTTGAACAGACCGTTGGCCGACTGCGGCTTGAACTTGCCTGCACCCAGATTCGTCTCGTCGGGAGCCGCCCGGGGTGGTTCACTCAACGGATCAAGACCCATGACTAACTCAAACTTAATAATATTTTCTCTTGTGTATCGTAGCTAGTAGGGCTTTTTCCCCACATCCGTACACGGGGGGAGGAGACGATTGCCAGAAAAGGAGGTGCTGCTCCAAAGAGAAAAAAAAAAAAGTACGGTTAAGGAATTACATCAGCAACTTGGAGGTGTTGAACTTTTCCAGGATTTTTGTTTAGGTAACCAGCACCACAACGGAGCAGGTTGATACGGGTAACGCTTTAAGACACATTTGGGAACAACCAAGCGAACAAAGTGAGTATTTGCGGGGAGGCGATTGTTGTTTTTTGGGCGTGGTTGTTGTTCATTGCGCAGAGTGCTAGCATTGAGCTTCGCAACGGGCTTACTCAAAGAATAACGTAATCACCAGACACGGGCACTAACCTCACAGCGATGAGCGAGAACGGCGGCAATTTGGGAAGCATCGACCCATCTTTCCAGAAGATCATCAAGACACAGAGCCCGGAGGGCCAATTTGAGGACGAGGTTGCTGCGGCAGCCGCGGCTATTGCGGTGAACAGTGGTCGGGGCGGGCCAGGCGGCGTGGCAGGCGGCTCCAACGGGGGTTCTTCGTCGTACAACGGGCAGTTTGCCGGTTCTGACGGCAAGGTGGACGCCAATAGTGGCTTACCTGCTCCTCCGAACGCTGTTGCTCCAAACTCGCGCACGGGGACTCCAGACGCTGGTCCAGGGCTCCAGGGCAAGGACGGCTCGATCTTCCACCACGGCAAGCCGCTCAACACCACAAAGCGCGCGGCTCAGAACAGAGCTGCACAGAAGGCCTTCAGACAGAGAAGAAAAGACCATATCGAGGAGCTGGAAAAAAAACTCACCGCGCACAGAGACTGCGAGAAGACCATCGAGAGTCTGAACCAGGAGATCTCGCGGCTCCGGGACTACATCATGCAGCTCCAGGGCAAGTTGATCAGCACGGGCGACACCAGTGTGACCAACCCTCCGTTGGGACTGTTTGGCAACGGTGCCTCGTCAAGCACCTGAACACGGACCCGGTGGATGTTTCCAGACGTATAGTATAACAAGTAGTGTTTTGATTAGATTACGAGTGTGCGAATAGGACACGATGAGAATCATCTGTCGCCAAGAAAAGCAGTTGGACTTGCGTGAGCAGACTGCGCTTCCCGGCTGGGTATTCGGCGTGGTTTTTTCTCTGCACAGAGACACATCTCCTGAACACGTGAATTCTGAGGAAACTTAAGTTGTGCATCGGGTAAACAAATCCACAACGTTGACCAACGTTGTAGGCTTGTTAGTGTTGATTAAAAATAATTTTTTTGCTAACCTTTGTTTCTCCTTTAAGTAACACAAATGCGGCTTTTACTCAATCGCAAGTCGCGATCGAGCAGTTCTCCGCCAATTCTGACGGAGCCCGCTGAGGACGGCGGTGGGGGCGATGAGCAGGACAAACAGCCCAAGGATGAGGTGCCCAGCCCCCGGTCGCTCACCATGGCAATTCCACATGCTATGAAGCGCGGGCCGTCTCCCATCAGCATTTTCAAGAAAACGTCGGGCCGGCTTGGTGACGAGCTGTCGTTGGCGTCGCCAGCGTCGCGGGCGCTCGAGTCCACCACCCGGTCCGTCGAAACGTTCTCCGACAACCTGACCGACAGAGTCAAGAAGTCGGTAGATGCGCTGCTGTCGCCGACTTCTGCGATCAGAAACCTCAACATCAGCGACGACGACTCCGCCAGCACCAATTCCGCCGACATCGGCGACTACGACGACGACGAGTACGACAGAGACCATGGTCCCGAGCAATTGGTAGCAGACGACGACGACGCTGCGTTTCCGATCCGCCGCCACTCAAATGTTCAAACAGACGTGGAGTCGTCCATCATCGGAGGCAACCCGGCCGGCGTGGATTCCGACGATCTGGACAACGACGAGACACCGGGTGAGAGTTTCTCGACACAGAAGATCTTTTCGTTCTCGTTGCCGTTTGGCTCGAACGGGCCGTCCAAACAGAGCCGGCTGTCGTCGCTGCGGTCTGTGCTGAGTGCAGGGCGGCTGAAGGAAGAATCTGACGAGAAGGAGCTCCAACGCGAGGAAATCAGGGCCAAACTGTCGCGACAGGAGTCGATCTCGACGCTCGAGGAGGCCCTGCTATTTGAGGACGTGACGAAACTCCAGGATAACAAGATCGACGCGCTGATCAAGTCGCTGCGGCCGGCCGCAAAGCTGCCGGTGAACACGTTGCTTCCGGACTATTTGCGCATCTTTGAGGAGTTCGAAGGCGACGTTATTGTGCTTGGTGGCTACCGGGGCAGCATTTTGCGGGACTCGGTCACGAAACGGCGTGCGTGGATTCCTGTGCTCAAGGCCGGGCTCAACATCAAGAAGATCGATCTGTTGCTTGGTCCGAACGACGAGGACGAGCTCAACGCCGAGGAGAAGATCTATGCGGATGGCATACTGTCGCACATCGGCCCGGTGGACATTTGCAAGAAACTGCTCACCACCTTGGAGGCCAACCCGAAGATCAAACTGCACAACTTCGGGTACGACTGGCGGTTGTCGCTGGACATCCCGGCCGCGCAATTGCACGAGCTGTTGAAACAGATCAAGGCGCGCAGCAAGAAAGGAGCGCTGATCATCGCACACTCGATGGGCGGGCTTGTGTCGCACTCGGCCATGATCAAGGACCCGTCGCTCGTGCGCGGGATCATCTACGTGGGGACGCCTGCTCCGTGTGCCAATATCATGGGCCCGCTGCGGTTCGCAGACCACATTCTGCTGTGCAAGGACCTGCTCACCTCGGAGGTCAACTTCATGATGCGGTCGTCGTTTGTATTCATGCCACGCAACGGCGAGCTGTTCAAGGACAAAAACACCGGCGAGTTGTACAACGTGGACTTCTTCGACCCCAAGAACTGGATCGAGTACAACCTGAGTCCGATCGTGAGCTCGATCCGCCTGGCCCAGGAGGCCGGCCAGCCTGTGCCGTTGCACGTGAAACAGCAGACCAAGTTTGCCATTTCGTTCGAGGAAGCGTACAAGTACCTGTGTCGGACGTTGAAGCGCACGACGGAGTTTCTGGACTCGTTGGAGTACGACGAGTCGCTCGAATACCCGCCCATGGCCGTCGTGTACGGCAACACGGTACCATCCGTGCGGTACTCGCTCGTGGACGGCATCGACGAGGTCAAGCAGGGCAAGTACTACCATTTCTTCTACGGTCCAGGCGACGGAGTCACCAACCAGAAATGGGTGTTCCCCGAGAACCGCGGGTTCCCGCTCGTGGGCAAGTTCAACTCGCACAAGGGCCACGTTGCCCTGCTGACCGACCTCGAGAGCGTGGGCAAGGCCATGCTGGCCATCGTGCGCGCGGAGCAGCAGAATTAGAGCGATGTATATATTGTATTAATTTGCGTCCAGGACTCAGTCCTGGGCCTCTTCGTACTTGACAATCAGCCACAGACTGCAGCTCGAGCACTGGACAATCAGCTCGTACATGCCAGGACCGGTGGAGGTGCCCTTGTCGAGGTCTGTTTCCGAGAGCTCGAATCCGTGCGGCGAGGTGCACCGCGGACAGCTTTTCGTCCAGAGGTCTTTGTGCGGGTCCATGTCAAACTCGTCGAGCGAGTACACCTCCAGGCCGCCGCCGTTGGCAATCCCGAGTCGCGACAGCTCTGTTTTGCGGTCCTGGTCGTAAATGTGTCGTTTGGCGGTGTCCACGAGCGTTCGGTACGCGGCAGTGATACGGGCGATCTCGTCGCCCTCGATCGCGGTGCCCGTCTTGTCCGGGTGCGAGGCAAGCAATCGCCGCCTGTACGCGTCCTTGATCTCGTCGGTAGACGCCGATTCCTCGACCCCTAGCACTCTGTAGAAAGATTCCATGCCAGTGTAATTTCCACGGCTGTGCAGAAAATTTTATGAAAAATTTAATCAGAAATATTTTCAAACTAGAAGCATGGACCGGTCTGTGGAAGTTGACGTGAAAACCGCGGATGCGACAGACTCTGTTGTTGTGAGCTCGTTTTTCAACGGCGTGGAGATCCCGGCGTCGGCCTCGTTCGACCTGTTCCGCCACAAGGACTCGTACCTGGTGCACGGCGAGACAGACACCTTGCAGTACGACGGACAAACGGTGGCAGACGACCAGCAGTACTTTATCGGGGTGTACGACCCGGCAAAAAAAACCGTCGAGCTGGTGAAGGCGCCGCTCGTGGCGTCGCGCATCACGTCGAAACGGAAACTCAGCATCCCGCGCATCAAACAGCAGGACGTCCAGCGCAACATCCAAAGAAACGCATTGGGCGAGGCCTTTGGAACGAAAAAGGCCAAGAAGGCCATTCTGGACATGGAGAAGAACAGAATCGACTCGTCGAAGCTGGAAACAAAACAATCAGACATCGTCGACTCGATCAAGATCAACACCTCCAAACTGCCAACCAGCGCACAGATGCAGGACGATCTGAACGAGACCAGGGTGATTCCGCAGTTCGATGTGGAAGCCACCTCTGTGGACGATATCTACCCGCTGGAAAACATCATTTCCGCCAAGGAACTCGCCAGTATCCGTGTCGAGAGTCTGCAGAACGACCAAACAGAGCCAAAGGACAAACTGGACCTGCTACCATACTCCAACTCGCGCTACTTGCTACGTAAGCTAGCGGCCATCTCCAAAGACACCCCGGACCGCAAACTCAAGCTGCAGATCGTGTACTACGTGTCGTTGCTGATGGGTCTGTACGCGAACCGCCGGATCCACTCCAAAGACCAGCTGATCGAGTCGCTCAACCAGCCGCCCGTGGTGCTTGTGGACCTGGTGCTGAAAAATTTCACCATTTTGCGCAAAAACAACAGAAACTACCTGATCGACCCGCGTTGCGAGGACAAGATCCTGTGCTACTTGTTGGCGCTGATTCTGAAGCTGGACGAGTACCAGGTGGAGATCTCGCCGCTGGCACAGGAACTGTCGCTGAAACCGTCCAGATTGGCTGCGTTGTTCCGGTCGTTGGGCTGTGTTTTAAAGAACGCTACCGCAGCACAGTGCGAGAAACTGGGCGTTCCAAAGGCCATTGCCGCCAACTACAAGATCGCCTCGCTCAAGGTGCCGTTCAAAGCACCAGAACAGGCCAGACGCGGCGGCGGGCCTCGAAGATAGACCATGTCTCAAAATCAATAATTTTTCATTATCATATATCATAGCACGATTAATTAGTAGAAGCAGCTGTTCAGTATCTGTACCGGTCTCTGACAGAAAACACAACCATGATCCACGCCATCACAAGTGCAACCACGCCAACGCTCACGTTCAAGGTGAACATCGGAGTCATTCCTCTGTATTCCAGCGCAGTAATGACAGGATCGGTGCTCTCCATGAAAACCAATCCTCCACACAGCAGACAGAACGAGGTGATGAGCTCTGTGAACGGCTTGGTTGGATTGAACGATTTCTGCGGGTAGAACATCATGAGTGCGAACGTGGCAAGTCTCACAAGCGAGCCGTACGTCAGTAACGAGCCCCATTGCACGTGAACCTGTGTCGACAGCTCGGAAGCCTGTTGATGTTGGGACATCAACAGTCCGGTCCAGAAAATGGTGAACGCTGGGAACGGATTAGGACTGAAACCGGGAGTCACGTGCGCAGGACGGTAGCCGTCAACCTCAAAGTCTGCACCAAACTCGGTGTTGAACTTCTCCAGTCTCCAGTCGGCCATCTTGTTCTCTGCAATAACTCCACAAAGTCCAGCCCCAAGATACAAGAATGCGATCGAAACATGCTGCAGATCCTTGGCGGTCCATTCACCGCCCGGCGATGCCAGGTGCTCCATGAAGATGTTGGTGCATCCGTAAAACAAGATCAAAGAACTCTCGAGCATCTCCATCGTAACCATACCTTTTTTAGGTTGAATCTTGTACAAGAAGGAAGTTGGCTTTTCCATTGGCGAAATGTAAGACTTGTTCCAAGCCCAGCCCATCTTGGGCCAACCTCCGCAATATCTGGCAAGAGAGACGATTCCCATGCTGAAGAAGACGCCTCCCTTGATGAAATGGGCCAGCAAGTTGAAAACATGCTCGTTCATTCCAATGCAGCTCAAAACTGCAACTCCTGTTGGAGCGTAAATTAAAAAGTAGCACAGCATTCCCCAGTTGAGGAAATGGTAATTAAAGGTGCAGACCACCCCGAAAACAGAAACTAGCTCTGCGACAATGCGGTAGCTGAAGATTTTCGAAAGAAGCCTGTTGTATCTTTGCGGCTCTGCCGAAGCGAACTCCATTGCGTGCGGGGTGCCTGGTGTGCTTTCGAGGTCGAACGAGTCGTCACTGAGACGTTGCATGTGGTCCTCTGGATCATACAAGGTGTTGGAAGGAGAAGCGTATCCGTCCATTGGGGACAAGGGGATGTCTTTTCCCGGCAATGGCATATGGTTGGTGTTGGAAGGACCCTCGAGCCATTTTTTGGCCGTGTACACAAACGCACTGGCAACGTGAATGAGGACCATGATGGCCAGACCAGAGGTCATTTTCGTGTATGCATTGTTAGGATACAAGTCGGGAGCCGTGGTGATGAAGATGGAGTAGTTTGCAATGGACACTAGAACCACGCCCGACTGTACAACGAGAGCAGGGAAAAACATCTTTGTGTCTTTGACGGCAAGCGCAAGCGGGTACATCACAACGTATGCGAGATAAATAAGAGCAAGGTGAATGTACAAGTTGGTCTTGTGAGGAGTATCGATAGTAAAGTAGGAAGTTGTGTTGTAGGCCTCCCAGAAGAGTCTTTCTGCCGGAGTGAGCTCTGTCTCGAGGATAGGCACACCGTGCATGTGGTGGACCTCATGGGGCACTGGGACCAGCTCGGAAACGTTCACGGGCTGTGTATTAGTCATGTCGCCGTGGGTGTGAGAATCCATATCCATGGCCGCCACTGTTTGGGAAACAAGCAGGGCCGCTGGTAACAAAAGCCGATTGAGTTTCATGGTGCAAGCAAGTAAGCGGCTTTGACAAGTGGGAAAAAGCCTATTTAAATTGTCCTGTAGGGTATATTCGCTCAGGAGATAATCGGGCTATAATTGCAGAACTGTGAGCCGAACCCTTTTTATGAATCCCGAGAACAAGGGGAGTACGCGTAGTTTCCTTTAATAGAAGTGACTAATTTGGGGGAAAGCGTAGTTGCTTTGAATCAGGAGAGTCGGAGGTTGCAGACAAAACTAGTGAGTCCGTAACCAAGTCCGGAGTTTAGTGGAAGTAGGAGATTATTTGACAGGAGGTCGGGAAGAACAGTCTTTGCGGAACAAGGACTGTTGTGGATGATGATTGACAAACGATCGGGGTTTGAGCCGGTTTTATGTCGGTGGTGGAGATGTTACAGTGGGACGATCACTTTCAAGAGGGTCTTGGAGCCGGTACGTGCACTACACAAGGTACTTTTCTCGGGACGTTAGGAAGCCGCAAAATGGCTCGATTGGCGCCCATAAAAGTCTCGGACGGGTACACAATAACAGCCTACACCGACCTGCGTTGTCAGAAAGTCCATCCGAGCACTCATTGGGTCCATGTCAGGGGCTCTATTCTTGCAATCGGCCAGATTGTAGACCGTTTGACACTTTTGGAAGGTTCCCGAATTTTTTTTTCACATTAGACCTGCATTAATTCCGAACAAACAGCCCCAAAAATACCAAACGGCTCGGCACCTTTCGGAACTGAGCGAATTGCATGACTTTTCGTCTGACAAATGCTTAGCTAAGTAAACAAAGCCTGCACTTGCAATCTCCGATCAGTCAGTCGGTACACATCCTTACACCAGAAACCGTCCCCCCCTACACATCTCTACCCCGCCAAAATTGGTTTGCGATATATATTTAGCCATGTCTCCACGCGGTATACTGAAGAACGCCCCCCACGAGGAGGAAACTCCTGTTGAGACGCCCGACGCGGGCACTCCCGACGTGCAGGAATTCGACAGACAAAAGGTGATCGAGAACACGCTGCTCAACTCAAAGCTGTTCCGAGACTCGTCGTCCAAGGGCGACATCATCAGGTCCCAGATTCAGGAGCAGAAACGCCGCCAGTCGCACTCGGGAAGTCTGGAGCATCTGCAATGGGACGAGAAGAACATATTGATCAACGAGCAGGAGAAGTCTGCCACCATGAAGATAGACGAGCCAAAGACTCCGTATGAGGGCGGATTTGATCCCAACAACGACTACTACCGCACAGACAACGAGGACGAGGACCATCTGGACGATTTCGATCTTGGAGAAGGTGCCGGCGACGACGCACCGTTGAAAAACGACGACAGAATCGAAGTTGTGGCCCAGGAACAAGAAAACCAGCCAGAGGAGAAAGAACAAGAAGAACAAGAAGAACTGACTCCTGAACAGAAACACAAGCTGTTTGAAGAAAGACGAAAACAACACTACCATCTAAAAGCCAATCCATTGAAAAAACCTATCCAGGTGAGAGAAGAAGAAGAATGAGCCCTGCTCAGCGTCGTTTCACCGCGAGAACACTGGCAGGGTCTAGTTTGGTTTCGTAACACATTTTTTCCAGGCGCAGGAGCTCCTGCTCCACGGCCGCGACGTTCTGCGTGTCGTACGCGCGTTTTTCCATCTGTTCCAGACGTTGGCCATAGGTTTTCCGCCATTTGCAAAAATCGTTATATGTGGGGAAAAAAGCTTGTCCTAGCTCGTCCGAGCGGGACAATTTTGCCGTGTCGTCGACGCAGAACCACTCGCCCGTTCGCGTCCATACCGAATGGCCTTTCAGGCGCTCGCAAAGGCGGCATTCAGCAATGGTGGGCATCGTTTTCGCGGTCAGTTTCCGCTCCACAGGCTCTAACGGAAATAAAAGCTTTTGAATCGTGTCGGGGAGCCATCTCCCCAGGTAAAAATGGCCCATGAATATGCCGAAATTCGACACATGGTGCTCGTTGTCGTGGTTCGTCGCCACCTTTGGGAAGTGGTGGTAGAAGAAGTTGTTTTTCTCGGGTATCTCGTCGAGCTTCCAAAAGTCCTTAAACTTGTCGTTGTGGCGGTCGAGGTACCGATGCAGCTTGAAGTTGGCTATGTCCACATAGTGGTTGATTTCGTCCGGGTCCACTGCGACGGGCTTGCGGTCGAGCGTCTCCAGATCGTCCTCTTGTAACGATATATCATCAAACATGTCTAGATTTTTTTTTGATCGGATACCGTTGTAATTCATCCGTTTCGGGCCCGCGGGAAAATGACAGGCAAGGGGGTGCGAGGTAGTCATGTGACCGGTGGTCGCGTGACCTCACAGAAGCCACAAACTACATATTTTCCGGGTCACGTGACTGTTTTAGTGGGATTGGTTCGATAGGAAAAAATTGCAGTGGGATTGGAAAACGAGTTTCGTCATAGGTCCAATGCGTGACCTTGGATTTACAAAGCGTTGCCCAGTGTGTGTTGCCGGGTAAATAGATAGGAGATGTACGGGGTCTTAAGAGTTCGAAAAAGCGGAGAAGCTGGAGCAGCCTTCCGCTGGCTGTAGTTACTCCTCTCCGTAAAGGATCGGGCATGTATGTGTGAAATCGGACCAACCCATCGTGCAAGGTACGCTAAACGTGTTTGCAACCTCCCGCAAGATATGGAGGGGGGTCATGCGGAGAACGGCAAATTTTTCGGCCGCTATTGTTCGGCTCTTGGGTGTAGCACGCAGCCCTATTGTTACCCCGTAGCTTGTTCCCAAAGCGAACAGGTTAGTCAGTGGGGTAGCAAAAGACCCAACACCAAACACGCGGAGATCTGGAAGGGTATATATTCGAAAGAAATCGGGATATTCTTCTTTATCAAAATGTCTGAGTCCATCCATTCAGACACAAACTCCAAAGTTGAGGCTGTCAACAAGTCCTCTGGCTGGTGGCCCAAATCGCTCACTTTCAACAAAGACGATGCGCCACCGCAGATCTACAACAGAACGCTGTATCTTTCGATTCTTGTTTTCGGAATCCTGGGGTGTGCCAGGGGGTACGACGAGGGAAACATCGCCGGAACCGTTGCACAGCTGGATTTTATCAAAGAGTTTGGCCTGAAAGACCCATCAAAGACCGCCGACCAGCTCGCCAACCTGAAATCCAACATCACGTCGATGGTTCAGTTGGGTTCCATCGGAGGAGCTCTTTTTTCTATTTATGCTGCAGAGAGTTTGGGAAGAATCAGAACGATGCAGCTGGGATGTTTTGTTTGGGCCATTGCTGCAATTATCCAGATCACCAGCCACAAAGTGGGCCAGTTGTACGCTGGCCGGTTGATTGAAGGTTTGTGTATCGGTACCACTGTTGTTTGTGGACCGTGCTACATTTCCGAGTGTGCTCCAAAAGCCATCAGAGGAACGTGCAACAACATTTTCGCCGGTGCGGTGTATTTCGGTATCATGCTGGCCTATTTCGCCAACTACGGCACAGCGCTCCACCAAACAGGCCGCAACCAGTGGGTGTACCCAACGTCCATCAAGATCGTTCTTGCCGGCACCATATTTATTCTCTCCTTCATCTTCTGCATCGAGTCGCCAAGATGGCTCATCAAAAAGGGCCGCATCGAACAGGCACAGATCAACTTTAGCAAGCTCAGACACCTTGAGCCAGACCACCCGTACATTCTGTCGGAGATCGCCGACATCAACGACCAGCTGCAGGTGGAGCGGGACGCCATCAACGGCTCCTCGTTCTGGAACAACCTCAAGTCGCTGGCCACGGTGAGAAGCATCCGCATTAGAATGATCACGTGCATCATGATCCAGATCTTGGGCCAATGGAGTGGGTCCAATGCCATCACCATCTACGCACCAGAGCTGTTTGCCATGGTGGGCAAGAAGAAGCAGACCGACAAACTCATGATGACTGCCTGTTTGGGTGTGGTGAAGTTCACCGCCGCTTATTTAAGTGCTTTCTTCCTGATTGACTTCATTGGCAGAAAGCGGTCTCTCTACGGCGGAATCACGATCCAGCTGATCTCGTCGCTGTATTTTGCTATCTACATGTCGATCGTTCCACAGGCCGCTGACGACGACCCCCACCTGACCCCATCGCAGCTGCGTGCGGGCCAGGGTGCCCTTGCTTCCATTTTCTTCAACGGTATTGGGTGGGTTATGGGCTGGAACTCGATCCAGTACCTGTTCAACTCGGAGGTGCTGCCGCTGCGGGTTAGATCGCTCGGTACTGCCGTGGTGATGGCGTTCCACTTTGCCAACCAGTACGGCAATTCCAAGGCTGTGCCATCGATGCTGATTTCGCTCACCAACGCGGGGGCCTTCTACTTTTTCATGGGTGTGTGTGTCCTGGGACTGATGTTCTCATGGTTCTTCATTCCTGAGGTGACGGGCCGGTCCTTGGAGAGCATGGAGGAGCTGTTCTCGCTGCCGTGGTACCTGATCGGCAGACGTGGCGCGCAGCTGGCTCCAGACCACTCCGAGATCAACAGAATCCACTACAACCCGTCTGGCCAGGGCAACGCGCACGCGGGAGACATCGACGTGGCCATGAAGGACCAGCCGGAGCAGATCGAGTACGCCGACGACAAGGTGGCGGAGCGCGAGCTGCAGGAGGTGACCTAGGCAGAGTACGTACGAATAAAAGTAGCTACCAAAAAAACACACCCACCCATATTTAAAATTCTTCGGCTGTGCTGTTTTTCCTATTTTTTAACATGTCGGACCATCCAGTCGCACAGGAGCTCGTGTCCATGGATTACGACACGTACGCGTCCGAGCTGTCGCCGCTCGAGATCGAGACGCTCAAGCAGTACCAGAACCTCGCGCTCAATTTGATCCAGCTGAAAAACGATATCGTCACCCTCAACAAGGAGGTGGACTCCACGTCCAACGGGCTCGCGCGCGGAGCGTCCCCGAAAGACAGCCTGCTTGAGGAGCTGCGCGAGCTCGAAACAAAGGTCTCTGTGATCTCCACGCTGTTCAAGTCCAGCGTGTACCAAGTGGTGGTGAACAATTCCAGCAACCTGGGCCCTACAAACGAGTTGACTACTAGTATTCAGGACGACACCATATAGCTTTTCTATGTATCAAAAATGACGACCTTGCCGTCGTTTCCGCACGAGCTGAACCGTAGCACGTCGGTGCCGTTTTGCTGGAACGGCCGCAGCACGTTGATGGTGTTTTGGTGGACGGTTGCCAGGTGGCCGCTTTTCGCGTCGCTGGAGCCTTTCAGGTCGAGCTGCCGGAACATGTTGAGTGCCGACTGGCTTTCGCTGGCGGCGGTTTTCTTGGTGGCCGGGTCGTCGATCGCAGACGTTTGTTGCCAGCCGTTCGGGCCGCCTTCGAACACAATCGGGTGGCAGTCGTGGCCCGCAGCAATCACCTTGCTAGGCGACGCGAAAAGCACCGTTTTGAACGGCAGGTACGACGTGGTGGCCTTGAAAACGCCCGCAACCTCCTGCTCGCCCGGGCCCGGGTACACCACGTACAGACTGGAGTCGTTGCCGACTGCGGCCAGAAACGAGAACGACGGGTCGAACTTGACGTCGTGCACCCACGAGCCCACGTTGTAGTCCAGACACAGGGTTTGGAACGGCAGTCTTTCCCCCCACACGGTGGAGGGCGGCTTCGCGTCAATGCTCTTGATGAACGTGGAGAAAACCCGCACATGGCCGTCTGTGGACCCGCACGCCAGCAGCACGCTGTTCTCGTGCCAGTCCAGCGACAAAATGGTCGACTTGAGCGGTTTCTTGATGTGTTTCGAGATCCACCAGTCGTTCTCCACCTCAAAGTAGCACACCGCCACCACGCGGGCTGAAGACCCCACCGCAAACTTTGTTCCGGAAGGACTCCATTTCACGCTGGTGGCTGCCCTGTTGATACGCAGCAGCACCAATGTGGGCTTGTACTCGCCGGACGGTGTTGGTTCCCACACCAAAGCGTTTCTATCCTGCGAACAGGTGACAATCTTGCCGTCCGTGCTGATATCCAGCGCAGTGACGGCCTTGTCGTGGTGCTTGAGCACGGTCACCAGACGGGGCTTGCCGGCAACAGAAAGGTCGTAGATCTCGACGTCGTTCTGCCGCGAGATCGCAACGGTCTTGCGGTCCTGTGAGAAGCAGTGGTCGTAGATGGGGTCTTTGGAAAGGCTAAACTCGATAAATTGACTCATGTCAGGAGGAACTCTCTACTGATAGGTGGCGAAAAATTTCCGTGGGGGGTGGAATTAATGTAGTATACAGTGGGGGGACAAGAACCTGCCATTGACTTACTCGGCCGGCTCTTGCTTGATCTCTGGGGCCCGTTCCTCGGTGGACTCCTTTGCCTGTTCCCGCAACGGCTCCTTCCACCGCTCCACCATGTCGTTGTACAACACCGAGCTCAGCTCAGCCTTTGCAATGTCCTTGCGGAACTGTTCGCTCTTTAACATCGTCAGCACGTACAAACAGTTTGGATAGACAAGCTGTTTCGCGTACTCGGGCCGCCGCCAGTACTCCAGGTACCGCAGGTAGTTCAGAAACCTCTCGTCCTCCAAATACCCCGTCTGTGCCAGGTACGTGAGGTACTGTAGGTTGGCCAACGACTGCACAAACTACGTGTTAGTGAAATTCTCCCCCCCACTAATCAACTTACCTCCAGCTCGATCTCCCACCGCGTGGGCAGATCCTCCGCAGCAATCTCCGCCATGTTGAAAATAAATATTTTTACTTCTTCTTTATGCCTCCGTCTATATACTCGCACCCGGTGGGGCGGCATCTCGAGGTGGCCGACTCCAAGCTCGCCATCATGGCCCGCAAGCTCAAGATCTCCAAGTTCCAGGCTTTCGTGGCCACATTGTACCCATTGACCATTTTGTTGGGCCAACTGGTTGCTATTGCGTCGCCCACGGAAATCACCTCCAACTACTTCACCTCCAAACGCAACATCTTCAACGTGCTGTTCGTCAAGAAAGGCTGGCTGTGGACGTCCGTGGTGTACTTTCTGCTGCTTGCACGCGTGCCTGCAACGTCCCGCTATGCCAACGCCAGCTCGCTCCAGCAGTCGCTCAAACAGTACGTCTGTGCAACCGCGTGGTGGATCTTCTATTCTCAGTGGTTCTTCGGGCTGCCCATCATGGACAAGGTGTTCATTCTCACGGGCGGCCAGTGCTCGGGGATCTCGCCCGCAGCTGCCATCGACACGAGCAAGTTCAAAGTGATGAGCTCCAATCTCGACGAGTTGCTCTATTCCTCCAGCAGCATCACGTCCGCCAAGTGTCGCGCCATCAAGGGCCGCTGGCACGGCGGCCACGACCCCTCGGGCCACGTGTTCATCTTGTCGTTGAGCTCGATGTTGCTGATCCTCGAGTGTGCCCGGTTCTACTCGTTGCAGGACCTGCAAACAGAGTGGGCCAGGTTCAAGCAGTCGACAGCACGGTTCTGGGAGACCAGGTCGCTGCAAACAGCCACGCCGCTGCTCAAGGACTACCCCCTCGTGTACATCGCGCTGCTGCTCGTGCTCTGGTTCTGGATGCTGTTCGTCACGTCGATGCACTTCCACTCCTTTGTCGAGAAACTGGCCGGGCTCGCGTTCAGCTACCTCGGCATCTATGCATCTATCCGGCTGTTCCAGTGATCACACCGGCAACAGCGACTTCCCCACTCTCCACGCGCTCACGGGGAGACTCTGCAAATGCAAAACGGTTTTCCTGATCCATCCATAGTACAATAATATACCGAGCACTATGCATAGCAGGTTTGTGTTGTAGTAGCCGTCTGCGATCGTCGTGCACACGCCGCCGTGGCCCGCACAGTCGTCCTTCAGCGACGCGGTGTAGCAGTTGTAGTACGGCGCCGTCTCGAACGGGTTCTGCGGCATCGGGCTCGTGGGCAGGCACTTTGCGTTCGTGAGCTTGTCAATCAGACTCAGAACAATGATCTTGGGCCACTGTCCGCCCAGATTGGAGAGCGTGTTCAGCGTCGTCATGTACGTACCACCGATCAACGGGTCTGCGATCTTGGTGTGGAACGCACAGATCGACACAAACTGGATCGTCGACATGAACGAGCCGAGCAGGTGCTGGAAAATCACAAACAGAAAGTACGTCTTGGTGACCTGGCCGCTCTGCGGGAAGCTCCAGACGAGGATCTGGCCCAGTGCGGCCGCAACAACACGGCCCAAGTAAGCGTACATCCAGGGCTTCAACGGCTCGTCTCCCGTGGACCATCTGGCAGAGTAGTAGCCAAAGATGATCTCGAACGGGAAGTCGATCAACACAGTGATGGCCAGGTCTTCTCTGGAGAACCCTTTATCAAGCAGTTTGAGGTTGGTTGCTGCCTCGTTGGCCTGGAATGCGATCTTGGACACCAGGTGCACCAAAATGAACAGTTTCACGTTCTTCAGTTTGATCACGTTCCACATCTTCTGGTACACGCTGATCAACGCAGCTCTGCCCGACGGCTCGCTGTACGCCGTGTGGACCTGGGATCCGGCAATCCGCGTGTGTTCGTCTCTGTGGAGCTCTTCGAGCTCGATATCCTTTGGCGAAGCGTGTTTGTCGACCGACAACGGGTCTTCTGGCACGAACAACGCAATCAGCACCGTCACCAGCAAGTAGATCCACCCCCAAAACGACATGTACTGGCCGAGCGACAACACGCCCTGTGTACTGGGGGTGCTCCGCAGGTACGAGTTGGCAAAGTCCGGGGAGTTGAAGGCCAGGAACACGGTGAAACTGAGGAAATAGCCCGTGTTGAGGCCGATTGTCTGGGCCGTGGACGCGTAACTCAGCGCATCCTTGGACAAGATCGTCAAGGCCCAGCCGTCCACGGCAATGTCCTGCGTTGCACACAGCAGGATCAGAAAGAAGAATGTGTATGTGAGGGTGTAGAGGTTTTTCTTCATATTGAGCATGACGTTGTCGATGAGTGTTCCGAGCACCAGCAGCGTGAGTCCGGAAACGGTCTGCACGGGGATGATCCAGGACCGTCTTCGGCCGATTTTCTTGAAGAAACACGAGTCCACGATCGGCGACCACAGCAGTTTCAAAGAGTAGGGGTACGACGCCAAGGAGAACACTCCGACTTGGGAGTAGGTGAGTTGGCCCGATTTGAGCAGGAACGGCACCGCCCCGAACGCAAGGCCGATGGGGACTCCCTGGATCAGGTACAGCATCACCAGCAAAAAGAACCGGGGACGGTCTTGCACGGGCAGGTTTTTCTGAGGGGGATCAAGGCCATGGTCGAGTTTTGGGTCATTGGCCACGGGTTCTGGTCTAGTCTGGGCGGCCACGTCGCCATGGACGCGCGGCGACGGCGAGTTCGAGTCGTCGTGGCGTTTGAGCGAGTTCGCGTACAATGGCAGCACGTCCGGGGTCTCGCTCATGGGAAAAACAATTTTGCAAATAAATCAAGTCCTATTAAAGCGTATACATATTACTTTTGCGAATTTAGGAATTCCAACACCTGTGTTTTCGCCTCGTGGGTCTTGACAATCACCACGATCAGTCCGTCAGAGCCAACCTCGTACTGTAGATTGCCCTCGTTTGGGTACGCCACCTTTTCGTCAAAGGAGTCGAACCACTCGTTCACCTTGTCGATGGAGTCCACGCCGGCAAGAACGTGTTCTTCGAACTCGGACGCGTTGGTGCTCCCGTCCGCGTTGGCCTCGCCATCCTGCGTTAATAGCAGCACTTTATAATCGAAACCAAGAGACATAAAAACTTTTTTTACGCGTCATGTCGCAGCAATTAACACCGGCACTCAACAGTCTGGAACAGGTGATGTCGTCGCCTGGACCGGCGCGCGAAAAGGACCGCGACGCGGCGATCCGCACCGAGCTCGACAAACTGGCCAAGATCAACGCCGCGTTCGAACAGAGCAGTATCTCCATCAGAGAGTCCACCAACTACATTCGCAGAATCAAGGAAAGCACCGTGAAGGCCAACGAACTGATCCAGATCTGGGGAAAGATCTTGTCGCAGAACAAACACACAGCACAGCTGCTGTCGGACCCGGAAAACACATGGAACGGAGCCAGCCACCAGGACGAAAAAGTGGCAGATAAGCTCGCGCAGTACGAGGAGCTGCTCCAACGGTACGAACATCTTGTCGCCGAGCGCAAGAACGACGACAAGCGCAGGCGCAGAAAGTAAATAGGCTGTATACTAAAATCATCTCGTTAAATCTTATTTCACAATCTTGCAGATCAGGTCGCCAGCATCAACACTATCGTTCTCGTTGACCGTCACCTCGGAGATCTTTCCCGAAACCGGCGAGCTGATCACCATTTCCATCTTCATGGCGCTCAAAACACACACCGGGTCGCCCTTCTTGACCTCGCCGCCGTTGTGCACACGCACCTCGATCACCACTCCGGCCATTGGGGCTCCAACCTCGTTCGGGTTGTGAGCGTCCGCCTTTGGACGGGTCACCGTCTCCACAGCAGCAAGCTTGTCCTCAACAGTGACCTTTCTCATCTCACCGTTGAACTCGAAGTAAACCTCTCTGGTTCCGGTTTGTGGAGAAAGATCTCCAACTGCCATCACCTTGATCACAAACGTCTTTCCTTGCTCGATCTCAACAGTGATCTCCTCCTCAATCTTTGGTGGAGCAAGGAAGAATCTCGTTGGCAGCACAGAAAGATCGCCGTACTTCTCCTGGTTCTTCTTGAACGCCTCAAACACCTTAGGGTACATGTTGTACGAGGCAACGTCAAACTCGGTGATCGAGGAGCCGAATCTCGACTGCAAGTCCTCCTTGATCTTCTTGAGGTCGAATGGCTCGAGCTCCAAACCTGGTCTGCGGGTCAGCTTTCTTCTCTTTCCAGCAAGAATGTTGGTTCTCAATGGCTCTGGGAATCCTCCGTACGGAGTGCCCATCAGTCCTTCAAAGAAGTCCAGAACAGAGTCGGGGAAGTCCAACTCGGAAGCCAGTCTCTCCACGTCTTTGGAAGTCAGCTTGTTGGAAACCATGAACTGAGCAAGGTCTCCAACAACCTTCGAAGTTGGAGTCACCTTGACAATGTCGCCCAAAAGCATGTTGGCGTCCTCGTACGCCTTCTTGGTCTCTAGCCATTGCTCGCCCAAACCAACCTGTTGGGCCTGGAACAGCAAGTTGGTCAACTGACCACCCGGAATCTCGTGGTTGTACACCTCTGGGTCTGGACCCTTGAGGTCGGCCTCGAAACACGAGTACAGCAGTCTCATCTCAGACCAGTAAGCGTCGAGCTCTCTGGCGCTCTCCTCGGTGATACCAGTATTGATCTCCCTGTCCAAAGCGGCAATAAAGGCACTCATAGAAGGCTGGGAAGTCAGTCCAGACATGGAGTTGACAGCACAATCGACGATGTCGGCACCGGCAAGTGCACAGGCAACGTAGGTGATCACACCGGTACCGGCAGAGTCGTGCGTGTGAACATGGATAGGAACAGATGGGTACTTCTTTCTGATGTTACTGATCAACAGTTTGGCAGCAGCAGGCTTCAAAGTACCGGCCATGTCCTTGATACCCAACAAGTGGGTGCCCATCTCCATGATCTTATCAACGGTCTCCAGGTAGTACTTGAGGTTGTACTTCTTACCTGGCTTCAACATGTCTCCTGAATAACAAATGGTGGCCTCGACAACGGCACCGGCCTTCTTGACAGCGTCAACACCAACCTTCAACTGCTCCAAGTCGTTCAGAGCATCGAAAACTCTGAAGATGTCAACACCAGCTTCCTTGGCCTGCTTAACGAAATGGTCAATAGCATTGTCAGGCAGAGAAGAGTAAGCCACTCCGTTGGCTCCTCTCAGCAGCATCTGGAAAGGAATGTTTGGAACGGCTTTTCTAAGCTTTCTCAGTCTATCCCATGGGTCCTCGTGCAAGAAACGCATGGCAACGTCGAAAGTGGCACCTCCCCAACACTCCAAGGCAAATGCGTACCTCAAGGCATGAGCGGTGGTTGGGGCGATGTTCAAAAGGTCTATGGTTCTGACTCTAGTGGCAAGCAGAGACTGGTGGGCGTCTCTCCAAGTAGTGTCCATGATCATACAACCGTCAAAGGCTCTGATCTGGTCGGCAAATCTCTGTGGACCGTAGTCCAGCAAGTATTGTCTGAAAGATTCTGGAGGAGTCGACTTGACGTCGATCTCCCAGCCGTTCACGTCGTGGACGACTGGGATATCGGCCTCTCTGTTCAGCTTTGGCAGGCCAATTTGACCCTTGATCGAGGATCCATTGACACAGAGGTCGGCAAGGTACGACAACAGCTTTTGAGCTCTGTTCTTGGATTGAACCATCTCGAACAACGATGGGGTGTCGTCGATAAAAGTGGTCCAACAGTCACCAGAAACGAACGTTGGGTGGGTCAACAGAGCAAGCAAGAACGGAATGTTGGTCTTGACACCTCTAATTCTGAACTCGACCAAAGATCTAATCATCTTTCTTCTGGCAATCTCGTAGTTCGAACCAGAAGTGGAACACTTGACCAACATGGAGTCGTAGTGGGGAGAGATAATGGCACCGGCAAAACCGTTACCACCGTCCAATCTCACACCGTTACCACCAGAAGATCTGTAAACCTCGATCTTACCAGTGTCTGGCTGGAAGTTCTTGGCTGGGTCTTCGGTAGTGATTCTGCACTGGATTGCAAAACCTCTGGTGGTGATCTTGTCCTGCAACAGACCAAGTTGTTGCAAAGAAGCACCAGCAGCAATCTGGATCTGAGCAGCAACAATGTCAACACCAGTGACTTCCTCAGTGATTGTGTGTTCGACCTGGATTCTTGGGTTGATCTCAATGAAATAGTGTCTGTTCTTTGCATCAACCAGAAACTCAGCAGTACCTGCGTTTCTATAGTTGGCAGTCTTTGCCAGCTTAACAGCATCGGTCAAAATGGCGTCTCTGACCTCAATTGGCAGGGTCTTTGCAGGAGCAATCTCAACCACCTTTTGGTGTCTTCTTTGAACAGAACAGTCTCTTTCGAACAAATGGATAACGTTTCCGTAGTTATCGGCCAGAAGTTGCACCTCAATGTGCTTTGGTTTGTCCAAGAACCGTTCGATAAAGCAGGTACCGTTACCAAAGGCGGTCTTTGCCTCAGAGGTTGCTCTGCTGAAAGCGTCCGCAATGTCCTCACCTTCACGAACGACTCTCATACCACGACCTCCACCACCAAAGGCGGCCTTGATGATGACCGGGTAGCCGTATTTGTCCACAAAGTCCTGAGCCTGGTCAACAGAGTCGATTGGGCCATCTGTTCCGGGAACAACAGGAACATTGCACTTGCCAGCCAGGTTTCTGGCACTGACCTTGTCTCCGACAGAGTCGATGACTGTGTGGGGTGGACCCACCCAAATCATGCCCGCTTCCTCGACCTTGCGGGCAAAGTCCGAATTTTCAGAAAGGAAACCGTAGCCGGGGTGGATCATGGAGACACCATGTTCCAAAGCGATGTTGATGATCTCGTCGCTCTGCAAATAGGCCTGCACTGGTGAGTATTGGCCTCTAGCGCCAATCACATAGGCCTCGTCCGCCTTGAGTCTGTGCATCGACAATCTATCTTCATGGGAATAGATAGCGACTGTTTGCATTGACAGCTCATGAGCAGATCTAAAGATTCTGATTGGGATTTCTCCTCTGTTGGCTACCAGGATCTTGTTGGCATTGGAAAGGATTTCCGAGTTCTTGCGTAATTGATGCAACGACGAATGGTCTTCCACCTGTGCCATCTTGTCTGATAAAAAGAGAAGAGTGAGGGAAATTTAAATTCTCAAGGCTAATAAAAAAAAAAATGACGGCTCTAGGGAAGTGGGGGGGAAATGACTCGGGCTCCCTGGTAGTTGCATTTTTTGAGTCACGGATACAATTAAAAAAATTTGTTGCTTAAGAAATGATTACCGGAGTAGAGAGTCCGCATTGTTTACTAATCGACAGAGAACAATAAGATCGTCATTACAGTACTTAAACGGCCAATTGAACTTGTTCTTGGTTAATCAGTGACTTGTATGGTTGTAAAGCTGTAGCAACAGTGACGTTAACAAATTTTTCAGTCTGTTGTGGAGCACGACCAACAAAAGTAGATGGGTCCAATAGTTGGTCCAGTTTGCCCCAGATTGGCTTGAAGTATTCGGTCGACTTGATTCTTTGGATCAGGTCATTGTCACCACCTTCTTGTTTCACCACTGCGGACGCTTGGTGCGACAAAACACGGATCTCTTCGTGACAATCTTGTCTGGACCCTCCTTGCTCCACCATCGCCATAATAATATTTTCGGTAGCCATAAACGGCAATTCGGCCATGATACGACGCTCGATCACCTTTGGATACACGACGAGGCCAGACGTGATGTTCAGCAGCGTCGATAGCAAGATATCGGCCGTCAGGAATGCTTCTGGAATGGAGATTCTTCTAATTGCAGAGTCGTCCAAAGTTCTCTCAAACCACTGAACAGAGGCCGTTTGGAATGCGTCCTGGTACAACGAGCCAAGGTGACGCGACAACGAACACACACGCTCGCATCTCATAGGGTTCCGCTTGTAGGCCATGGCAGACGAACCGATCTGGCTCTTTTCGAATGGCTCCTCCATCTCCTTCAGATTGGCCAAAAGTCTAATGTCGGTAGCCATCTTGTGACATGAGGCTCCCAACGACGAGAGAGGATGCAACGCATCAATATCGATCTTTCTCGAGTACGTTTGTCCGGTACAAGGGTAAGCGTACTCGAATCCTAGTAGCTCAACCACTTTCTCGTCCAAGGCTTCCACCTTGTCGTGGTTGCCGTGGAACAGCGACAAGAACGAGGCCTGGGTTCCGGTGGTTCCCTTGACACCACGGAGTCCCAGATCGTCTCTGGCACGCTGCATGTTTCTGAGATCCCAGAGCAGCTCCTGGATCCACAAGGTGGCTCTTTTTCCAACAGTAGTGAGCTGGGCAGGCTGGAAATGGGTCCATCCCAAGACCGGCAGGTCTTTGTATTGCAGGGCGAACTGGGCCAGTCTGTTGATCACGTTCACCAACTTTGGGATCAGCACGTCGTAGGCGTCTCTCAGGAAAATGAGATCGGCATTATCAGTGACATAGCACGAGGTGGCTCCCAGATGGATGATTCCGGCAGCAGCAGGACAGGTGGACCCGAAAACATGGACGTGGGCCATCACGTCGTGTCTTACAATGGCCTCCTCTTTTTTGGCAGCCTCGATCTCCTCGTCGGTGATCTCGAGGTGCTTGGACATCTGCTCAATAGCTTCGTCAGTGACCACAGAAAGACCGAGAGATTGCTCGGCGATAGCCAGGTTGTACCACAGCTTTCTCCAGGTGGAGAATCTGTTACGCAGAGAGAAGATCTGGGACATCTCCTTCGACGCGTACCGCGACGACAGAGGGGTGGAGTAGGTATCGTTGGACATGATTAATGAAAATTAATTAAATTAATTTGACTCTGTAATATGTCTGATTAGGTAAGACCGTTTTGGGAACTGGGAGACGAGACCAGGGAAGGAAAACAACGGGGGAAGGAAATGAAGAGAGCGGGTGCTGTGTGGTCGATTGGGATGACTGGCAGTGGAGTTTGGATGTTGGTGGATACTTATGGTGTTCTATCCATCTGGCTATTTTGTGCTACCATATTTAAATTACACTGATTATTAAACTCGATCTGTCGGATCGTATAAATTAGAGTACCCGACAACATTGAAACAACAATCTTCAACAAGTCCAGCACCCCCCACGTCTCCACCAGTGCTCCTGCGCTTCGCCCCTTTCACCACCTTCCATTCCTGCTCCAGTTTTAAAAACCAACCCCTCCTCGCACCACCAGCCTGTACCTGCCTTAGCAAATTTCATCTTGTTTATTCTTAGCATGTCGTCTCAAACATCCACTGTTCCCAACGGGACTCTCAAGCCGGAAATGCCTGTTTCCGACAAGAAGAACAGAAAGCTGCGCAAGAAGGCCTCGCGTCCGCAGCCGGTGCTCAAGTTCGCCTGGATCGGCGGACATGTGGCCACAATCATCTTCAGTCTTGTGTACCTGGCCTACTACGTTACTCGCAAGTCGCACAAGCTGTTGATCCCTAGAATCTGCTACAGATTATCGTTCACCGGGGTCTGGATCAGCTACAGCGTTGCCATTGCGTCGCAATTCAACAGAAAGTCGCTTCCTTCGTACTTCACTCTCATGGCGACAGAAAACTTCCAGTACTTGGTGCTTTCTGTTGCGTGGTTCTTTGGCCGGTCGTCGTTCTTCAAGCTGGCTCCCTACATCTTGATCTCGACGCTGCAATTGGCCAGCCACTTCCACATCAAACCGATCCTCAAGGCTGACAGCTTGTTTGAAAAAGCAATTTTGTACGACCAGATCTTTGTGTTTGCGGTTTTGGTGGTGGACACTCTGCTCATGAGAGGCAACTCTGGGTTCGGTCTGGTGATCTACGCCATGTTCTTCTGGCTCAGATTGCTGTACAGTGAGGACACCCGGTTCTTCCTGTACTCTGTGATCAACAAGCTCGACTCGGTCATGTCCAAACAGAAAAACCCAAAGGTCGTGGAGACCTGGAGCGAGGTTAAGAAATTCCTCAGTATCAGACAGTCCAAGTTCGAGTCCGAGTACTTGGCCCAGTAACTACAGCTAAATAAGACAATCCAAACATTCGATCAGAAATTGAGCTTTTGGTAACTATATTATCTTCATAAAGGTTCAGAAGCAGAACTGAAGTAAAGTATTCATCATTGAATGTTGAATTGTCTCATTGTAATGTTTTACTAAACACGGCAACCAAACCTGACTCGTTAGTACTGGTTCAGATGGTGATGCATGTTTTCTCGGCTCATTGAATCGGAGATTATTCGCCTATGAATGATGTTATGGAAACAATCATCATCAGTACTTACAAGAAGAGTAAAGATTAGGGAGGTAAAAATTTTCAGACACAGCGATCCTTCTAGTATTGGCTGGACGGACTGTACCCCAGTGGAACCCGATTAGGCCTAAAGTGAGAAGACTGTATACAGGTGCCAACCGGCCGGTCCTACCATCTGACTTTACTCCTCAATACTCCTCCCGGATCCACCACCTACAACCGGTCTGCCCCGTCCAAACCTCACTACTACCCTCTGTTAATCTTCTGATCTTGTTGTATTATACTATCTACTCGGCAGTAGCACGAGTGTAAATGTATTGCTTGGAGTGCTTCAACACAGGCTTGATGATACCCTCCTCCTCAAGCTGCTTGAGAGCAACTCTGGCCAAAGAACCACCAATCTTCAATCTGTCAACCAAAATAGAAACGGAAACGAATCTGTATGTTGGCACTTCCTTCATGATTCTGTCGTATTTCTCTTGGTCCAACACAACAAGATGTTGTGCCTTGTCCTTAACCTTTCCCTTGGACCACTTCTTCTTAGACTTCTTACCACCAGCAAGAGCGGCAGCAGCCTTAGCTGCCTTGGATTGTTGAATCTTTGGAGGCATCTAGTTTGTTAGCAAGGATCTAATTCTTGTCACCTACTTTGTGTTATAATGTTGGCTATCGAAATAATTCAGACACACTAAAAAATTTTAACCACGCTTAGATAAGCAGGACCCCAACCCGCTGGTTTTTCCTCCCTAGCCCGCACATCAGGCACGTGACACCAGCCATGCCTGGCAAACACCCGTGCACCCACTACACCCAGCTTCCGAAACCAAGTCTTGTTTCACAGTTGAAACATTAAACACACATAAAAACGCGGTAACCCATTCGTGTTTGTGTACACGTCAATCGACTCGTGTTTTGTGAAAGCAGTATGGCCAAAAGAAGCAAAACCCAGCTCACCGCGGACAAGGCTCTTGCCGAGGACTTTGATAGTGACGAAGAACATTTCGAAGGTGCTAAGCGTGCTTCTGCCGATGTTCTAGCCTCGCGGCCCATTGCCAAGCTCAAACCTCGTGTCAAGCCTGCCAATGGTTTTGCCGCAGCCTCCAAGCCTGCCGGAGCGTTTAGTTTCCTTACTCCTTCTACAGACTCTGATAAACCTACCCAACCAGAAACAAAGGCCCCAGAAACCAATGTTGTGAGCGACCAGCCCACCCAGCTGAAGTCCTTGAATGCACTATTCTTACAGTCGATCAACAACTCGGTGGTGAAGAACCCGATTGCCGATTTGCGTCCGATTTTGACCAAGTACCAAGAATACTACGATAAGGTGATTAATAACAAGATTGCAGTGAAAAACGCCGAGGTGCCCAAGGTGGACGTTAAAGTGGACGCTGTGAAGAACAGCGAGTTCAAGTTCGGCACCGAGGACACCAAGTCGGACGAGGAAGACGAGGAAGACAAGCCTGTGGAAATTAAGGGCCCTGCTTTCACGCTGGATGCCCTGCCAAAATCCAAGGACTACGGGTTCAAGTTTGGTCGTGCTCCGCCACCAGACTCCGACTCGGACGACGACGTCAAGATCGAGGGCCCAACATTCCAGCTGTCCTCAGGAACTCAGATAAAGGACGATGTGTTCAAGTTCCCAAAGAAGGACGAACCAGCAGCAAAGCCAACAGAACAGCCAGCAGAGCAGCCAGCCGAGAAACCAGCATTCACCTTTGGCCAGTCCAAGCCCGCAGAGGCCGCTGTCCCGGCTTTTTCGTTTGGCAAGCCAGCCGAATCTGCGTTCGCCAAGCCAGCATTCTCATTCAACGCTCCGGCCAAAGAGGAGCCAAAGGCCTCTGAGCCCGAGCCCAGCTCCGAAACAGCATCCGCTCCGACCCCAGCGTTCTCGTTTGGCTCGTCATCTGCATTTTCGTTCTCCAAGCCGTCAGAGACCAAGCCTGAGGCTAAGGACGAGTCGCAGCCGGCCAAGCCTGTGTTTTCGTTCTCGGCCCCATCCAACGGGTTTAATTTCGGAGCCAGTGCACCTAAGCCAGCGGAGGCCGCCAATCCGTTTAGTTTCGGGTCCACCCCTGCTGCTGCTGCTGCTGCTCCTGCCACCTCGACGTTCAACTTCAACTTCTCTGCTCCCAAAACCGAGGAGTCCAAGCCCGCAGACACGGACAAGCCAGACGAGGAAGTCGAGCAGAACGACGACGTCAAGGGCGACTTTGCAGTCGTGAAGCTGTCGCAGAAAGTGGACACCAAAACGGGCGAAGAAAACGAGACGGTTGTTTACTCGAAGAAATCGAAAATCCTGCAGTTTGATGCCGCCAACAAGGACGACCCCTACAAGTCGATTGGGCTGGGCGAGCTGAAGGTGCTCAAGAACACAGAAACAGGAAAGGCGCGGATTCTGGTGCGTTCGGAGGGAGGCATGAACGTTATTCTGAACGTGGCCATTCTCAAGGACCTCAAGTACGAGCTTATTGGGAAGGGCAATTCGATCAGACTCCCAACGTTCACCGCGGACGGCAAGCTCGAGACATACATTGCGCGCGTCAAGACCGCGGACGATGGAAAAACGTTACTGGAAAAGGTGCAGAGCTGTCAATGACGTTTGTAAAATATGTAATACTAAGAGCTGCCCTGGCGTCTAAGGATGGTGCGCACGTCGCAGATGAACTCTGTGGCATCGCCCACGTCGAGGTATCTGTATCCGGACACTTTTGAGCGGTTCAGCAGGCTGAGACAGTCGTCGCCCAAAATCGTGCACACCTCTTCTTTGGTGCCGAGCAATTTATACTGCACTTTGCGAATAAGCGCGAGCAGCACGCGCAACAGGAACGTATCTCCTTCGAAGATGTAGATGTCCACCAGTCTGCTGCAGATGTCCATGTTGAGCATCTTGGAGAAGATGTTGGACACGGTTGGGGCCAATATTAGCTGCGGTTGCAGACCAATGTGTTCAAAGTGCTGGTGGATATTTGGGCTGGTCTTGGCGAGGAACTTGTCGAACTGCGCCACAATGTCCTGCAGGTACTCGAGATTCGTGTCTGTTTGGAGGTGGTACATCATCTTCTTGGACATGAGGCTGGTGAACATGCGCAGCGTGAGCGTTTCGTCGCGCAAATTGTAGTACAGCACGCAGATCAGGTTCACCAGGTGCGACACCTTGATTTCGCGGAACAGCGGGTCTGTGGACTCGCGCTGGCACAGCCGGAACGCCAGGATCGTGCGCAGAATCGAGTCGAACGCCTGGCCGTACTGGAACACCAGCAGGTTTGGGAACGCCTGCTGGATCAGCGCAGAGTACTCCTCCACGCTCTCTATCAATGTGTAGTTTTTGCTGTTGTCTCTAGCGAACTGCGCCGTGTCCAGCTTCGCAACCTTCAGGTCGCACGCCTTGTCGATGATCTCGTCCGCCTCGGAGAGATACTGCTGTGTCTGCTCCGTGGACAAGCTGGACCGGCCCATCTGTCTGATCCAGACTCTGGGACGCAGGTCTTTGGGCACGCCGCGCCACCACAGCTCGCGGGTCTCTGCGGAGCACACCAGGGCGTCGTAGTCGCGCAGAACGGTGCGCCACGTCTTGCGGTCGATGTCTGTCTGTTTTGCGAGCGCAGCCAGCTGTTTCTTGCGCTCCTCCAGCTTCTTCTGCTCCTTGTCCATCTGCGACTGCAGCAGCTGCTCGTAGTCCCGCGTGTGTTTCGATGCCTCGCGCGGGTCTTTTGGGGGCAAGTTCGTCTGCCGAGTCACCGTCAGATACCCCAATTTCTCCTTGGACACGTTTGGCGCAGAAACATGCTTGTAGCTGTTGAGCATCGAGATCCGTTGCAACGACTCGTTGATCTGCGGGTCCTCGTTTAGTCCAAGCAGCCGGGCCTCGTCGCTGAACTTGGCCTCGTCCTCCAGCAAGCTCAGCTCTGAACAGTCGGACGAGATGCTAAAAATGGAAGAAGCTCTGGTCTGGGGCGACCCGAAGCTCGATACGCTCGACGCGGACCGGCTGATTCTCAACGGACGCATCCTGGAAGGCCGGTACGCCTGGTCTCTCTGCGCAAGCGACTTGAGCGGCCTCGAGTACGGAACATTGTACACTATCAGGTCGTCAGGCAGCTCGTCGTCCGAGAGAAAATCGACTGCGTCCACCATATCCGACCCATGGAGCATCTCTGCGGTACGCGTGCGCTTCTTCTGGTTGAGTCTTAGTCGCTGAGACGGCGTGATCAACAAATTGACTTGCGAGTTTGTGTCCTGAGCCGATAATGTACAATTTGGCAGCAGCTTCTGCCTCGGAGCAGACCGCACGCTGCGCGCCCGCAAAGGAGCAGAATCAAGGGCAACGTCCTCAAAGGACTCCTGAATCACCTCCAACAACGACGGAAGAGACATAGCAAAGACACAAATTCCAAACTGGTGTAGCGTACTTATTCTTTACTTACTTCCGAATCGGGCAATTGCTAATTATAACTCGGCTGTGCAGCGACAAAAATTCCAACGCGACACAACGCGCATGGACGTGTCTGAGAATGAGCAAAGGGCCCTCTCCAACAATGGCATTTTCGTCTGGCCAGACCGTACAAGCGAACACAGGGCTCATGGAGCTGGAATTGTATGTACACGTAAATAGTCATTATTTATCGTTTTTGTTAAGGATCTTCTTGAATGCATTGCTCAGGAATGATTCGATTCTCTTCAAATTAGTCGGGTGCTCGCAGTTGGCGTCGGCGTCGGAGCTCGTGGTCTCGGCAACGTTTTCCAGCGGCTTCCAGTCCGGGTCGAGACGCTTGGCGGTCTTGTCGCCAAATGCGTCCGCTAGGGCCTCCAACAGCGCTGTCTGCGTAGCATTCTGCGGCTTGAGCGGAACAACGTTCAGAATCACCCGCAGGTCTCCTCTTCTGTTTCCCGCATACGGAACTCCTCTTTCTGGAATCGATATCACCTTGCCGTGCTCCGATCCCGCAGGAATCTTGATCTTGATCTTTTGGTCCTCCAGGGTCGGAATCTCCACCGTGCCTCCCAAGGCCGCAGTCGTCATTGGGATCTTGCAATTGTAGATTACGTGCACACCGTCCCTCACAAACTCCCGGTCAGGCAGAACTCTCACTCTGATGATCAAATCGCCGTTGCTCAGGATCGTTCCCTTGGACGTTGTGGCATGCGGAGCATTACCAGCACCGCTCACACGGATCCGCGATCCATCCTTGATTCCCTTTGGCAAGTTCACCTCGGTCTGCTTGTGCTGCTCCACAACTCCCTCGCCACGACAGTCTTTGCAAGCGTCCGAGGGATTGATGAACACACCGCTTCCTCCGCACGCCTTACACGTGGAGGCCATCTGGAATCCAGCCTGTAATTGGTACACTTGCGATCCTGTACCGTCACAGCTGCGACAGGTGCTCTTTTTGCTGTTCTTCTTGAGTCCCGATCCAGAGCATGTGTCACACTGACAAACAGCTCTGTAGTCCAGAGCAGCCCTGGTTCCGAAAATGGCCTCCCGGAACGTGATGGACTTGAGAATTTCAACGTCTTCTCCTTGGAAATGCTGCACACCCCCACGCTGTCTACCACCGCCACCCATTCCTCCAAACAGGTCCTCGAAATTGAAGCCAAATCCTTCAAACGGATTGCCACCGCCTTGGAACCCTCCAAACGGATTGCCGCCGTGAGCCCCACCGAACCCACCGGCTCCCGCGTTTGGATCAAATGCAGAAGCTCCAAATTGGTCGTACTGCTGTTTCTTCTGAGGGTCGCTCAATATGTCATACGCTTCTTGCAGCTGGTGGAACTTCTTCTCGGCTCCTTGTTCCTTGTTGATGTCTGGGTGGTATTTCTTGGCGAGCTTGTAGTACGCCTTCTTGATATCGGAGGCCGAAGCACTCTCGTTCACTCCCAACGTCTTGTACGGATCATCCAAGAAACTGGGTCTTGAACTATGAAACTGTCTATGAACTGAGCTGAACCCATTGAACATCCCACATCTCACTGGTCTGAGGTGGGAGTACCGGGAAACAAGCCGAGAGGGTAATCTAACTTTGAGTATATTCATATATTCAACAAGGTAGACTCTCTTGTCAGAATTTCCTTTGTGATTTTTATTGAATATTTTTCTCTCTAATAGTACAAAAAATAAAGTAAGCGTCCCGGGGCTTCGTAACCCCACAATGTTTCTAGAACAATCAGGACTCAAAGGCCTGTGCCACCAAGTCTTTCAACTCGTTAGTGGCATCTTCAGGGTTCTCCGTGCGAACCGCAGGCGCATTCTTCTGGATGTCTTTATCGCGCTCGTTGTTGGCCCCAAACAAATTATTGATGATATCTTCGTAGCTCGAGTCTGTTCCCTCGTCTGTCTTTTTAGGTTTCGATGCAGCCTGCGACGGTCTCGAGACACCTGTTTGCAAGTTTGCGTGGCGGTTTCCTGCCTTTGGTCTCTCCACCTTGGCCGCAGACCGGTTCGAATCGTGCGAGTAGCCCCGGTCAGACTCTCCTGTCACCTTCACCAAATACTCAGGAAGCTCCAAGCCGTTCTTCAGGTAGTACATCTTCCAGTTTCTGGCCTTGTCCTTCAGTTGCAACGTTGTTCTGTTCTTCAATGCTTCACTCAGAGACCCTCCCGGTCCGTACAGTTCCAAAATAGCTGTCCATTGGGTTCCCTTGAGCTTCAAGCCGTCTCTAAGTGCCTCCTCTTCCTCCTGACTCCAAACACGACGGAAAGTTGTTGGCCTGCTTTGACGGTAGCTTCTGGACTTTTTGGTCTTGTGTTCCTCTTCTTCTGTCTTGTCGGTGACCACCTCTTTCCCTTCCTCGTCGTACTGTCGTTTGGCCGTGACAGATTCTGCTCCCAGCTTGAGTCTGGTCAATTCCTTGGTGATTTTACCCTTTGGCCCCCAAATCAAGAATCCAACGTTCTTGGAGACATATTCCAGCAAATCATTGAGGAACTTGATCCACTCATACTTCTCCATCAATGAGTCATCCTCCTTGACCTTCATTAAATTCTCCTTCCTGGACTCGCATCTTGCGAGGAAATCCAGCTCTGCGGGTGTGAACAACGTGGAGTTTCGCACAATTGGTTGTTTAGTGGCATCGAAGTCTGGCTGTTTTCTCTTCAGCAGCACCTCGTCCAAGTTGTCTGGGAACAGGTCCTTGATGATCTCGTCTTTGGAACGGTCGCCCAGCTCAATTGCCGAAATGAAAGCTTGCGTTTTCAGCTCAAGAAACAAAATGGCATGCGACTTGAGGAACTTGGTTTGGTTGTTTGGAGCTCTGCTGCTTTGGGAGAAGGGGAACGACGAGCTCAACAACGTCGATTGTAATGTGTTATCCTGTTTGAGATTAGAAAGCGATCTGGTTGGGTCCAAGTTCTGCGGTGGACAGAAAACGTCTAGGAATGCCTCGTTTAAAAAAAAGAATCCCAGATCGATCAGCCCAAGCGTGGCTAGCAAAAAGGTGGCAAGGTTCACTTTACGAAGCGTACCTTCAATGGTGTCCTCTTTGCCGCGGAAGAAATCTGGAGCGGCCTCGCCATATTTCCAAACACCAAAAGTGACATTTTCCAAGGTGAAAAACGGACTTTCTTCAGAATTGTACACTCTTTTTGTTGTTTCGAACAGCTCGATCAAATTGCCAAAGGCAATACCTGCGAAAGAATCACGATTGGAAACCAGTTCCATTATCTTCTGGTACGGTCCTTGCGAGATGATTCTCAGGATTTGCGTTGCCAAGTTGTCCAGAACAGGCAGGGTGTTTATGAGCAGTTGAATATTGAACGATAAATGCTGTGGGGCGGTGAAGGTAAGCGGAAGAGCGGCGAGCTGGGCGTGAACAACATCCACCGGTGCGATCACCGACTGCTGATTACGCATAAGCTCTCTGTAAGCTTTCAAAGCAGGCGACTCACTGGTCTCTCGCACCAACTCTGAGGTGTTTGGGATAGACAATCCTTTGAAGTTCGTAGTTTCGCTTGATAAGAGCGCAAGAGCCGGATCCAAGTTCCGATTAGCGGGCTTGTTCTCCTTGTTGTCGGTAGAAGCAATGTCATGCGAAGGCTCAACCGGGGCATTCGAGTGGTCCTGTTCCGGCTGCTGATCCTCAAGCTGTGGGTCTGTGGTTTCCTGCTTGACCTCGTCCTTGTCGTCCTTGTGTTCTGCATCCTGGTCGCCAATGATCTTCTGGAAATGAATGTTCAGCTCCTCGTCGTTAAGCTGCTCGATATTATCGAATCTGAAGCCAGGCAATTGCGACGTCAGCAGCTCGAGCTGCTGCTGGTCTATGTTCTCGTTTTCTGTCTCGAGCTCCTTAGTAATCTGCGGGTCTATCACGGGCGACTTCGGCGGCTCAGAAGGCCCGGTTTGCTTGTCGTCGGCCATGCTCTAACAAGTTCACGCAATAAACAATACAAAACGATATTTAAAATTTTATCAACACACCTCTGCACCCGGCCCGGTGAAGATAGTTTGGTGCACGGGTGTCACGCGTCAATTACACTGCTGAATTCGGATAATTAATTTCTTTCAGACGTGTTTCAGCGAAAAACTCTTCCCAGTGTTCTTCTCATGTCGTTTGAAAGGGCAGATACTTTCAGCACTTCGGTGCTTCCTGGCGAGACCGTCAGTGACGACCAGTTCAGTGAGATCATCAAGGCATTCAAGCGGTTCATCTTGGAGTTCCGCGTGGACAACCAGTTTATCTACAGAGATCAGCTCCGTGAGAACATTTTGGTGAAGCAGTTCCAGTTGACTGTGCACAACGAGCACTTGATCAGCTACAATGACGAGCTCAACAAGAAGTTGATGGACGACCCAACAGAGATGGTTCCTTTGTTCGAGAGAGCCATTACGGAGATTGCCAGACGGATCATTTATATTTCCAACGAAGAGGCTCCAACCAGTTTCCCGATTTGCCAGCTGATTTTGCTCTCGAACGACAACAAGCTCTCCATCAGAAACCTCGATGCGGAGCACATTTCCAAGATCGTCAAGATCTCCGGAATCATCATCTCTGCCTCCACGCTGCACTCCAGGGCCACCGAGGTGAGTTTGATGTGTCGGTCTTGTCGTCACACGATGAAGATCCGGGTTCCGTCTTCGTTCGGATCAGTTCAGACTCCAAAAACGTGTCAGTCGGCCCAACAGCCAAACGGTGAGAGAAATCAGTGTCCACCAGATCCGTACATTATTGTTCATGATAAGTCTACTTTTATCGACCAGCAGGTGCTCAAATTGCAGGAAACCACCGACATGGTGCCAATTGGAGAGATGCCGCGGCACATTCTGCTCAGCGTCGACAGAAGTCTGTGCAACCGCGTGATTCCCGGAACCAGATGCGACGTTGTTGGAATTTACTCGATCTACCAGGCCAAGGTGAGAAACGGGCCTTCGGCCAACAATGTGGCTATCAGAAACCCGTACATGAACGTGCTGGGGATCCAGGCCGACAGAGACGCCGAGACGGGCGGTCTAAGCTCGGTTTTCACCGAGGAAGAGGAGGAAGAGTTCCTTGCTCTTGCCAGATCAGACAACCTGTACGAACGGTTCTCGTCCTCTATTGCTCCGTCCATTTACGGTAACACAGACATCAAGAAGGCCATCACGTGTCTGCTGATGGGCGGGTCCAAGAAACTGCTTCCGGACGGCATGCGACTCAGAGGAGATATCAACGTTCTGTTGCTTGGAGACCCGGGAACGGCCAAGTCGCAGCTGCTGAAGTTTGTGGAGAAAGTGTCGCCAATTTCTCTGTACACCTCGGGTAAAGGTTCCTCTGCCGCTGGTTTGACTGCCTCGGTGCAGAGAGACCCAAACACCAGAGACTTCTACCTGGAAGGAGGAGCGATGGTGCTTGCTGACGGAGGAGTCGTTTGCATTGACGAGTTCGACAAGATGCGCGACGAGGACCGGGTGGCTATCCACGAGGCCATGGAACAGCAGACAATCTCGATCGCCAAGGCCGGTATCACGACCGTGCTGAACTCGCGGACGTCTGTGCTTGCGGCTGCCAACCCGATTTTTGGCCGCTACGACGACATGAAGTCTCCTGGCGAGAACATCGATTTCCAAACGACCATTCTGTCGCGTTTCGACATGATCTTCATCGTCAAGGACGAACACAACCAGCAGCGGGATGAGGCTATCGCGCATCACGTGATGAACATCCACACGAACGGCGGCTCTGCAGAGCAGCAGGTGGAGGGAGAGATCTCTCTTGACAAGATGAAGCGGTACATCCAGTACTGCAAAGTGAAGTGTGCTCCGCGGCTGTCGTACGAGGCAAGCGAGATGCTGTCGTCGCACTTTGTTGGTATCAGAAAAGAGGTGAAGAATAAGGAGTCGCATTCCACGGAACGGTCTTCGATCCCAATCACAGTGAGACAGCTCGAGGCTATCATTAGAATCACCGAGTCGCTCGCCAAGCTGGAATTGGCCCCGATCGCTACTGAAAGACACGTCGAGGAGGCCATCCGACTTTTCAACGCTTCGACAATGGACGCTGTCAACGAGGGCAGCTCCGACAACGCGCAAATCACGTCCGAGATCCACAAGATCGAGGGCGAGATCAAACGGAGACTCCCGCTTGGCTGGTCCACGTCGTACGCCACGCTCAGAAGACAGTTCGTGGAGAAAGGAAGCTACTCGCTGGCGGCTTTGGAGAAAGCCCTGAATATTCTTGAGCGTAAGGAGACTATACAGTTGAGACACCAGCGCTCCAACGTGTTTAGATGTGGTGTGTAGTAAGAATAATGTCGCTGATAAAAGTAATGGTGCACGTTCACACAATCACGTGGAACCCTTCTTTTCCCTTGCTGATTCCAGCAAGCACGATCTTGCTGATCTCGTCCGGGTCGCTGGTGATGCCCGTCAGGTTCTCGTGGCCCGTCTCGGTTACCAGAATGTCGTCCTCAATACGCACTCCGCCAATGTACATATACTTGTCCACGATCTCCTGCTGGATGAACTTGTTGAGCTTCGGGTCCTTCAGAGCAGGAGCCATCAGGAACGGCGAGAAGTAAATGCCCGGCTCGTTCGTCACCACCATGCCTGCCTGCAAAGGTCTGCGCACTCGCAAGTATGCCAGCATCTTGTTTGGATCCTCGTAGTTTGCTCTTCCACCAACGTCGTGGGTGTCCAGGCCAAGCAAATGGCCCAGTCCGTGCGGGAAGAAACAGGTGGACACTCCAGACTTGAAGATCTCGTCCTCGTTGCCGACAAAGATGCCCAGATCCAAGAAGTTCTTGATCAGCACCTTGTGCGCCAGGAAGTGGACATCCTCCCACTGCGCACCGGGCCGGATCTGGGCCATGCACTGGGTCTGCATGTCCAGAACCGCGTTGTAGATCTCGAGGTGCTCCTTGGTCCACTTACCGTTAATCGGGAAACATCTGGTCACGTCGGCAGCGTAGCACTCCCACTCGGCACCGGCGTCGATCAGCACACTTTCCTTACCGGCCATGTCCTGGTCGTTCTTGATGTAGTGCAACGTGCCGCAGTTTGGTCCCGAGCAGCAGATTGGGTCGTAAGCAGAGAACTTGGATCCTTGACGGATCGAGTGATACAGGAACTCTGCGTGGATGTGGCCCTCGTTCTTCTCTATTGGAAGTGCAGACATCACTGCCAAATGCGAGTTGTCGGTGATTTTGGCAGCCTTGCGCAAAAGCTCGATCTCAAACGAGTCTTTGATCAGCCGGGCCTCGTCCAGAGCGTAGAAGAAATGCTTGTCGCCTGGAATCACGTACTTGGCAAATGACGACTTAGCGTACTCGTCCGTGTCGGTGGTGAAGATCTTGGTGCCCGACTCGGCCAATTCCTTCAACACAGTGTCCACGACACTGGCATACAGCACCTCGTCCACGTCGTACTTCTGAACAGCCTCCTCGGGGAACAGAGGCAGACCGCTCCACATGATGTCGTCCTCGTCCACGTCGGGCAAGAACAGCGTCAACTTGTCAATGTGGGTCTGGTACAGGATGTAACATCCACTGATTTGGTTCACTCCCGATAAGTAGTAGAAGTACCTGTTCTGTCTCAATGGGCCAGGCATGTCGCAATAAGGGTACAATTTAAGCTTCGAGCCGGCAATGAAATAAGCGGCCTTCGTCTTGGATTGCTTGGAGAAGAAATGCTCCGTCACCTTTCTGGCGTGCGCTTTAGCTGGATACATTATGAAAAGACGGCACTTTGTGATTACAACAAGAAAAAAAAAGATACCCACAAAAATTACGTAAGTATTGAACAGTTTATGAAGAGAAGACAGTCAGAGACCAATGGGGAGTCTAAACGGACGCGGTTTGATACCCGACCCGACCCGACGTTGTATCTGGACACCATCAACAGAAACGTGCTGGACTTTGATTACGAAAAGGTGTGTTCCGTGTCCCTTTCTGATACCAACATCTATGGATGTCTTGTGTGCAACAAGTACTTCAGGGGCCGGTCGATGGACTCGGAGTGCTTCCTGCACTCGATCAACGAGGACCACCACGTATTTGTGAGCTTCGACACACTGAACTTCTACATTTTGCCCGAAAACTACCAGTTAGACGAACAAACAGCTAGTTCACTAAAAGACATACGAACCCTGATCAATCCGACATACACCGACCTTGTTGCTGTATATCAGGACGCAACACCAAAATATGATCTTAATGGACGAAAGTACATTCCCGGGTTTGTTGGCCTGAACAATTTTGGTGTCAACGACTATGCCAACGTGATTCTTCAATGTTTGGCCCATGTCGAGCCATTGAGAGACTTCCTGTTACTGAATCCATCCAAACTGCACAAGACCAACCTTGCAGCCAAACTGTCACTGCTTGTGCGCAAGATGTACTCGCCAAACTTGTTCAAGGCCCACATATCCTCGCACGAACTAATACAGTACATTTCAACATTGACCAACAAGAAGTTCTCTTTGAACCACCAAAGTGAGCCGCGGGACTTTCTGGTGTGGCTACTAAATGCTCTCGACAAGGAACTCACCACAGAACTGCAAACTCCGCTCATGTCGTCGATATTCCAAGGAAAACTTAGGACACAGGCAGGCAAGTCAAAGTTCTGGATGATCACCTTGAAATTGCCACCAGTTACGCTCTTCAAAGACGGCGCGCGTCTGGAAGTGCCACAGATCGCATTGGAAGACCTCATCAAGGGTACAAACTACAACATCATCAAATATCCTCAGATTCTTACGCTCTACATCCACCGAAGAGACGACTCAAAAAAGATCGCTGGAGTCCACGGCTCGAACATTAACCCAACAATTGTCAAGTTCAACCCGTCACAACTGGTCGTCGGCGGCCAGAAATACGAACTGCTCGCCAACATCGTCTTTACAGCAGGTAAAGACGAAAATTATAGCATGGACGAGTCCGACCAAACACACTATAAAGTGCAAATCCGGGACAGTCTTCGAGACCAATGGCTCGAGATGAACGACCTAAAAGTGGAACCGATCGAGAAAGACCTGCTTTTTCTGAACCAAACGTACTTGCAAGTATGGGGGAAAATGCATTAAATGGCTAATCTATTCACATTTCCAGCGGTGATCGAAACGGTATTCTCCTCAATCAGAGACTCTGCGGTCTCGCCAAGATGTTTCTTTGGATCCTGTTTTCCAACGTACCTTGTCTTGAGCTGTTCTTCAGACAATTCTTTTTCCTCCACCACTCTTTCCACGTACTGCTGGGCAATTTTAACCATTTTCTTGGACCCTTCCAAGTTTTTACACTGTTTGTCGTTGTAGTCGTGCACTCTAAGTCCGGAGGTCCACTCTTTCTTGTGCAGGTTCAACAACATGTCTGTTTCCTTTGAGGTTTTTCTGTAGTCGATGTTAAGCGAATAGTAGTTTCTGTTGAGTCCGTGGATCAATGCCTGGATTGTTGGTTTGTTTAGCAAACCCACGTTGGACGTGGTCTGTCTTGGCTCCTGGCCCAACATCAAGGTCTGCGACGAGATCGATCTGAATGCGTCTATCACCACCTTACCTTTCACGGATTGGATAGGGTCTATAACAACCGCAACGGAGCGCGGGTTCAATTGCTCGAACGACTGCTGTGTGTTCACGTCCACAGACGACAGCCAGCACCCGAATCCCGGGTGCGAGTGGTACCATCCCACCACCATCTGATCTCTGCCTGTTTGTTTGAGCATGTCCATCATCTTGGTCTGGAAAACGTCGTCCACGGCCTCCACAGAAACACCTGTTCCCGATTGGGGCATCGCAAACACGTCCACCACGTGGATTGTGAAATCGTCAATGAAATCTCCCAGCATGAGACCCATCACTTCCATAGGAACACCTGCACGGCCGTGCTTCAGCATCTTGAGCAACGCCAACGACGAGATATACACGGTTTCCGCATTGTCGATGGCCGGCTGGTCGCCCTGCTGAGCACCGCCAAGACCTCCCATTCTGGATCCCAGCAACGATTGAAGTCTTTCCATGGTTAAATATGTATTTTTATTTTCTTTGCCACTTTCCTTCACGAAATTCTATATACCTAATACCCACCCGCAACCACAATTGACAGAGTCTAAATATTATCTAATTTTACTATTAAACGTGCAGAACAAGACTCAAGGCCCGGTTTCCAATCTTTGGCCATGAACGAACCTTTGCTAGACGACCTGTCCGACACCGAGTCCAATCCGGTGGCTCTTCTGCCCAACGACCCGAAACAGGCCGACGTGACCGACTTTGAGGTGTTTGGCTGGTGTTTATACTCCTGGGCAGCCGAGCCGTTCATCGTTAGCGTGGTGGGCACGTATGTCCCACTGCTGCTTGAACAGATCGCCCGCGACAACGGCGTGCGGCTCAGCGACAAACTCACCCCGTGCAACGGCCTCCACGACCCTACCATCCCGCTGCCGTCCCCGCCAGACTCCGTCGGCAATGCCACCCTCGCTTCCCAGGGCGACTCATGCGTCCTGCCGCTGCTGGGCGGCCGTTTCTACATCGACACCTCCTCCTACGCCCTCTACACGTTCTCTGTCTCGGTGCTCGTGCAAACAGTCGTGGTCATCTCGATGTCCGGGGCCGCAGACCGCGGATCGCACAGAAAACCCATGCTGGTCGGGTTCGGCGTCGTGGGCGGCCTCTTCACCATGGCCTACTGGCTCCTCGGGCCCCAGAACTACTACATGGCGTCGCTGTTGGCCATCCTCGCAAACAGCGCGTTTGGTGGAGTCAACGTGTGCGGAAACTCGTTCCTGTCACTGCTGGTGAACAATCACCCCACAGTGCGCTCGATCCAGCACTCTGCCTCGGAGAAACTCGCCAAGATGGGCGAGCTTTCGTCGAAAATCAGCGGTACATGTGCCGCTGCGGGCTACGTCTCGGCCCTCTTGATGCAGGTGATCACCATGCTGGTCATCTTGCATGTCCGCAACAACCCAAACGTGGACTCGCTTATTTATCCGCTCAAGCTCGTGATCGGTCTTGTGGGGCTCTGGTGGCTCGTGTTCCAGCTGCCAATCCATTTCCTGCTCAAGTCGCGCCCTTCAAAAGAACTGCTCATTGCGGCAGTGCCGCCAAGCCCGTCAGAGCCAAACTACCTGCTCGGCTACTTAAAGTACCAGCTCGTGGTCATCAAAGCGTATATTCTTCATGGATATAGAACGTTACTGTCTGCAGCTAAAGCCGCGTCGCAGCTCAAAGACATCACTGCATTTCTAGTTGGATGGTTTGTCGTTTCAGACTCGCTAACAACTATCAACTCGACCGCAATCCTCTTCGCAAAATCAGACCTGCAAATGACAACGCTCCAGCTGTCGCAGATCGGAATCCTCACCATGATCTCGGCCATCGGCGGCTCCGTGCTGCTTCCCAACGTGATCCAGCCGTACTTCAAGCTCAGCCTGAAACAAACCATGGTGCTCATTATCGTTTGGGCCTCGGTAATTCCTCTGTATGGAATCATTGGCTTTTTCATCCAGTCCCTGGGGCTCCACCACGCAACAGAAATGTACTTTCTGGCCATTTGGTATGGATTCTCACTAGGAGGCGTGGCCACTATCTCCAGAAGCTTGTACTCGATGCTGATTCCAAAGGGCCAAGAGTCGGTCTTTTTCGCATTGTTCAGCATCACCGACAAAGGCTCCTCGATCGTGGGCCCGCTCTTGGTCGGACTGATCATCGACAGAACACACGATATCCGCAAATGTTTCTGGGTACTCTTTCTTTTGCTGGTCGCTGCTGTGCCGCTGTTCTGGTACGGTGTGGACGTTGATCGTGGGATCAAAGAAGCAAACGTTCTTGAAGAGGAAGAAGTGGACTAAATGTAAAATTACATCCCCCATATGTTTACCACCCCGTCATCGCCGCAACTGGCCCACTCGTACTCGTCGTTGTCAGTGCGTTTCCAGTCAATGCAATTAACCAGAGACTTGTGGCCTTTCAGACAGTCAATAAGATTACCAAACTTCTTGTTCCAGACATAAATGAGACCGTCTTCGCTTCCACTTAAAACGAGATTTTTATTCGTAACGCACCCTCTGATGATGTAGTCCGATTGCTGTAGTCCGTAGTATTTGTTTACCAGATACGGTTTCGATAGATTGGAGACGTTCCACAGTTGCAGCTCGTCAGATTTGACATTTATCAAACAGTGGTCAGGGTCGTCTGGGGTGACGGTGATTGAAGTCAATTGTTTTCCAATATTGACAATGCTGGAAACCTCAAACTTGGACATGGTCAGATCATAGACAATCAGATGGCATGAGTGTGTGACAACAAGCAACTTCTCGTCGTTGACCAAAGCCAAGTCTTCCACTCGATGGGATATATTGAAGTCGTGAACCAAAGTTCCATCGATATTGAATATGCAAAGCTTTTTATCTGGGGAGCCAATGATAAAGTTATCGCTATTCTGGAAAAACTCCACCGACCGAATGCGAACATTTGAGTTGAACAGGTCGTGGTCCGAAATGGTTGAGATACAGCTTCCGGACTCGATATCCCAGATTTTGACCGTTTGGTCAAACGACGAGGTGATCAATTTAGTGTCGTCCTGCGACCACGACAGATATATGATGGTGTTCCCATGTCCAACCAGATGTTTACTCAGCCTGTAAGTTTGTGTATCGTAAATGACGATCGATTTGTCCACAGAGGCAGTGGCCATGTACTTTCCCGTGTTGGAGTACTTGACGAACCAGCACTCATTATCGTGGTACTCGAGCCGGGCTTTCAGGTTCTTTGGGAACTGCCCCTTTGTGGAGCTGTTTGTATCCTTTAATAGTGTGAGTGACTGATTAGAAGCACCGGTAGGAATGAAGTACGGATCGTTCATCTGCTGATACGACAACGCCTGTGTGATCAGCTCAGCTAGTCGGTTTGGAGGCACAACTTTATCCGCTGGCAACAACGCCAACACCTCACTCACCAACGTTTCTCTGGATGTCTCGAAATTGCCTCCGATCTGCCACCCCTGCTCTTCCAGCATGGACTTCGTGGTAAAGTCCACCAACTCGAGCTGTTCGGCGAAGTTCACCAGCAACGTGCTCAATTTCTTGCTCAAAGAGGCAACCTTTTCGTTTTTGGGGTAATCTGCTGTCAATGTCCTTAATGTACGGAGTGCACGATTGTTATCTCTTTTGAGTATTAAACTCTCCAGAAACAACGTCTTTTTAATGACAATGTGTACGTCTTCTTGGACGATGGCTAACTGCGCTGCATTGTCCACCAAGTGCTCTAAGTTGCGGTCTATCAGCTTCACCGACTCGGGGCTGTCTAAGTCTACCTCTGTATTTTTCAGAATATCAGTGAATTGAGTCAAGTGAGTGTTGGTCACCCGTAAATGGGTAAGCTGAGACAGTTGGGAGGCGATTTCGGAAAATGGGCCCCCTAAACCAGTCAGATACTGGATAATCACAAGCAATAGCTGGTCGTTCTTAATGGAATTGATGTCCCGGCTCAGCCCGGGAAGCGTGTCCTGGAGGATCGATTGAATCGCAGTGTCTACCGAATCGGAAGATGCCTGATCCGCAGGCTTTGCAACAGATATCTTTCTCTTCGGAGACATTGAAATTCACATAAAACAAAGGAGCCCCTTACCCAAAATCTTATCTAAGACAACCCCCGTGGTCCGGGTAACGTCCTATTATTAATCACGGCGAGGCTTGACATTTTCTTCGCTTCCCCATATTTTCACGGGACCGCGTTCACGTGCGTGTTTTGCCACGCAAATAATTTCGACACGTACCGAACAGGCTTAACCAATTTATTTTTCACATCAGACACCATGAAGTTCATCAACGTCTCGATCTTGACCTCTGTGTTGGCAATGTTGGCTGTTGCCAAAGGAGGTGCCGACGACGCGGCTATTGCGTCGCCAGACTCCGCTGTCGTTAAGTTAACGGCCGATACCTTCGGATCTTTCATCAAGGAGAACCCGCTTGTTCTTGCAGAGTTTTTCGCTCCATGGTGCGGCCACTGCAAGAGTCTTGGTCCAAAATTCAGCGCTGCTGCTGACAAGCTTGTTGAGAAGGACATCAAGCTCGCCCAGATCGACTGTACTCAGGAAAGAGATCTCTGTGCCGATTATGGAATCCGTGGATACCCAACTCTCAAGGTGTTTAGAGGAACCACCAACTCTTCCGACTACTTGGGACAAAGAGAGGAGGAGAGTATTATTAGTTACATGACCAAGCAGTCTCTTCCTTCTGTTTCTGCGATCGAGGACTCTGCCGATCTGCTAGATACATTTGCCGAACTGAGTGAGCCTGTGATTTTGCAGGTTCTTCCGCCAGACTTCAAGCCTGCTGCCAACGAAACTTTCTACTCGCTGGCCGACGAGCTCAGAAACGAGTTCTCGTTTGTCTCGACCTCCAACCCAGAGTACGTTGAGAAGTACACCAGCAAGAAGTCCACTCCTGCGTACGTTGTGTTCAGACCGGGCGAGAAGACTGAAGACGCTTCCTTGTTCAAGGGCGACACCATCGATAAAGCCACCTTGGAGAGCTTCATTGGCGTCGAGACCAAGCCTCTGTTTGGCGAGATCAGCGGAGCCACTTTCCAGTCGTACATGGAGTCCAAGCTCCCATTGGCCTACTTCTTCTGGGACGACGAGAGCCAGAAAGAGGCCGTTTCCGATGCCATCATCAAGCTCGCCAAGAAGTTTAGAGGCGAGATCAATTTTGTTGGTTTGGAGGCTAAGAAGTACGGAATGCACGCCAAGAACTTGAACATGAAGGAAGAGTTCCCATTGTTTGTCATCCACGACCTCGAGGGCAACTTCAAGTACGGTATCTCCCAGGACAAGGCTCTGAATTACGCCGACATTCCTAAGTTTGTCGAGGAGTTCAAGGCCGGTAAGGCTCTTCCGATCGTCAAGAGCGAGCCTATCCCAGAGGTCCAGGACGAGGCTGTCTACCACTTGGTCGGATACGAACACGACAAGGTTGTGCAACAGAAGAAGGACGTTTTGGTGGAATACTACGCTCCATGGTGCGGCCACTGTAAGAGACTTGCTCCAACTTACGAGGAGCTGGCTGCTCTGTACAAGAACGACTCCGACGCCAACGAGAAGGTTGTTATTGCCAAGATCGATCACACCGCTAACGATGTTTCTGGTATCGAGATCACCGGATACCCAACCATCTTCTTGTACCCTGCTGACGGCTCTAAGCCAATCAGTTACGAGGGACAAAGAAGCTTGGAGGCTCTGGCCAACTTCATCCAGGAAAAGGGTTCGACTGGAGTTGATGCCTTGAAGATTAGAGACGCCAAGGCTGCCGAGCCGGAAGCAGAGGAGTCCACCGAGACCAACAATGGTGCTCACGATGAATTGTGATGTGTTCATAGTACATAATAAGAGTTTTAATTAAAAGTTAGCCATTTATAGTTTCGCTGGCTGCTTTGCTAAGTCTGTTCATGATTGCCAGTCCTTCGTCTGTCTCGTCCACACCTTCCACCAGGATAAAGTCGTAGTTCTGGTCGTCCAGGTCTCTGAACGAGGAAAACAGGTTGTGCTGGATTTCGTCTCCGGACTGGCCAAGCGGGCTGTCCAAGGTGATGAGCGGGCTGATTTCTGCTGCGGTTGCAAAATTGCGCGTTCGAAGCAAAGCGATCTTCTTACCAGCGAGATTGTTTTCGGCAATGTAGTCGCCGACTTTCTGTTTCCCGTCGCCGCAGTTGGTGAAGAGCACCACTTTTGCGGTTGGCGAGTAGTGACGGTACTTCATTCCTGGAGTTCTAACCGGCTCGAGCTTTCCTGCTGTTTTCTTGGCCAACACGATGTTGCTCCATCTTGGGCCGCCGGCCTGTTTGATCTGCTCCAAAGAGATTCCACCCGGGCGCAGCAGCATCGGCGGGTCAGACAAACCGTCCACGACGGTGCTTTCGAGCCCAACGTCGCACGGACCACCGTCTAAAATTAAAGGTATCTTCCCTTGCAAGTCGTGGAAAACGTGTGCTGCCGTGGTTGGCGACGGTCTTGTGGACGCATTTGCAGACGGAGCAGCCAAGGGCAAGTCCGCCAACAGTATTAGTGCGCGCGCGACCGGGTGTTTGGGCATTCGCACGGCAAAAGTGGACTGGCCAGCGGTGACCAGCTGCGAGATCGGAGAGCTGGTCAGGTCTGCAGGCATGGGCAGCAGAATGGTCAGCGGACCGGGCCAGAACTTGGCAATCAGCGGCTCGTAGATGTCTGGGATTTTCTGGCCGGGAACCAGCAGCTTTCTTTGCAGCTGGTTGATCGAAGAGACGTGCGAGATTAGCGGGTTATCTGCGGGTCTATTTTTCGCTGCGTAGATGGACTTGACCGACTCGTCGCTCAGACTCGAGCCCCCGAGCCCGTAGACAGTTTCGGAAGGAAATCCTATAGCGTGGCTGGTGGTATTGAGGATATCTGCTGCTTTTTGCAAATTGGCCCTGGTTTCAGGATCGGAGATATCCACCGCTGTTCCGTCGGCGTTGAACGAAATCGAGCCCGAGTCCACCTTGAGGACCTCGGTATGCAGTTTGGACGTCATGCTGAAAGTTCGTGACAAGTTTCGACGCCAGAACTCTGCCAAGTGGAAGTTTGCGCTGGGTCTCTTAATTCTGAAATATTTTCTGAAATATTTTTCTCCAGCAATAATTTGGCATTTTTCCAATGTTTGGCTTTGCAAAGAAACTGGTCTCCACTTTGGAGACCCAGGCAACAAACTATCTGAACGTGAACTCAAACGGTATCGACGAACACACAATGGGACTGCGCGTGGTGTCTGTGGACAAGGACTCGGTGGCAGAGAAGTATGGGTTCCAGAGCTGGTTCGACTTCATCTTGTCCATCAACGGATACGAGGTGGTTTCGTTTTTGCAGAGCGGCGAATCGCAGGACTCCAACCCGTACGCACAGCACGATTCGTCCACGGGCTACTCGCAGCTGCTGGAGTTCCTCGCGTACGAAGTGAACACCAACAAGTCCGATCTAGTGTTCCGGGTGTGGAGCGGTAAAGGCGGCGTTGAAAGAGAAATCACCGTGCCTAACCACGAGTTCAGCGCAGAAAACAACCAGCAATTGGACGATATCAGCATCTCGGCGCCAAAGGACTCGAAACACGTGATCCAGAACTCTGCGTTCAAACGGCTCCAGTTCACTTTGCAGCTCACTCCGCTGAACGTTGTTGGCTATGTGTGGCACGTGATGCGCGTGAACCCGAACTCGCCGGCGTACCACGCCGGAATCATGCCAGACGAGTACATCTTGAACTGCGAGGGCGGTTTGTTGGCTACTGGCGGAGAAGACCTGTTGAGCAGGGTGATCCATTCGATATACACCAAGTGGCAGCAAAGCCCCACGGCGGGCGCGACCCCGTGCTCGGTCGTACTGTACGTGTACAACCATGACTACGACTCCGTGAGACCCGTGACGGTGTATCCGAACGAGACCTGGGGCGGCCGTGGGTTGCTGGGCTGTGACATCGGGTACGGACTGTTGCACAGGATCCCAGAGGTGTTGCGCCACAACGACCTGGACGACGAGTCCGACGTGGACCTGGCTCCGGGAGGCGTGCTATTCAACGCAGAACCAGACGCTCCAGCCGAGCCTGCTAACCTATTGCAGCCTGCAGTGCAGGCCCCTTCGTTTGCCAACACCCCAGCAGAGCCACCAGCCAGACGCAAGAAGGCCTCGAAACACGTGGCCGCGAGCGACCTGTCCAGCTACTTCGAGGAGGAGACCGCCAAGTCGAAGGAAATCGATGGCGACCGGAAACTCGAGCACGGTGAAGTGCCTGCTCCACCGAAACTTGCATCCAAGAAGGAGTCTAGCTGAACTGGCTGTTCCATTCCTCCCATTCTTGCTGAAACGTCTTGAGCGGTGTTTTCGAGTGCAGCGAGTCTTTTATGTAGAGCAGTTTGCATATTTTCAGCTGTAGCACCCTATTGATCACGTTTAGATCTCTGAGTAGTCCCACAGCCAGGAAACACAGACTTCCCAACAGCTGGCCCAGTAGTGTGCCTATCCAGATCTGGGACAGGTTGTGGTATTCAAAGTAAAGACGCGAGTAGCAGATGGCCACCTGGAACGCGATCAGGATGCCAGCGTTGATAGTTTTCTGATAGATCGACATTTGGTTGGGCCATTGCAGGAATATTCGCAGAAGCATGTAGGTGACGAAGAATGCGATGAATTGTGAGTGAGACGACGGCATGCCGTACAACAGATTGCCGTCCTTCTTGTAGATCTGGCCACGCGAGGGCCGGTCGAGTTTCAAAAGGTTCTTGATGATACTGCTGATCGCATCGTTAATCACCTGGCCTCCAGCCAGTAAACAGCACTCGATCTCTCTTGTAGCGACGAACACCGAAAACAGAAACACCAGGATGAGTATTGGAATCAGTGAGCAAATGGCAATTGCCAGACTGAACAGACTGGACTCCTCATACAAAATGTATGTGTGATCAAACGGAACAAGAGGGTTCATTAGGGGAAAAAATTAAGTTAAAAAAATATGATGGATCTTGATTCCTTAATGGAGGAGCTCAAGTCCGGGTCCTCGGACTTGGCGAGACTTCTTCGGCGGTTACAAGGATTTGACAAAGATACACAGCGACTGCGGATCTGTGTGGCGTTGATAGACCAGATCCTCCCGGTTTACAGAGTGGTTGACTCGGAGGTTCGTGCGCTCGCGGTTGATTTACTCTGTTGTAGGGTTGGAATCAGTCAATTGCTCGTGAAAACAAGAGAGACTGTCAACGAGAATAGCAGCGACTTGCTGGCGGATATTGTCAGCTCACCTAAATTTGACGGAATATTGGGAAACGAGCGAGAATTCTCAGAACTACGAGGACTTTTAACAGTGAGAGTGATGGAGACGCTCAATCGCGCGTCATTGGAATTGCACAGCGGCAGAATATCCACGGTAGCAGATCTGTATCCAGAATGGCTCTTGGAGATTGCGCTGCGAAACAAAGTGGATTGGAGATTTATCAATTCGTGCTTGCGAATGAAGAAGGTGGACTATTTTAGAAAAGAGGTGTTTCTTTCGTTGGTTGAGAGGTTTAACAGGAAGCCAGATTACACGTTTTTGCAGCAGCTGCTCCATTCCGTTGATGGTGGCATTGACGAGTCGAACGCTGCTGGTTTTCTGGAGCTGCTCAAGATTCTTAATATAAACGACTGGCCGTTGGTTGCAAGCATGGTTACCAAATCGCCGGTGCACACACAGAAAGTGGTTACCAGACTCATGACTAATGCAGAACTGGTGCTGGAAAAACAGCTATCCCTGTTTGCTCTCAAATCGTACATCCAACAGACCCCGATAGGTGAGCAAGAACGGCTCACAAATTTTGTGCTTCTGCTGCTGATGCGACTAGACAATGCCCAAGTAATGGACATTTCGACTCGTCCAGTCTTTCTGAACGCTATTAGCAACCATCTGGAATCAAACACCAACAAAATACGGTTCCTGGGCATGTGCGTTGGCGACGTGGTTTATCAACGACTCAACGGAAAACCCATGTTTAATATCGATGAACACAACAGAGACAGAGACAATTTGATGGCCAGTTTGGAAAAACCAATTGCCGATTGTTCATTGGAAGAGGCGTTCGTGCTGGTTCGCCAAAAGTCCACACAGCTCCAGACTCTCGCGCAAGAGCACATAATAATCAAACCGACACCGGTGACGATCGACTCCGACCCAGAAGATTCCGATGACGATACCGTCCCGCCTAGAAAAACCGTTCCGAACCCAGTGTACCTGAAGGAAGTGGTTTCCTACTTGCAGGCCGAGTCGCAGACCGACCAGCTGGCCTTTGAGAAACACCAGGCCGTGTTCAAGATCTTGGCTCCACTGGTGCGCACCAAGCTCCACTCGCAAGAGCTTGAGTTCTATAGCGAGTCGCTGCTGGACCTTATCCTGGGACTACCAAACACCTACAAGTTTGAGGAGTTTGAGTCGTGGCGGCTTTCGTGCTGTATTGCTATTTGTGTTGGGGACTTTGAGCAAGCCACTGGATTCTTGATCAAATGTTTTGTGACTGGCGATTTGTCGCTCAACAAACGGATATTGATTCTCAGTTGTTTGAGCCTGACTGCTCGTGAACGGTCCGGAATAGACGACTCGTTCATTGCAGGCAAAGATCCAGTCCCCAACGTGGGAGCACAGAAACTTCCCGAACATATCCATCAGCAGTTCCTCAAATACGAGCAGGAGCCTGGCGAAACGAAAAAGGAGCTTAAAAATATCTCTGATGGCCTGGAAACACTCCAACTGACAGGAACAGTGACACGGATATCAGCTCGTTTAACCAACAAGAAACCAGTGAAAACCAAAGATACAAAATTCATCAACAACCAATTGCCCAAAATGTACTTTCTTTTGGTCTCTGTTTGGCAGTTTGTCGACTCCAAGACGCAGTCTGGGTTCCAAGTCGGCAGCTTCTCGGCGATACTTAATGCCCATTTTTTGAAAACGCTGGCTCTTATCCTGGACTGTGGCATTCCTTCGTCGATCCAAGTGCTGGACATGATCCGCGAACTTACGTTGGTGCTTATTCAACAGTTGAAACAGCTGCTGGTCACCTACGAGAACCTTGTGATGGAAGCAGTGGTGACCTGTTTGCAGACTATTCTACAATACGACGGTGGCCTATTACAGCAAACGCTTTTCAGTCAGTTTCAAACTATACAGGAATGTCTGGTAATCATTTTGAACAACAACCAGCTGGACGAGCAAGTCGTCAACAACTGCAGAATCATCCTTGGACAATTAGATAGAATCACTCCTCAATTGTGAAGGCCTCATTTTTCATCATCCAATGGGTAGATAGTTGGATCCCAGCCACTGATGTAGTACTCGTCCAAGTCCGAGAGAGTCTTGATGTCCTCTGGAGACAGCTCAAAGTCGAAAACGTCAAAATTTTCGGCCAGTCTGGACATGGTCTCGGTTTTTGGAAGAGTTATGAAACCTTCCTCCAAAGACCATCTGATGAGGATCTGACCGGCACTCTTGTTGTACTTCTTGGCCAAGCTGAGCAACAAGGGATCGGTCATCTTTTGGCCTCTCACCAAAGGAGAGTACGCCTCAGGAGTGATCTTGTTCTGCCGACAGAACTCCACCAGGTCTTTTCTTCCAAGCCAAGGATGGATTTCCACCTGGTTGATTGCTGGAACAACTTTTAAGTCCGGGTACGCGAGAACTTCCTTCACGTGCTTGATACCGTAGTTGGAAATACCGATGTTCTTGACGGTTCCTGCCTCGTAGGCCTCTTCCAGCGCTTTCCAAGCCCCGTGCCGTTTTTTGTAGCTGGTCTTAGGAGTGTGGATCAGGATCAGATCAATGTAGCCGATGTCCTTGGCCTTTTCGAGCATCAACTTGATGGCCTTCTTGGCAGGCTCGTATCCATGATCTGCATCCCACAGCTTGGTGGTGTAGAAAACGTCCTCTCTTTTGTGAGAAGAGTCTTCCTTGAGCCATTTGGAAATACCATCGCAAACTTCTTGCTCATTTTTGTAGATGGAAGCAGAGTCCACATGACGGTAGCCAACCTTCAATGCTTCGTACACCAGGTCTGTGCACTTTTTAGGGTCGGTTTCATAAACTCCCAGACCGACAGTTGGGATGACGTTGCCGTTATTGAGGATCTTTTGCTTAATACTAGACATGATTTATTAAATTGATGAGTGGCAGGAATAGGCTACAACGACACCTTTTATATCGTTGGAAAAAGCCTGATTATTAATGCAAATACACCATGAAGGTGAACATGGTGCTACCCGCCATCCAATAGAAGTTTCCAGGCCACGCTAACGGTGATAGAGTGGTATATCCGTACACTCGGCTACCACCTAGACACCGAATTCGGGGTCCAAAATAAAATATGTCAGCAAGCCCGGGTAGAGATGTTTTTGAAGATCGCTGGTTTCAGTCGAGACATGAAACCAACCCCACAGAACAACTACCCCGACATCACCGTAGGAAACCTCTTGCAAGTTGGCTTAAAGTTGGAAGATCGCCGCGATTACATCATTACACTGTTGCAACCAACGGCTAAGCAGGCACTTCCCCACAGCTCCGGGCAGCACAGCCTGGAAAGTTTATTACTGCGCGGCCGAAACCGGGTAAACAAAGGCGGGAAACTACCAGTTACAGCCATACATATTTCCCCTCTCGAGGTGAACAGCAAGCCACATATAGCCAGAATGCCGAAAGGAAACTAAGAGCTGCAGTTCAACCGTTAACTAAACGCGGAAAATTCAGCAGTGACTGCTTATCTTTTTCTGGCTGTTGGATATTAGTAACATTAGCAAATTTTTCACTATTGGTCACACTTTTTCCGTTGGTCCTGACTCCGAGGCATGCGCATTTGGGGAAAACAATTGGAGTCGCCAAGCAACAAATTATTCCTAACAATAGTCGGACCTTTTTCGGACTGAAATATGCAATGCTGTGGAGATACGTAACTCAAGTCCTGCAACTCGTTAAGTCAACCTGCGTGTCACCCCCCACTCAGTCTGCTTCCTGTATCACGATACTATAAATCACGATACTTCGCTGTGAAATCTTTTTATCTCGAAACTCACAGATGAGCGACCAAGAATCCGTGTCGATCAAAGAGGAAAACCACAAAGGCATCGACTTGGACGCTGAAGTCGTCAGTCCTGTGAGCCTTTCTCTCGCTTCTATCTCTCACTATGCTAAAACAAGAGTCACAGACCTTGTTCCTTCCAAGGCCATGATGAGGGCCAACAGACACCTGCTGAACCCATTGCCAGGTCTTAGATTGATCCCTGCTCGTCAGTGGATTATGTTCGCCTCGGCCTTCATGGCATGGACTTGGGACGCGTACGATTTCTTCTCGGTGTCGCTCAATGCTACTGCACTTGCCCATTACTTCGGTAAGAACGTCAAGCAGGTCACCTGGGGTATCACCTTGGTGCTCATGTTGAGATCGGTTGGTGGTGTCGTGTTTGGTTACCTCGGTGACAGATACGGAAGAAAATGGCCTTTGTGTCTCAACATCCTGTTGATGGCTTGCATTCAGTTTGGTACCTACGGTGTGTCCACTTACGAACAGTTCCTGGGTGTTCGTGCCATTTTCGGTATCATGTTGGGTGGTATTTACGGAAATGCTGCCGCTACCGCTTTGGACGACTGTCCTATCGAGGCCAGAGGATTCATTTCTGGTCTTTTGCAGCAAGGTTACACTTTCGGATACCTTTTGGCTGTTGTCTTCACCAGAGCCATTGCCGACAACGTCGAGATGGGATGGAAGAGTTTGTACTTGTTGGGTGGTAGCGTTTCTATCGTGATTCTCATCTTTAGACTTTGCTTGCCTGATACACAAGCTTTCCTGCGTCAAAGGGAAATCGAAAAGTACAATATTGAGCACAACATTCCGCAGAAGACTTTCTTCCAAAAAGTCAAGGCTTCATTGAAGCTTTACTGGCTAATGATCATTTATCTTGTTCTGCTCATGGCTGGATTCAACTTCATGTCTCACGGATCCCAAGATCTCTATCCAACCATGCTTACAGAAGAATACGTTTTCTCTTCTAATAGATCCACTGTGACCAACTGTGTTGCCAACATTGGAGCTTTTGTCGGAGGTATTATAGTCGGACACATGTCCAACTTTGTCGGTAGACGGTTATCGATTCTTATTTGCTGCATTGGTGGTGGTGCGCTGATTTACCCATGGGCATTTATTTCTGGGTCTGCCATCAACGCAGGTGCATTTTTCCTTCAATTCTTTGTCCAGGGTGCTTGGGGTGTGATTCCAATCCACTTGTCTGAGTTGGCTCCACCAGACTTCCGTTCGTTTGTCGTTGGTGTGGCTTACCAGCTGGGTAACCTTGCATCTTCTGCATCTTCGACGATCGAGTCGACCATCGGTGAGTCGTTCCCATACACAAACAAAAAGGGCGAAGCTACCAAGGATTACGCAAGAGTGATGGCTATTTTTGTCGGTGCTGTGTTTGCCTATGTTTTCTTGATCACTTTGGTTGGTCCAGAAAACAAGATGGCATCGCTTACACATAACCTCGAGGAAGAGGAGGACGCTCACAACCGCGAGGAGCGGGAACTGGAGAGCCAGGTTTAGGGTTTAGAAGTATAATATATTTATTGATATGCTTGATTACTCCTTATTCATTCTTTCCGCAGAAACTTTGAATGGGGCCGGAACTTTCACTGTAGGATTTTTTCCGATGGCTAGCTCCGACACATATGCAGCGCAGCTAAAAACGCGGGGCATACCATGGCCACTGAACCCCGCAGACACGTATAGATTCGGGCGTCCAAATTCAGACAAATCCCCGACAAAAGGGAACTCGTCGTACGAATATCCCCGACACCCTGTCCAAGTGTAATCGTTGACGAATTTCTCATTGGCCAGCGACTTGTAGTTCCGAGTGGGGTAGTCGACAAAGTACTTGCCGGTCTCGTCCGGGAAGAACGAGTCGTCCAAGCAGTCAACCATCATCTCTTTGTTCGGAGACTCCTCGTACGTTTCCCCGCCACCTCCGATGATCAACGACCCGTCGTGGCAAACACTGATGTAATCGTCTTCCCCGCTGAAGAGATGGATCATGTTCACGTCCAGGCTTTTCCCAGATTCGCTTTTCAAGTGAGAAACCACTCCTTTCAATGGAGTAATTTTATCGTTAAACTCGGGTAAAATAGCACGCGTATATGCGTTGGTAGTGGCAATGACCTTTTTAGCCCTAACAGAACCACGTGGAGTCTTTACTAACCATGTTTTGTCCTCTAGAAGGTCCAGCTCTCTAACTGGAGTATTGGTTTGCAAGTTCAAGCCTTTTTCAAGTGCAACCTTCAATAGTCCAGTGACAAGCTTGTATGGCCACAAAGACGAAGCAGGAGTAAATCCGCCAAGCTTGACGGTGTTGTACTCCTTCTGGGCCTCTTCTCCATAAACAACGTTGACGCTGTCCTTGACATCCTGTGGAATAAACGGATTCTTCACAAACGCGTCGTAGTCACGTTGGCCGGTAGCAGCCGCCTCCTCATCCTCATAGGCGTGGAAAGCCCTTCTGCGTTTAAAATTGTAGTCAATGTCGTACTTCTTGGTCAACTCCTCGATCTTGTCGAGTTCGTAGTGCTCGAACATACAAAGATCTGCGGCAACTTCCTCGCCAAAGTTCTTCACGTACTCATCCTGCTTCAAGTAGTAATAACTTCTCATATGGCCACCGTTTCTTCCAGTGGCTCCGGAGCAAACGTCTCTGGCCTCTAACAACATCACACTCTTATCGGTGCCGTATTCGACCAACAAGTTGAATGCGGCTCCAGCACCACTTAAACCCGAGCCAATGATAAGAATATCGACTTCTTCTGGGAGTTCTTCGGTGGATCTATGTTTTGCAAGCGGTCTATCTGCCTCTCCCATCCAATAGGACAGGGTTGTCTTCTCAGAAGGAAATGAGCTAGTGGTGGTCATTGCCTGAAAAATTGTGGAATGAGATCCACGTTTATATATCTTATCATTGCGCGGATAAGATAACCATTTTTAATTAACCGATTAGAAAATGCCATCTGCAAAATTAATCCCTCTACTGACTCATTCAAGACAAATCACATTGTTTCTCTTCTGTTTACTGGCTAAACACGTATCCGTTCCTAATAGTTTTCAGGGTGTAGGATTTGATCAATTGCAGTCGCACACGACAACAGCTTTTCCTCACACAGTTTCGGAACAACCACTTGGACGCTACCAATCATGCCCTGGTACGTTTCGCTATCGAATGCCGGCATCCATCTCTGCAATCCCTCAGGAACTTCGTGCTTTCCCGGGTAATCCTTGGTAACTTTTCCGTATGGAATGACAATCGTTGGGAAGTCAATCACACTCCACATGGAGGTGTATGGACACCCAGAATACTTGTCATGAGGAGCGGAAGTCCCCCAGTTGCCAGGACAAATCAGCACATCAATATCCCGGAAAATCTCCATCCACTTGGTGTAGAGCTGAGTGGTTGCCTTGATAGTGTTGGAGTAGTCCTGGAGTGTTTTTGGTCTGTACTCTGAATTTTCATCAATGACAATGGACTTGATTAATGGCTCTCCAGACTTTCTGACAGAGTCATAACAGGTCTTATCGTTGGGAACAAACGCAGAATAAAACCCACAAGCCACGGTCCAGCCTTCCCAAAAGGTAGCCACTTTGCCGTTCAAGTTCACGATTTGGCAGCCAGCTTTTCCAAGCTTAGCAGCAGCATCTTCAAGGAATTCGGTAACTGGTGGATGCACGGGGATGTAACTGTCTGTCGAAATCAATCCAACCTTCAATGGCTTTTCAGCAGGTTGTGCATCCTTCGTGTTGAAAGGAATTGGCAAGGCAAAGTCGTCGTAAGTTGACGGATTGGCCAAAACGACGTTCTTGAAGAAAAACTCAATACCTTTCATTGTGTTTGATAACGGACCAAGAACAGGCTTAAAACTGAGATACATTGGCGACTCGCTATTGCCTGTCTGGTTGCCATATGGCAATCTGTTGATGCTTGGTTTCAACCCGTACGTGCCATTCACCAGGGCAGGAATACGAATCGAGCCAGCAATATCTGTGCCGACTCCAATGGCAGATCCTTGGAGTCTCACGAGAGCACCTTCTCCGCCAGAACTTCCACCAGCACCCATCGACAGCTTGTTGGGATTCAAAGTTCTGCCAAAGACATTGTTTTCAGAGTCTGCAGTCATCAGAGTTTGGGGAATGTTTGTCTTCGCATGAAAGTTAGCTCCCAGGTCGAGCAGCAGTGTGACCAGGTTAGACTGAACCCTGGTATCTTTATTGCCAATGTACGAGATGTATCCGATTGTAGAGTCGTATCCTGGCACATTGAACGAATCTTTCAAAGAGATTGGCAAGCCATGCAATGGACCGACCGTTTTGCCATTTTTCTCAAGGTAATCGTCCAGATACTCTGCTCTAGAGATTGCATAGTCAAACATGAACTCTGTGACACAGTTAGTGTACTGGTGTGCCACAGCTGCTCTGTGAGAAAACGCAAGCGCCACTTCTTTAGAAGTGTACTGTTTGGTTGCAATTTTCAAAGCTAGTCTTTCAGGGTCAGTGATGTTGGTAATCTCTAGTTCCTTCTCACTTAGGTGAGTTGGCACAAGGTCGACCACAGACACATCATCCTTTTCGGAGTACGGACTTTCAAACTTCCATTCTTTAGGAATACATGCCTCCCTAGCTGCTCTTTTCTCAGTTGCTTTCACTTTCCACATTTTGATGAGCTAGATGTCATGACGACTGCTCCCTACTTATAATATCTGCCTAGCCGAAAATCTCCAAAATGGATGGCAGCCAAGATTCGTGAGTCTTATCTTGCATGTAAAATTTCCCAAACGGGCTATTTTCGGCAGCTTATCAATCAAAGTAATTCAAAATAAAAAGGCAGCGAGTAGCTACTCAAGGTGCAACAATGAAACAGCAAGCTGAACCTACCTTTACTGAAATCCCAACTGCAGAGCTCGAAAGCGCTTCTGACAACTGGGAGATCCCAGGTACTTCCCACCTTGTGGATCATGATGCCCATGACGAAACAATCCTGATTCCAACTCCGTCGGATGACCCAGAGGACCCTTTGAATTGGAGTAAGCAAAGAAAATGGCTTCATTTGTTTTGTTTGCTGGTTTTCATTTACGGAGGAGCAATTCCTCTCTGCTGCGTTTACTCGATTTTTCTCGATATTGCCAAAGACGAAGCTACCAATGTCACGCTGGCCCAATTGAACGAAGGAACGGGATACTGTTTCCTGTTCTTGGGTATAGGAAATTTTGTGTTCATGCCGCTAGCTCAGCAGTACGGAAAACGTCCGGTTTATCTCATCTCTCTTCTTGGAAGTGTGATGTTCACTCTTTGGCAGCCGTACGTGAAGTCAAGAAGTCACTGGATTGCATCAAAGATCCTGAGTGGTTTCTTTTGCGCACCAGTTGAGACTTTACTGGAAGTCTCCGTCACAGACTTATTCTTTGAACATGAAAGAGGTAGATACATTGGTGCCTATGGATTGTCAATTGCCACGTCAAATTTCCTGGCCCCAGCGTTCTCTGGACTTGTGGCAGACGCCATTGGATGGAGATGGTCAATCTGGATTGCCTGTATCTACGGTGCAGTCTGTTTCGTATTTATCTTCTTTTTCCTCGAGGAGACTAATTATGATAGATCTATGGATCAAGGAAGCTGGAGCGAAAAGAAGTCTTTTGTGCAGAAACTGCGCATAACAGGTGGAGTCAAGAAAGAGAACCGATTATTGCAGTACTTTATTGCGCCATTCTGCTTGGCTCAATTTCCGGTGGTGCTATGGTGCGGGTTCCTATACGGGGTCACATTGTTCTGGTACTCGGTGCTGAACGGTACTGAGGCTACTATATTAGGTACCGAGCCATACAATTTTTCCTCCAGTATGTGCGGACTGGCCTACTTAAGCCCAGTCATCTTTACCGCTATTTTGTATCCGGTCACTGGATGGCTTTCGGATATGGCCAAAATACAGTTGGCCAAGAGAAGAAGCGGAAGATCCGAGGCAGAAGATAGACTCTGGATTCTGGCTCCGTACTGTATTGTCGGGCCCTGTGCGCTGATACTTTGGGGAGTCGGTGCAGCTCACCATATCCACTGGTTTGGATGCTTGGTGGGTCTTGGATTAATGGCAGGAACTACAATGTTTGGTATTGTTGGATCGTTAACCTACGTTCTTGACACTTACAAGGAAATGAACTTTGCGGCAATGACGGTTGTGATCATGGTCAGAAACGGAATGAACTTTGGAATGGATTACGCCATCACTCCGTTTGTGACGAATCTCGGCTACCAAAACTGCTTTATCGTCTCAGCCTTTATCTGTCTGGGCTGCACTGCCACATTTTTAGTAATGGTGTGGTGGGGGAAAGCGATGAGAGTTGCAAGTAAATCCAGATACCAAAAAATCGTGCAGACCCTGGGTTGAAAATTGCCGAGAATTTCCTAAATAAGCGATTCTGATAAGATATTTAATTTGATTTTGAGCTTTGCAACTTTTAAATTTCGCCAATGAAAAGAACAAAGTCGGGGTGTTTTTGCTGTAAGTAGAGCAGAGAAGGAGACTAACATATCAGGTCGCAAGCGTAAGATCAAGTGTGATGAGACCAAACCTGCTTGCGACGCATGTGAAAAACGAAAGCTAGTATGTGTCTGGCCTAGCTCAAAAACATCTTTATCTCACAAGAGCACCTTCACGCCTCGGAAAGCCTTTCAAAGTCAGTTCTTACAACAGCAGGATAGGTTTAAGCTAATCAAAAGTGATGCACCATCAACCTGCAAAACTGAGCAGCCATTGGTCCTAAGCTCTGTTGTTCTCGAATGGCCCGGGTTCATTATCAGCAACTCAGAAAAATATCTTCTATATGCATTTGCAAAAGGTTTTATGATCGCCACTTCGCCTCAGCACTGCCATCGGAAACTTTTACCAAATTCTGTCGTTCTACCCTATGTGGTGTCTCACCCACTAACTAGACTCGCAATATATTCCTGTGGAGCCTCATTTCTGGCATTTGAGGATAAAAGCTATAAGCCAATAGCCGATTCACTTCAAGAGAGGTGTATGTCACTTTTAGTGCAACAATTTGATTCAAATCTCATTGATGGAACGGAAGAATGGTTATTGATAGTTGTCATGTTATTCTCCGTCAAGATCTGGTATTCTCCCAAAGATCGCAACTCAAGTCTCATCCAATTGAAGACTTTTTATAATCTAATTAAGTACTGGTGGTACGTTAACAGTGGCCAACCAGTTAGTCAAAAAAAGCCCGATAGGAAACAATTGCAGCTCGACAATCCACTGGTCCACATTTCGAAAACCATCTCACAAAAACTGGCAGATCAGCCTAATAACTCTTCATCACCTATATCCAATCCCGCACAACTAATGAATTTTGATCCGTCCTTCGAGATCCCAATTAACGATTCTAAATCAATTGCCGCATCGAGGCGGCTGCTGGTGGACAGTTTTCTGTTCAACTATTCTGTGCTACTTTTATCATGCGACAAATCTGTGATCAAGTCGCTGGATTCGCCCTTTGTGGTCTTTGAGAAGCTGCGCCCAATCATGCAAGGGTTTATATTCGATTGTCCTGTTCCATGGATGAACTATCCGGTCACTGGTGCTTCAATAACCTCAATTGAGCTGGTTGCGAAAACAGGCTGGATCGCTCTGCATTACCCATTGGATGAAAAGAATCGCTCAATCGCTGAACATCTCTTGCGGTATGCCTCTTACTATGTTGCTCCCGTTTTGCTACCAAGAGCACTTCCCATGGAAAAACCTTCGGTGGACCATATAAGAGAAAGCGGATTTGTCAGCGAGCTGCTAGCCATTGCGTCTTCTATTTTCCTCACAAAACTGCTCTACTCCGAAATTGGCTCGTCAGACCCAGAAATTCAGAAGTCCGTCACCAAGTTCATTTCGATTTTGAAAAAGGTGGGTAGCTCAAGCTTGGTCAATGGAGTAGCAACGTGGGCTTTTGCAGTTGCAAGTACAGCTGTTATTGACCAAGAAGATCAGTCCTATGTTCTCACAAGAATCAACATTGCGGCAAAAGTGCTCAGAATGGAATGCTTTTTACGAATGAGAGATTTTCTTAAAGAAACTTGGGGAACACCAGATTTCCCCGGTCCTGGGCTCGATAACCTGCTGAACCGGGAAGGACTGATGCAGATATATCTCTAGACGCTTACGTACAAATTAAAGTCGCCTCTGAGTCAAGGGGGTACGTTGTTGGATCCCAGCCACTGACGTAGTGCTCGTCGAGAGCAGACAGCGCAGCAAAGTCTTCGTCCGAGAGAGTAAAGTCAACATCGAGGTTCGAAGCGAGCCGGCTCTCAGTGGCGGTCTTAGGCAGCACAATGAGTCCGTTTTGCACCGACCAGCGGATCAGCACCTGACCTGCATTGCGGCCGTACTTCTTACCGATCTCCGCAACATAAGGGTCGTTTGCCTTCTGGCCTCTGGCAAGCGGAGAGTATGCCTCAACTGCAATGCCTTTTGAACGGCAAAACGCAATCAGCTCCTTACGACCAAGCCATGGATGCACCTCAAACTGGTTGATGGCTGGCTTGACCTTCAGGTCTGGATAAGCGAGCAGCTCCTCGAGGTGCTTGATACCGTAGTTGGACACGCCAATGTTCTTGACGGTGCCTTTAGCGAATGCCTCTTGAAGAGCAAGCCAGGTGCCGTGACGGGCTTCGTAGTTTGACTGGGGCGAGTGAATCAACAGGAGATCAATGTAGCCGATTGGGGAAGCACGTTCAAGGGCTTGTGCAATGGCTTTGGTGGCCTTGTCATAGCCGTGATCAGTGTCCCAAATCTTGGAGGTATAGAAGATGTCTTCACGCTTGGTTCCAGGATTGTCGGCCAGCCATTGGCTGATACCCTTGCAAACTTCAGCTTCATTCTGGTAGAAAGCAGCCGAGTCAACGTGTCTGTATCCTGCGGCAAGGGCCGCGTAAACGAGCTTCGAGCAGCCTGGGCCGGTGATTTTGTAGACGCCGAGACCGACCTGGGGAATACGTGCACCTGTGTTAAGGACCTGGTAAGGAGTCATGATGGAAGTCAATAATTATTTTAGCGCAGGAAGAAACCGCATCTAAATAGGAGAAAGGTAAGCCCAAGGGGCGGGCACGGTCAGGGGAGTGCTTGCACTGCCTTGACCGAACCCCGAGGAGCTCGGGAAGGGTCCGAGAAAAACTCGAGGCCACCGAGGTGTTAGGTGGTGAGTGATTTTAAGGGGAAAACACATGAACTTAGCCATCTAGATCGGCCTTACTGGTGAATAAGTGGGCGTAATGTTGTGAGTTGGAATTTGAAACGGAGGAGCGTCAGGGTCGTACGATTAATTTTTGAGGTGGCATAATTTATTAGTACGGAAAATTAAAGCTACAATTAGTGGCATTGATCAAGTTCTGGATGCAACTTTCATTGACAGGCCGCACAATTGCTCCATGTCTTAGGTTATCTTCACGTCAGCAGGTCTAGAGTCTGATCTTGAAAGAATCCTTCTGAAAACGTGTAACCGAGATTAGGACCGGTAATGGATTCGTCATTGAAATGATCATATAGTCGAATATGAGAGTAGAAAATAGAAAAGAGGGAGATGGACATACGTGGAAAAAGGAAGCTTGTCAACCCGGAAATACCCACACTCACATGAATCGCCGTTGTTATAGTTTAATGAATATAGCCCAACAGGGTGAAATAACAATTTCGAGACAAGAGTTTTCCCGGCTACCAAATATTCGGTGTCTTTGTTAAGAAATGGTTTACAAACTCTGAAAACTTGAATTTTGACGCATCAAAGAACATGTCTCTAAAACAGGGAGAGAGAAAGAGAGAGTGAATTAACTGACAGAGATTATCCTGCAAATATTGACTGCCGAGTCTCATCATGGATCTCAGATTTATGAGCCTCATCTATTATGATAGGTCTATCCGGATCAATGTCCTTTTTGGTATAGTAATCAACTAGTCACTTAGCAGCTGATTCATTTTTATGCAACCAGTATTGGGAATAACCTTTATCAGTACCAATTTTACTTTTGAATACCACTACCTACCAATATCGATCTAGATCATTTACAACGAAATGCGTATTATTAGCTACTGGCTTACATATAGTATCAATATTTGAATTGCTAGCTATCTGAGAGAGCTATCGAATTCCGATTTGTAGCACTTGCAAGATCTTAGTCAAAATGCTATCATTCAATTTCAAAAATAGACAAGTATCATCAGCATCCTGCTTTCACGACCAACAATCTATCCACTAAAAGAATCCATTTCTGCTGATCAATTGCGTTTGAAATCATTATCAAGCCATTGAATCACACTCTACATTGTGGTTTTTAAATCTCGTATTGACGAAAAACTTGAATGCACGGAATCCTACGAGAAAACTAAATGCATCGGGTTCGCAACATAAGGGCATTAAGCACGCTCTATTTTTTTCTGTTTGAAACCGATACTATTTTCTACAATTAGGTAAGATCAGTCTACTCGAAAACAAGAATAGTATCCAGGTGTGTCATGAATTGTGACATCTCACTTGTAAATTACAGCTGATTAAAATATCTACGTTTTTTTTGATCCAGCTCAATGTTATCTTGCAGTGTGTGCAGAAAGAGGAAAAAGAAGTGCGACTTTAATCTTCCTAGTTGCAAAAACTGCGAGGCATTGGGAACTGTTTGTCTCTTCTACGACGAAGGACTCGGAAAGACAGTTTCCAGAAGATATTTAAAAAGCCTGGATGATCGTGTAAAGGAACTTAAACACGAGATCAAGATTTACGAGTCCAAAATACTGCAAAGGAAAGTCCAAGATTCAGAGACATCCCATGATAGCCGGCTCAATGATACTGTTAAGACGCCATTAAAGTCTGGCTGTTTCGTTGAAGGAAAATCCGACACATATTATTTTGGACCAGGATCTATTGTTTCCCTCATTTACTCTGCCGCTAAACTTTTGAATCTCGACTACGATCCAAATCGCTTTCAATACACAATAGGCGATATAAGCCTTCCACAATTGAAAGTACCGTTTGATCTGATGAATATTAGCAGTGATCACATAAGACTGCTGATTGAGAACTACCTGAGCTCTATCTATCCGTCTTTTCCTTTGCTATCGGAGAACTTCTTTCATTTTGAAGTTACGATTCGGAACTACCCTGCATACGAGCAACTATTTGTGCTACTGATATTTCTTATATCGGCAACAAACCTGATGAGAAAACAAAGTGATTTTGTTTATATCAAGATAATGCTTCATCAGAAAGTCATTGAGCTAATGAAAGTGAAAGTGGCAGAGGCAGATGGTGACACACTTCTAGCATTAGTGTATTATTCAATATACGAGTCAATGGATCCAGAGAGCAATCCTCCCTTGTGGAAAACATTATCTCTAGCCTGTGGATTGGCTGAAAAACTTAGATTATCTGATTTCTGCTGCAAAATACCACTTACTGGTAAAGTCTGCGACCAGATATCTCGCATTTCCTTATTCAAGACTTTGTATCAGCTGGAGATCAATGTTTCAATGTGTCTTGGGCGGCCACCAGCTATCTACCTATCTAGAAATCAGATTCTAAATCTCGAAATTGATGATACGGAGAGCAGACTGAGACTACTCGAACTCACAAGCAGGATTGACTTGTTTCGTAAGGTTTATGGAAAAGACGCACGATGCCCTCTAAACGTGGTAAAACCTATTGTTCAGGATTATCAGCATGAAGATCTTCACTGCATTTCCTTTTGGTCGCTTCTCCAGCACGGTTGCACTGACTGTGTTATTTATCTTCTGGATTCAAACGCTATGAAAGCATCCATCAACCTTATTAACGAAACAAACAAGAAAATGAAGAGCTCGATGCCGGTCTGTTTTTGGGTTGAAACCTTCAATATCACAGTATCGCTCCTGAGCATCGCAGTTGTACTGAAATTTCGTCCGGAGGCACTAGAAGACAAAGTGCTCGAGTGTCATATTATGGATGCGCTTCATCTCGGAAGGAAACTTCTTGTAGAGTATGCAACATTATGGAACTCCGCTCAACCTTGGTTATCGTTTACCGAGCTAGTCTTTGAGAATTTCAAAAAAACCGGAGAAAAAACTTCTAGCTTTTATTTATGAATATACTCACAACCAATCGTCAAATTGAACATAGTCTTCCAAGTTAGGCAAACTGCCTATATTGAAATTATCGTTCCACTTCGACTGTTTGTTTGAGTAAGACAGGTTTTCCATCATACCAATCTCTGACTGTATGAAACTATCATCAGCTGGATGATATTCAATCAAGTTCTCTTCCACATGAGGGATGTCTTTTTGAGGAAAGAGCAGTTGATCTATTTGACCAGTTATCTCTTCATCGCGTGTATCCTGTACACTTTCTGAATTTATGCCTTTTTCGGAAAGAGAGCGGAGCCGGCTTGATACATTATTTTCCAGCTGCGATAAAGTTTCGACCATTTTCCCTGCATGTATATCCGGCCATCTTGCGGCAAACCTTTCGAGTAATTGAACTGCGCCTTTGAGTTTCGATGCAAGGAGATCATAAGTAAAATATTCCAGTATCCAGTGAGCTTGATTCCACATAACATCAGCAAGATTTACTGCGGCTTCTTCAACATAGTACACTCCCATGAGTAGATAAAAGACTTGCCCCGATCGCGTGTCTCGTAAGTACTCGTCAATCAACAACATGAGGGAGTTGACTAACTTAACATAGGATGAGCGAGGTGGGTTAGAGTTTCGAGGTGTTCGCCGACGTAAGCGAGTTTGTAACGATGCTTTGCAGATCAATCTAAATCTTAATTGGTTTACTTTTGCAAATTCTTCAGCTTTCAAGTACCACTTCTCCAGATTCGTCTCCATTTGGTTGAACCAGTCATCCAGCGACAGACTGATGTCTCTTCCAAGCCATAAGACTTCATGAACTTCAGTTTCATATAACCTGAATTGGAAAAAATGTAAAGCTGCAGCTTTGGTGCGAGGTCCTGACTGATCGATACGATCTACAGCAATGAACGAATCATCAATTGTAGATGGACTGCCAACTGTTATAAGTGATGTGGGGATTGGGAAAGATATTCGGATAACCGCGCTAAGATGACGAGACATGGATGCCGCAACCATAAAGAGACGTCGATGATAGTCGATGTCTCTAATGGTACTCGTGGTTGAATCTAAGTCCACATGAAGTCCAAGATCAAGTGACAATCTCAAACATTCCCGAATTGAGTACCATACATCAGCCGCATACGGGTTTGCAAAGCCATAATGCGCGATCAGTAAGGTAATCTGAAGCTTTTGAAGCTTATTCGCCCAGAGTATTCTAGTGACTTCTAACATTGCTCTCGAAAATAAGACACTAGACGATGATAAGCTTTTCTTTTCGCTCTTATGTGTAAGAGTTGCCGCAGATATTGCAAGTGCAATAGAAATTACAGCAATATCAAACGATGTGGCTTTATCCGAAGAATCAAAAACCTTTGTTTCAATATCTTTTAGCTCTAGTATTGATATTATTGGATATTGTGGTTGGTGGATACTAATATAATTATCCATCAGGATCCTCACCACATCTCTGGGTATGGTAAGGAGGTCGACAGGTGAATGGTGTTTCAGAAAACTGTGCATGTTCCCTCTTTCTGAATTGCTTATTATTGAGTCAAAGGGAGGAGGTAAGCTGCTTGATCGAAAGTAGAGGAAAGAGAAATTCGTTACTTTCCCGTTTTCCGATTGTTCCATTGCCTTCAGAAAAGGTGCTGCTGCAAACTTTGCGAGATTTGATGCTTGCGCTTCAGACTCCTCGAGAGTTGGATGGTGAGAGAGGCGGGAAAGTTCGATTTCAAGTTCTGCAACTCGCTTTTCAAGATGACATATAAGGCTTCGAGGAATAGGATTGGAGAGCCCTTTGATCCAGGCGAAGCACTCTTCGTCTGCAGCCACGCAATTGGAACATTGAGGAAATTCATATTGACATTTGAGTCTTTTGGTCTTGCATCTGTAGCATCTGGTAGAACCCCGAATATGTCCATCCTCGAGTGCTCGCTTCAGCTGGGAGGCATCTGCAATCTCATCCATGTGTATTACCCTATTGACGACAATTGACTTTTAAGTGTTAAATCTGATAATTGGATTGCGTGAAAAACATTGGAATATTAAGAAATTCACAGTGTTGCAACGGCTGGTGATTTATTTTATATCGCAAAATTGACCTCCAGCGTTCATGAGCTGCTTTTATAAAAGCTTTTTTGTAGATTGTATCAGGTTATAATTGGTGTATAACTGGCAGTCAATTCCCATTACAAATGAGTTCAAAGACATCAAGAAATCAATTCCAAAATAACTGAGTTCTTCACCAAGAAAATATGCAATGGCTCTGTATCTTCTGTGTACTGATAGGCATAGCTATAAAAGATAAAACTATTCTATATGAGGCCAGGAGTGTGTTCATGGTATATTATACAAGTCTATGGTCAATGAATGTCAACTTATCCTGAACCTTTGGTGGCAGGTGATTCTCTGTATGAGATTGATTAGCTATTATAGTTATCGAACAAAATGATGACTTCTTGGAGCAAGGGAGTTCAGATTTTGCCAAGCCTCTATGCATCAAAACAAGATCTTGTTTTACCAAATAGAGTTCACAATCCTTTGGCCAATAGGTTTGAGCTGTTTTATCCTTAGCATAATGAGTAAACCCAATCACCGGTCTTCTCCGAAGATCACACTAGATGCAAAATGGCAGACGGTTCATGACCACAATATCTTTCAACGTTAGGTTTTCTTTAGAGGATTTCGTCCAGGTAGATGTACCAATTGTGAGTCCCCTTCTGAGGCTAGATGTGTTTTTGAAACGTATACAATGAAGATGAATCTATTAAAATGTCAATTTTCCACAAACCATTCTAACGCTTTTCTTTTAGTCAGAACTGATGACCACCAATATTTAATTACCAAGAAGACATCGGTACATGAGCATGTTTCCTTCAGCCAAATGTTTTTGGAAATTTGTGCGATGATCATTTTTTTCATTTGAAATTGGTTGCCAACGATTACCTTGGAACCATGGAGATATGAGAAGCTCTTCACGAAGTAAGTACTTGGCTTGTTGGTATAACTATATAATCACTGACATTACCAAAACAAAGGTGAAATAAGAATTAGACCGTTCCCATGTGCAGTGGTAGCATATGCCTTACAAATAATAGAGATGCGAAGGTAATAAATTATAAGAACTTCAAAGAGATATGAGTGTACAGAGGGCAAGTAATTTCTCCAAAAGAGAACAGAAATGTGAAAACTCGAATATCCTGAACTTTTCTGACGTAACTTAGGGTCTTGAATTTCCGGTCAAATATCCGATTCAAGCTAGATTTTGGGCGCGAACTGCGGAGTTCATGCAAAATATTGCTTATCGCACTGCATCTCAGATCTAACTGAATTTTATTGTTCCCGCAGGTTTCGCGGGAAGAGAAAAAACAATGCACTCAATTCGATCAGAACAATTTGATAAGCGGAAATCGAATAAGTCAGCTCAAATACTGAAAGAATTATTATTTTGACCAGAATTTTCAAACAAATCAGTAAAATTGATCACCATCACATTAAACGCTTTATATAGCGCATGACCAATGACTGAAACAAGCGTTTTCCCGGTTTCCTCTCCAACAAAGTCATACTGGCACAGCGAAAATGACGACTTCGCGTCTTCAAGAACAACACCTGAGCTTCCGGAGAAGTCTGATATAGTGATTATCGGTGCAGGGTATGCGGGATCATCTACCGCATATTGGTTATACAAAAATAGTGAAGAATACGTTCCCGATATTTTGATGCTGGAAGCAAGAACTGTATGCTCCGGAGCCACAGGAAGAAATGGAGGCCATCTTAAGCCAGATTACTATAGGGAGTATCTCAAATTTGAAAAGCTATATGGCAAAGAGGGTGCAGCAGAAATTGGGCATTTTGAACACGACCACTTGGAGGCTATCAAACAGGTTGTTGAAGAACTTCAGATTGATTGTGATTTCATTTTAACTAGAGCTTGCAATGTTCACCTCACTGAAGGTGCAATTCAAGGCTGTTTGAAAGCTGTGGCTTCGTTGCGAGAAAATCCTCATTTTAAGCTTTTAAATGACATCCAGGTTATTGAAGGCGATCACGCGAAGTTGGTATCACGGGTTCCGGAATCTCCAGTCGCTTTGACGTTCACTGCTGGACATTTGTGGCCTTACAAGTTTGTGAAAGGTTTACTCGAGTACTGTATCAAGAGGGGATTGAACTTACAGACAAATACCTGTGTTGAAAATATTGAAACGCTTCCTGATGGGTCATATTTGGTCAAAACTCAGAGAGGAAATGTTCGAGCTACAAAAGTAATCGTTGCAACAAATGCTTATACATCAGGCATTATCCCGGAGTTTAATGATAAGATTGTTCCTGTGAAAGGTACTTGCTGTCACATCAAGGTTTCAGAAAGTACCAAACATGACCCATATTTGACGCACTCGTATGGTATTTGCAGAGACTATTCTGAGCACGAGTACCTTATCAATAGGCCTGATGGATCTGTTATTGTTGGTGGAGCCAAACCTTTTTATCTAAAGGATAAAGACTCTTGGTATAACAATGTGGACGACTCTACGTTATTTGAAGGAGATATTAGAGGCTGGTATGAAGAGTTCATGCAATCAAACTTTTCAAGCTGGGATGATGTGAAAACCAAAGTGGATTATTTATGGACAGGAATTTTGGGCTACTCAGTTGATTCCCTGCCATGGATTGGCGAGGTTCCAGATCAAAAAAACAAATATGTCCTCGCAGGTTTCAATGGACATGGTATGCCTCGAGCATTCCTGTCAGCGAAAGCAATTTCGAAAGCTGTTCTACAGAACTGTTCCATAACAGACACGGAGATTCCACGCTCTTTCATTCTGACTGAAGAGCGACTCACCAAGTCAAAGAACACCATTCTGAGAGATGCAGGGTACTATAAATACCATGAGTAGTATATACTTAGAAAGTTTTTCGAGATTTGATTTACAAAGACATGGATCACGAACGGTGGACTTTCCTCGAAAGTCACTGATATTTTGGCTGCTTTTCAATTTTCCGCACGAAACTAAGCCCTTTAAGTCAGACTTCTGGACCAGACAGCAGAGGTGATAACGACAACCTCCAGGAATTGGAGATATCAAGCGGTGAAGCAGTTACCCAAAAAAGTTTTTCCCGCAGCTGCAAAGTGTGCGATCGAGACCCGAGTTTCAACGCGGGTAAGGTCTTAATTTTTTATTTATATATATTGAACAACGAGCATAATAGAACTTAAATCCAGAAAACCTTATCACGCTTGATAACATTTTTAAAAATGCCAGACGTTGTTTTCGATATAATTGGCACTTGCATAGGCTATGATGTGATGCTAGATGCAATCGAAACAAGATTGGGTAGCAAACTAAAGGCCTATAACATTGGTACCAAGGTGTTTTTTGATGCATGGGGTACAGCGTGCGAGAGAGATTTTTCCTATCTTTCACAGATAGGCAACTACCAACCGACTAAAAAGATCCTGAAAGCTACCTTTTACAGAGCTTTGCATCATGCAGGCATACCAGATCCCATGGGCCTAGTTCCGGACGAGGATCTGGAGTATCTTTCAGAACAGTGGTTGAAGCTGAAAGCTAGGCCTGAATTGTCTAAAATGTGGAATCTACTTCGCCAAGAAGGGTTTACAATCTGGTGCCTGACAGATGGCGACAAAGATAGAGTCAAAGGCTACTTTAATAACTCCTCCATAGAAATGCCTGATGAAAACATTGTCTCATGCGACAGTTTGAAGATTGGTAAACCCACCCCCGAGGTTTACAAGTTTATGTTGAACAAAATACCGGGAAAAGGGAAGGATGCATGGTTTGCAGCAGCTCACATGTGGGACTGTTGTGCAGCCAAAAAGGCAGGATTCCAGACTGCGTGGACTAATGTCTACGAGAAATTCCCATGCACAGACATCTTTGGAAAACCTGATCTCATTTGTGAGGGCTTGATTGATATGGCAGAGAGTATTATTGAAACCTACAAAAGCAGTGAATAGTCAACAACAGATCATTTAGAAAAAAGTAATTATCTTAAAATCTGGCCCCAATATACTTGATGGTATCTAAGCGACATATGTTGGTGAACAATACATTATCGGTTTTTTTGAGACTTTGAAAAACTCTCCTACATTTTTTAGCTTCTTTTATCGTCGCGGATAAATCTTTTTGGTGACTCAGATAAAGCCGCGTACTCGATCCGAGAGTTTTAATTTTTCTTTCGCGAAAATTGCATCGTTATCCGTACAGGATAAGCCTGGGGAAATTGCTATATATGCAAGCTTTATACATTGGTTTTTGATCATGTCTGTTCACAAAGCAGAATTCTCCGAGACCATTCAAGAGGTTGGACAAGTAGACGACTTTGAACCTATCGTTCAAACCATCAGAAAGCTAGAAGATTCTATCGAGGATGTCGGTTACAAAAGACAGATCACTGGAAGACAGATCCTCATGATCACCTTCGGCGCCGGAATTGGTACCGGGTTTTGGGTTGGAATGGGATCAGCTTTACGTCAAGGAGGCCCATTTGGAATCGTACTAGCATATACCGTCAACGCTTATATTGTCTATGTTATGTTCATCCAAACCGGCGAAATGACGGCTTATCAACCAATCCACGGTGGTTTTATCAATCAAAGTGACATGTATCTAGATAAGTCTATCTGTTTTGCACAAGGCATCAATTTTGCGTTTAACTGGATGGTGGTCTTAGCTGCAGAACTCACTGCTGGGATAAGTGTTCTCAGATATTGGGATACAAACAATGCAGTTACCACTGCAGAGTATATTGCAATATTCGCTGCAATCTACTTTATTGGAAATATCTGGCCAGTTAGGGCATATGGCTATATTGAGTACGTGCAGTCTTTCATCAAGATTGTGGCAATGGCTGGTATCACTTTGTTCATGTTCATTGGTACTTGTGGAGGTTTGCCAAATACAGGACCTATAGGATACAAATTTTGGAAAAACCCAGGCTGGATTCGCAATGGTATCCAGGGTATTATTCTTGCATTTTCGCAATCCGGATTTTCCTTCGGTGGAGGTGAGCACATTGCAATTGTTGCGGGAGAGGTGAAGAATCCTAGGACATTCATCCCTCGCTGCACTCAACCCATCTTCTGGAGGCTATGTGTCTTTTTCATCGGAAATGCTTGGCTCATTACTATGAATGTGCCATACGACGATGAAACTTTGAATAATGCAAGCGGGTCCCTTGCATCTCCTTACATAATTGCCATGAAAAGGGGGGGTGTCAAGATTTTGCCTGATATTTTGAATGCATTGATTTTGCTTTCAGTCATCTCGTGTGGAAACTCATCCGTGTATATCGGTTCGAGATCACTGGTCTCATGTGCGGATCTCGGTGTCATTAATCCAATATTTGGCAAGAAGGATTCCAAAGGAAGGCCTATTCTTTCTCTGGCTATTGTTTTTATCATTGGTCTTGCTCTTGCATTCCTGAATTGCTCGAAAACAGGAGTTCAAGTCTACAACTGGTTCAACTCACTCTGTGCACTCAATGGTTACTTTACATGGCTGTGTATCTACTGGTCTCATTATCGATTTAGATTGGGTCTCCGTGCACAAGGCATTGACTATAAATCGTTGCCACTTTACGATAAGTTTTTCCCTTGGACGACGTACTCGGCAACTTTTATTATATTCGCGCTATTCGTCGCCCAGTTCTACATCGGCCTTTATCCACTTGGAGGAGCAGACATGTCAGCCGCCGCAAGAGCTGAAAACTTCTTCCTAACTTATCTTTGTGTTCCATTATTTGGACTTTGTTGGTTGTACTACAAATTGAGGCATCACACAAAACTCGTTAAACCGGAGGATATGAATTTTTCGTACGCAAAGAAATGGGATCAAATTGAAGAGCTTACCAAGATCAGAGATGCTGAGGTCGACAAGAAGCTGAAATCCAAGCTACAAGTTTTCGCAGAAAAATTCTTAGCCTAATTTTGCTGGCCAAGATTGGGTGAATGTTAACTTTTCTGAGTGTTCCTTTCATATCATCGTTGGATCTCAAAAGCAACATAATGAGCTTAGCACCATTGGTCTTTAAGGTTTTGTTATAGTTTTTAAAGGTGGACTGTGATCAAGTGAATAACGTTGAACTTGCCTGTAAATATCAGTAATTTCTCAACGAAGATCAAGGTAAAGATCAAATAGCTTTCTATTTCAAGGAATTCGAGAAAATTTTGAGTACGGTAGACTACATAGATTAGATACAGTAGCACTTGCCATGGTACCATCAATGATGAAGAGTTTTATATTCGTCCTGATAACTGGAAGTTGGAGAAGCCGAGGGAGGTTGAATACTGCATGTCTGGCAGCCGAAGTTCATGTAGCGCTAACGAATTGTAATAGTGACCAAGTGGAAATCTTATGCTAAAGACCTCACTATTGCTTAGGCATCTTTCAGGAATTACATCGATTACCGACAAAATGGTGCAACCATTCGCATTCAGTAAAAGTTGATAAGCCGCAGGATAAACAAAAATATTCAGGAAAATGCTCCAATCATCACCTGACAAGTATTCACGAGTTATAGCTCAGTTCCAGGACTACAGAGAAAAGACGGGTACGCTGATTAAAGTAGACTTTTGCTTGCGGATACTCATACATACTTAGTGGTCATCAAAGGTATACCACGGCGCATTTATGTATCTTTTTGGCGATTCAGCACCAATTTCAGTGATACGTCTGAAATCATCTTCTGACAGCTGAATAAGAGTAATGTTTTGATCAATACGCTCCGGAGACGATGATCGTGGAATTACAGGCCATCCACTTTGGATTCCCCAGCTGAGCAAGCACTGCGCCACAGATGCGTTGTTCTTCGCTGCAATAGCTTCTAATTTTGAATTTTTCAGAAGTGGAGATCCAATGGAACCTAGAGGACTATAACCCACAAGCAGTATTCCTTTCTTATCACAGTACTCATTGAGTAATTTTTGGTTGCACTCAGGATGTAGCTCAACCTGATTGACTTCGGGAACAACACCCGTTTGAATTATTCTTTCCAGCTCTTTGATGCCAAAATTAGCAACTCCAATTCGTTTGACTTCATGTGGACGTCTTCTTTGAATCTCAACCATGGTCTCCCATGTCTTCAGATAATCCCAATCTTTCTCATAGTCAACGGAGTCGTCAGCTAACCGTGGGCACTTTCGATCATTTCCATTGTGATTCAAAGAAGATGGCCAATGCATCAGCCATAGATCAAGACTATCCACATCCAAGTTTTTTAATGTTTCGTCGAGACAATCTTCAGCAGCAGTGTGCCAAGTATTCGCTAGCTTATCAACAATAAAAAGCTCAGATCTCGGAACACCCGATTCTTTGATTGCACGTCCAACGAGCTCCTGATTCCAGTAAGAGAATGCGCAGTCAATCATCTTATATCCCCCTCTAATTGCATGAACAATTGCATCTAAGCCTTTCTTTCCCTCTAACTGCCAAGTTCCCAGACCGATTGATGGAATTTCTCCATCTTTTAGACGAAAGGAGCTTTTCACCATTTTTAATGAGGTACAATAAAAATCTAAGTTTGTTTTACCCATGACATTTATTTAAATCAGAGTTGTACATTACACAAAAATAATATTACTAATTGAACGGAATTCATTTTAGATGTAGTAACTTATCTTCGAGCGAGCTATTACCACTTACATAAGCAATGGGGGACGACTGCTCACAAAACCATTGCCTCTTCTTCTTTGCTCGAAGACTCACGGAGTTCACCAAGAATACTTGTCTCTCTTAAAACAAAGAGGTTAGGAAGCTACTAAATTCATATAGAAGGCTAGTAACCCTTGAGCCACGCCTTACACCCGGGTAATATGTAAGAGCGGTTTTCGTTATTAAAAGCGAGTGATGTACAACTCTGATTTAAATAATAAAATTCCAAGGCCTGCACAAGCGCTAGTCGTGCTCCAAAAGGCGAAAAACTACCACTATAATTTGCGCACTTTCTGGCTACTGTTTGACTGCAGCTAGCTCTCGGACGCATTTTGCAAATATTTTGACACCCTGGATCAGTAATTCATCTTCAATCGTAGGGGGTGGACATATTCTGACTCGAGTTCCTCCTGCTGCACTATTGACTATTAAGCCATTTTCAGCACATAGTTCCTGAAGTTTTCGTCCACTAAAACTATCAGACAAAAATTTAGGGTTGAGTACAGCCGCGCTTAACATCCCACTTCCACTCATGTCAATAATTTGTTCCAAATCTTCCTCTAGCATGAGCTCTCGCAATAGCGTACCTTTTCTGGCCGACATTTTGGATATGTTTTCCTCAACTAAAACCTCCAGAGCAGCAACAGCAGCGGAGGTTGCAGGAGGACTTGCTGCCATGGTAGATCCTATGTCTCCTTCTTCAATGAGATCCATCACATCAGGGTTACCACAGACAGCAGAAAGTGGTGCAACACCACCTGCTAATGCTTTTCCAAGACAGACGAGATCTGGCTTTATTCCAGAAGCCCAAGATTGTAAAAGTTCTCCTGTTCTTCCAAGTCCAGTTTGAACCTCATCAGCAATGAAAAGAACGTTGTATTTTTTACACAGCAGGTAAGCTTCCCTCAAATAATTTGCTGGAGGAGTCACAATTCCTGCTGAGCCTTGAATGGGTTCCACCATAAAAGCTGCTATAGTCTCGCTGTCTTCCTCCAACGCCTCTCTGAGATCATCTATATTCCCGTACCGCACAGTCACACCTGATGGAGACACCGGGCCAACAGATGGTACATAGGGCTCAAACCACGTTTTCCGAGTACTAGCAAGAGAATGTGTGGAAATTGTAATTCCATGATAACAGTCAGTGGTCGTCAGAACAAAAGCATTGCCGGGAGTAATCTTTTTTTTCTGATATCCCCATTTTCGTGCTATCTTTGTTGCTGCATCCGTGCAATCTGCCCCAGTACACATGCAAACAATTCTCTCATATCCCAGATATTCATGAATTTTAGACGCTAAACGTGCATAACTGGGATTGATCAATGCTGTGTTGACCATTGGGCACGAACGTATCGCTTCGCATGCCGCATCAACAATTTTCGGGTGTGCATGTCCCATATTGGTAACGGCAAAAAAAGACAGGAAATCGATGTACTTCTTGCCATCCATATCCCACAAGGTAGCATTTTTTGCCTTAGCAATGGGAATTTTCATGGGCGTGAACCCTCCCTTGCAATTTTCATATTCTTTGATAATGCTCGCTGTGGATTCCGACATGAAGAACGCAGTGAAAATTCTTGAAAAATTAGGAGAAATGCGGATCTATTTAAAGAACGCATGGTCTTATCGCGACTTGGTTGGAAATTATATCGCACAGCAGTTCGGGCAAAAAAAAATTGCGTTAGGGATGTAGCGGACCGCAACGAATTTGGAGATGGTAAGCATTAACCGTTGAAGCGAGAGGCAGGATCGGTATTCGCGCACGGAAACTGAAAGCATGGGCAGTAGAAAGTGGTATTGGCCAAGTTGGCCAAGTGGACGAGGGGAGCAGGTACCCTTACAAAAGCGAGGAGTTGTGGGCGTATGGGGAAGTGGAATTAAAGTACCGAAAGAGGAAATAGATAAGGGCGGACCTGGAGAAAGGGGAGTGGTGTGCGCACGACCCTCTGAAAGGGGAAAGGACGCGTAAACAGAGAAGGGAGGGAAGAGAAAAAAGTAGAGCAGTGAAATTAAAAAGATGGGAAAATAAAAGATGGGGGGAGT